TTTATTTATTTTTTTTTCTTTTCATTTTTTTGGTTTTTTTTTTTTTTTTTTTTTTTTTTTCTTTTTTTTCCTTTGGGCCGGTGGGTGGGAAGCCAGCAACTAACCGTTTACGGCCTTCAATTACATTTTACTACACCAACTCTTGGCTTCAAATAGGTTTCATACTTCCACATTTCTGAGTTTGTGTCCCTGTAATATTTCTTTATCTTTAATCATTTTGCTTTACAGACCTACATGTTGAATTTACAAATGTTATCATCATAGAACTAATTCAACAAAAATGTTATTTAGCTATTTATTTATGTTATTTATTTCAGTAGAATAGTGTATACCATGGTATATGAAATGCAGATAGTGCATGTAACATAAGTATGTAGCAATATAGGTAGAAGTTAATTGTGTGCTTCATGAGATGTAAAGACTTTGGTACATATAGTGCTTTATTTTTATTGAAAGGTTCATGTGTGTTCTTATATGTAACAGAGGGCAAGATCGAACCGCAAGTCCATTTAGCAAAACAGGAGCCTCTAAAATGTTGCAGAACGGTAGATTTGTATTTTAATCTTTATTTACCCACTCAAATTGCATGCATACATTCTATTCTACCAAAAAAAATGCTGAACTATATAAGGAAAAGATTTTATTTTAGAGTTTATTAATACCAAAGGGCTGGCCGTATTTAAAAAAAAAATCAGGTATGTCTAATTGGTTTAAAAGTTTTTCGTAAAATATGGTTCAGCAGTAGCGTCCTTGGAGAAGAACAAAAAAGCGTGTAGTTTTCACCGACTGAGCTACCGCTATCGTAGGACCTTTGTATGTAAGCACCCCCACTGCAATTGTTGGCAGCACATGTCAGTGGACCCGTACGTAACCAAGGTTAACAATTGGTCATGATCGGTCATGATTTAGTAAGTCGTTGTACACTTAACCTATATTTAGTGGTTCATGAGTACATGATAACAGAACAAACAGAGTGACAGTGAGACCTGTGTATGATTTGAATCTTTTAACTTTAGTTGTGGTTTGTAGGGAAGTGCAGGGGAGATATTGTAAGAAGGAGAAGTATTTAAAATTTTTGTATCGAACGGAAAATATGGCCAGACCAGTAGATATAGAACTGAAAAAGGTAATGTGTTCTAATATTAAAATACTGTAATTTGAAATGTGTTAGAAATGGAATTTTGAAAGAATTCGAGCCTTGATAAATGTGCAGTCCATAGATCCTAAAGATGATTAATCAGCCAGCTTCATGGAGCTGAGCCCTTGAGAAGCTGCCAGTTGTGCAGCTACTCAAGAATTTCCATACATTTTATGGAACCTGGAGGTCCATTATCGTGTCTTTAAGAAACCACCGTTGGTTTCTACTTTGAGCCAGTCCAGTCCATGCCATCTCATTCTCTCTCTAAGATACATTTTAATGTTATCCATCCACCTACATATTGATCTTCCTAGTGGTCTCTTTCCTTTGGGCTTTCCCATCAATACCCTAAATGCATTCCTCTTCTCCCCATGCTACATGCCCTGCCCATTTTATCGTCCTTGACTTGATCATTCTAATTATACTTTGCAAAGAGTACAAGTTATGGAGCTCCTCATTATGCAGTTTTCTCCCACCTCTTGTCACTTCATTTCTCTTTGGTTCAAATATTCTGAACAACCTGTTCTCAGACACCCTTAGGCTAGGAACACACACAGCAACATTGGTCATATGATGTCTGTACGGTTCATGTCACGTCAGGTAGTAGAATATAGAGTGTAGTCTTAGCTTTCATACGTGACAACATGCAACATCTTCCGTACAACAGTTTGAGAGCAAGAAAATGTATTTGGTCACTCTAGTATGAAAAGGAGGTCATATGGCAAAAAATCGTACATTTTTCCATACGACCAATGTTGCTGTATGTTCCTAGCCTTACTCTGTATTCCCCTTCTAATATCTGAGCCCTAATTTCATGCCCATACAGAATCACAGATAAAATTATAGTTTCATGTATTCCAGTTTTTATGTTTTTAGATGGCAGACAAGAAAACGAGAGGTTCTAGACTGAGTGGTAGCACACATTACCCAAATTCGTTCTCCCCTTAATTTCTTTCTGCATCAAATTTTGGTTTGTTCCTAAATATGTAAATGGTGCCACATTTTCAAAGGATCTGTTAACTATCTTTATGTCATGATTTTGCTCTGCATTCTGGTGAGGAGGCAGCAGTATATACTAAGTTTTCTCTGAGTTCACTTTTAGACCCGCCCTGTTACTAGTGCCATATAAAGTTTCCATGTTTTTCTTCATGTCCTAGAGATGATAATGACTTAAATGTACAGTTTTGTGTTCCTTTCATATTTTGCTGTATATGTCGTTTTTTCAAGGGTAATTAATGAACCTGATATTGTACATGTAGAATTATGTCATAATTATGTATTTTAGGGTCTTTGAAGTACACCACTTTATGAAACATTTCTCTGTTGAATGTCATTTTTTAATTATGTTGTAGGCTTTTGCAGATCTGCATCTAAAGCTGATGGAAACAGCACAGAAAGTGAAAGCTGCAGATGAAGAGATTAAAGGCCTGAAAAATTCAATGCAGCGTGCTCGACTCGTTGAATCAGAAATTACCGTACGTTATGGTTATAAGGGTTTGGCCTCCATTGATGAATGAAAACTTTCACATTATTTGACAAGTATACCATACCAGTCATCAGAATTTATTTTTCTTTGTGCCATTACAAAATGTGCTCTGCTGTACAAAATGAAGTTGTGCATATGGACATATTTCGTAACATTTTATGCAGTTTGCTGTTTGGACCATAACATTCTCAACATTCTGACTCTGTCTCAATGAGTGAATACAGAACATGATACAAGCTTCACTACATATCAGAAACAAAACAACATGACAACACATATCTCAACCTACACTCCATCATAGTATAAATAAAGAAGTAGCACTTATAAACATGCAGTGCAAGAGACCCATAACATCACTATCTGGCCCCCAACTACCACAATACCAAAGATGAATCAAGAAAGGAATAGCCAGGATACCATTACAGTGGTTACATAGGCATCCACGACCAACTCAAACTATTTATTCACATTTATGTAACTTGATAATTTAATACGAATCCATACACACTGGGTGTAGTACTAGAATTCTTTTAACTTTAATTGTAATTAATTTTAAATTAATTTTTCATCTAAATTCAAATTGAATATAATTTATACCAATATGGCTTAAAGCCAAAGAATAAACAAGCAATAATCACATAATCTTGTAGTCTCATCATCATCAGTAATCTGTCAAGACGGCAGGTCCACAGTCTCTTCCAAAACAGTTCCTCCACTTGATGCAATCTAGAGCTTTCTCCTTCAAATGAAAATATCCTCTTCTGTCTGCAAGGCTTGTAGTCTAATATGAGGAAAATATGAATCCATATTTGCACAAAAATTCAGCAACTAAGTTAACTGAATTGCACCTGATGATGACCCAGTAAGGGTCAAAACATGTTGTGTTCAACATTAATATAAATAACCTTTGTTATTACTCCTTGAATTGTTATGTTGACAGTACAAATGTACTGTTTTGAATGACACACAATGGAATGCAACACATGAAGATATTACTTTACTGTGTTTTAAGATTCAGTTAATTATGGTCCATTAAAAACGTAAAAGGTAAGGCTATTCCTGTAACAGGCCATGGCGGTCCATAGGGTTGTGAGACATCAAGGCTCTCACATTTAACTAGACAGTTGGCTCACAGATGGCAGTAAGGTTATGGTCCATTCTTTGATTTAAAATGCTGTGTCAGAACTTGTTGAATATTTATTTAGAAGTTAAATTAAAACCAACAAAGATGCTAATATTTTCCAACAGTTTGCTTTGGCAGATTCTGCTGAAGTAACAAATAAACATTTTCAGTCTTCAGATTGAGGTCTTTTTGGTTCTGACTCATATTATCTTCCAGGTAGATACTGATGTGTTAAGCAGAATAGACCACTGTAGGTCACAGTGCAAGGGCCAAGAAGGCCCACCCCTTATACATTCATTCATTAGATACTGATGTGTTGGAGGTACAAGATTGCATGGTGGCACAAGCCATAGAACCACAGTATAAGCAGTCACCATCATGAAAACCTCAAAATTCATATTTTTATTATTGTTGTTATGTCAGTAAATAAAACTGTCATGTAAACTGTCTCCTACAGAACATATTAAAGCATTTTATGCTTACCTTCTGCATCATCTGTTTGCCTGCTGCTGAGGGAGTAGGGTACTTGTCACACTGTGCAAGTGTTCTTTATCGGATGCACCATCCAAGTGCTTTTAACACTTATAGACTATGTCTAAAACGTCTTTGAGAATGTGTCATATCTTGAGTAGGCAGTTGTATGGAATAAAAATTCTGTGTTCAGTATGAGTTCTGATATGGATAGTCTGGTTCAGATTATTTTCTAATGATGACATAACAGTCGGTCACTGTCTGATGTCAGTGCAGCCTCAGAAATGTTTTGGACACATTTTGCAAGTTTAAATTGACTTTTTAAAAGTTGTGCTCTGTATTTTAGAGGATAGATCCTGCCACAAATGTATATGAGAGTGTTGGGCGAATGTTCGTGCTAACAAATATTCCAGATTTACGGAACCAGTTGCAAGAAACATCTGAAAATTGTGCTGAAAAAATTAAGATTCTTGAGGTAAGTTTTACTACTATGTTATTACACCTGTACTTGGTATGCAATTTGCAGTTACTATTGACTACATATAAATGTGTATTTACTTCAGTACAGTACTATGCAAGTAAAACATATAGTACGAGTGTCTGCTTTCTCATGGTGTTACTCTGTTATGACGATTTATGTGTGTTATAGGTGGGGTATGGTCTGGTGTATAGATTTACTGACCACTTACAAGTCATAACTACAAATAACTGTAACACTTTCACTGATATCCACACTTTACAAATCACTACACAGTAAGTCTTCTACAGCCTGCAGTGTCCTCATGGAGAGCCTTAACTTCGTGGTCACGCTTTTGCCCGCTGGTAAACACTCCACAATTGAACTGTCAACTTAATTATAACACCCTTTCTTTTCAGCCTCCCTTGCAGAACTCAGCTGACTACTTTCCGTGGTCACCCTAATTGTCTTCAAGATAACCCTTTGGCATGGACAACTTAGAAAACACTGTTCATTCTCGTATGCTTACCGTTTCTGCAGGAATGTGTTTGGGTCACCTAACAAGAGGTTGCTTAACACTGCTTATTAAGAATCTGCTGCCCCAGCAACGGGCATAATTTTGTGACCGTCATCCAGCAACAGGTCTACACACTACATTGCTCCCTCCTTAAGGCTATTCATGCCAAATAGCATACTGGGGTACCATGATTTCTACTTTTCCTGAGGGATGTGACATCTGTGACCAGTCTCGCCTTCCTTCCCATTGCTCAATTATTACAGTGACTTCTGCCCAACTGAGAGGTTCCTTCACAGGGTGCCAGTTGGTCCAGGTTTATCACCATCATCTTCCTCTGGTGATGACCAAAAGTGCTGATAGTGGCTGGTGAGCCTACATCTTCAGCTCTTACTCTGTTTGCAGTCTCTTCTTTGTTTCAGAGGGGACCAACCCCTCCATAATGTCGTGATGCTCATTTTTTTAATCCTAATGGAAGATATGGCTATTCTCTTTCTTTCCAGGTGTAATCGCACATTTAGGTCTTGGTTCTTTATGCTATTGTTTATATTCTGATTGCACCTGACACCTCTTCCTGAACATCCATCCTTACCAGATTCCTTGTACAACATTGTCATTGCTTTGTCCCAGATAACAGTATAACTTATGCCGTGCAGGAATGGCATGGCGGGTCATCCCTCTGCAGATGCAGCCAACTTCTTCCAGGACCCACCATTGCCTAGGTTTCCATTGCAGCCTCTTCCTTAGGGACTTCCTTATGCCCTGCTACAGACTTCATTTCGTCTGGATTTGCCTCCATCCTTGTGGATAGGCCTCTGTTGCTTCTCAGTCAGACTTCATTTCTTTTTTGCCAGGCTCTCATGTCTTCTGTGATCTCCTGTAGGGTGGTGTTCATTTTTTCTTGGATGGTGGCCATCGTGGCCATTTCCATAGTGTGGTGATATAACAATAAAGATAAAGTCCAGTGTCCTGTCCAACCACTTCTGATACCAGATGTCATGATTTATATGTTGTAGACAGGGTATGGATTGGTGAATAGATTCATTGAACACTTACAGGTTGCAGCTACAGATAACTGTATCACTGCTTTCCACACTTTACAAATCACTGCACGCTAAGTCTTCTCCAGCCTGCAATGTCTTCACTAGTTGTTGCTTGATGATGAATCTTAAATATGGAGATTCTTCAGTTTCTTTTGTCACACTGTTGCCCACTGGTTAACACTCCACAACTCAACTGTCAACTTAATTTTAGCACCATCTCTTCTTAGCCTTCCTTGCAGAACTGAACTAACAACTCAACTGACTACTATCCATGGTCACCCCAGTTGCCTTCAAGATAACTCCTCAGTGCAGACCATGTAGAAAACACCGTTCATTTTCATGTGCTTTGTTTTGTGACTGTTATCCAGCCACCTTGCAATGTTGTACTCTGTATATTAATTTTGCATTCAAGTTTTCACATCTTTATCAGTAGCCATGGATCTTGCCTGCAACAGTATTGTAGTGTTTGTCAACTTCTGAATTTGAAGCCATATTAATTATGTATATTATTTTAAAATATATTTCATTGAGTTGAACCCTTCTTGAGAAGCCATTTAAAAATATATTGTATTTTTCTATGGTTAAGGTTCTGGAGAAATTGATTCTTGCATAGGTGCAAACAGTGCCTGAAGATGGCATGCTTATGATAATTATACTACTACTGCTACCACTACTGCTATACTTCATCAGAATCTGTTCATCTAAAGCAGACAACTATATTCTGGTCAGGGAAGAAATGAACGTGAATAGTAAAAGCCTAAGTAGGCTGCCCACTTCCCATGCTACCTACTTTGAGCACCTTCCTCCATCAACACCAGTAACCAACCAAGAATGCAAAGAGATGTAGACAGAATACAAGTGACAACTGATGAGGGTGGGGAATGTAGACATGTAGGAGGTAGCTACTAGACAGGTGGGTGGGGAATAGTCTGTTGATACTGTGATCCAGGCACAGGCTCGTGAATTATGGAAGTATCTGTGTGATATTTGAGTAAATAACAATAATTAATTTTCATGTAACATTAAAATAAGATTGGGAATCATGTGTTACGAAGTCAGCGAACGGCTATTTGTGGTCAAATAAAATTTTTTAATTTACAAGGCTCTGATTTAGCTCAGGTTTATTTGTTTTATCATTCTAGAATAAGAAGAGTTATCTGGAGAGAAGTAAGAAAGACAGTGAAAATAACATCCGTGAAATGATTCAACAGCGGAGAGAGAAGGCCCCATAAACTGACTAAAACTTTGTTATTGAAGTGTAAAAGTTTGACTAAGGTTTTCCATTTTGAATTACAATTATTTATTAACCTATAGTTCTGTCTGCTCTTATATAATGATGTATTATTGTTCACAGTCCATATACTTATTAATGTTTTATTAAATTTTGTAACTGATCATCTTCTGTTTCAAATATGTTTCATTTTTTCTGTTGGTATAATGTGACTAGGTAAATAAGTATCCTCAGCAAACTATGGGTACCAGTTTTTCATTGCAGCTAGGAATCTTCATAAAAAAAAGAGAGAGAGAGAGAGAGGTAAATTTATTTATGTGCTAAAGCACTATGCCATTAGGTCACATTGTGTAATATGGGGTTAAACTCCTGCACATTCTTGATCATGACACTAGATAGAAATCAGTAACAGTGATGATCCAGTCACCTCTACCTAGCCACAAGAAAAGTTCTTATGGTACCTGCTGGGTGTGAAGCTAGGTCAGTCACAAGTTCAGTATGGGATGTGCAGGATTATCAAATCTGCATCCACTTACTTTATTGACTGAGGTGAAGTGGCTCCTTCATACTGAATCAATGTTTGGTCCAAGCAGTGCTCCAGAAATTCCACTTAAATGAGTTAGCCACTTAACAAAATTCACATACCTATAGCCTCACATTGCTTCACACAGATGTTTTTAGAAGCATTTGAAAAAGCACTGCTGAATGTTTAGATCTAGGAAGTAATAGTCTTCAACTGTACATACCTTACGTACAGTAAATTATTTTAAGTACTTTTAAACTCATTCAGTGAAGCAGTCATTCTTGAGAAGCCAATAGTCACTTGCATACACAGGAAATTACCTGGCTTGTATGGAATCCAAAATTTATTACCATAGTCGAAAAACTTAATCAGTGATTCCTATTCTGAAACGGGCATTGCAGTTCACATATGCCATCACATTTCTTGAAGGTAAAAAGGTGGCCTCTATAACACATCATACAGTAGAAAGTTTAAACATATTTTAATGTGTCCATTATGAAGAAGCTCATTTAAAATGTCAATAAAGATACTGGTCTAGAAATGTAAACAAGTACTATATACTTGCCTGATAGCCAGGTTCTTATAAAACAGCTGCTTCATTGCGAGACAGGTAGTACCCAAAATGCAACTTACCGACCTGCAAAAGAATAGTTCATGTCTAAAATGAAAAGAATGACAAACCACCCATATTCAGTTGTGTTTCAAACATTTTCCTGGATTGGCCATAAAATGTAGCGTCATTCATTCTAGAATATTTCTGATCATAATGGCGGCACAGTCTAGGGCATGTACAGTCTACTGCCGCTCCCAACATTGCAGTAGCTGCTTGAAACACCTTGCTGCTCCAACATGGAGGTAACTGTTCGAAACCCCACTAACAACATGGGTACATTTTTCTTTATGTTACTTGCACAGGTAGAGGCCTTGCAATGGGCCAGTCCCCCATGCAAAGAGCCCTACCAAATGTATATAAACAAGATCCCAAAGTCTGGCAAAACATGAGGCCTTGGACCATGCTGGTCTTTCATGCAATACAAGAAGATTTAAGAATACTGAGATTTTTAAATTTAATATCACTGTTGTCTAATAATGGGACCACCTCTGTGGTCTAGTGGTCAGAGTTCCTGGCTTGAGATCCAGAGATCCGGGTTCGATTCCCGGTGCTACCACATTTTCTGAGAAGTAGTGGGTCTGAAACAGGGTCCACTCAGCCTCGTGAGGATAATTGAGGAGCTATTAGCAGCTCCGGTCTAGAAAACTGAGATTAACGGTCGTGGGGATCTGTTGCGCTGACCATGCGACACCCTCTATCTGCAAAAGTCGGCTCTAACTTTGCCGACAAGCAGCGGTTGGTATAGTTCGATTGTGGACTACAGGCCACAGAGTTTTTTTTTTTTTTATCTAATAATGAGCGTTTAAACCATGCATTATGTTCAGTACACAATCTATATGTAAGAGGTGGGAGTGTTCAATTAAGCCATGAAATGACATCAGCGCACTACTATGCATTAATCTTTATTGCCAACATATATACATATGATTCAATCAACAAAATATTTTTATATATAGGTATGTGTAATACATCACAGTTGAGTTGTCTTGTACATATGTGTATTTTTTATGTCAGATTATTATTTCTTTCATTTTCCTATCCAAAGCTGGTCATTTACCAGTTACTTGTCCTGACCGCTATATTCAAGGTCTCTCTTTGAAAACAAACTCTGAGCATGTAGACTTTTTCCTTTTCATTACATGGTCCATGTAGCCACCTTTTGTGATTCCTTGGATATGTACATAAACGATTTTATAATCATCATTATACCATGAAATATGGCAGATAGTCAGTAGGAGAGTAGCTGTAAGTATTTGCATATGTAGTCTCCTATAAGTTGATTCTTATTAACCCTTCAGCATGGTTTGCCATACAGAGTACGCTGGTATTTAAATGGTCCTACCTGCGGTTTGCCGTACACCATACACCAAGCTGTAAGCCTAATTTCGAAGGCCCAAAAATATGGAACGAAACACACCAGCATGACGATGATTGCACTGGGCTGTTGTGAAAAGAATACGCTTTCTGTTCATGTAACCATAAGATTCATGATCCTGCAGCCTTGCCAGTCAGTCTAAATAGAACGCGTGACCTCACAGTTATGATGGCCAAGTGACTGTGATATCAACATACCACAAAGATGATATGCTGTGGTTGTGAATAAACAAAGCCCTGGTTGTTTGTGATTACAAAAGAATCATGCTATGAGTGGATCTGAAGGATCAAATGCTACAGCCGTAATTGCTTGAACAAAAGAAGAGTACTAAGTGGTATCAAAAGTTATTCAAGAGGCTACTCAATGCAGCAATACATAACGCAGTGGTCATATGTCAGTGTCTCCCGAATAACAAAAGCATGAACACACTAAAGTTCAGACTTTCACTAGCACAAGGCCTCATGGAAAAACACGGTTCTGGTGTTCTTCGTCCTGTATACAGCCGTCCATCAGTTGAGCCGACGCGTAAAAGACTCACAGAACGACATTTCCTGGGGAGTATTCCACCCAAAGGAAAAAGGCAAAGCCTAAAAAAAGATGTGTGCGCAAAACATGGTAAAAGGAAAGAATCTATTTACTGGTGTAGTGAATGTGAGGCATGGTTGTGTTTAGATGGATGTTTCAAGAAATACCATACGAAACTCAACTTCTAATCAACTTGCTTCCACCACTCAGATATAGAGCGCTCATATTATAAGGTAAGATTATAAAACCATATTTTAAGATGATTTCAGTGAAAAGTTCATAATTATATCTCATATAGTTCAAAAGTTATGATACACAATATAATTAGAGCAAAATTTAAATGGGCAACTAAAAAATACTACTGCAAGAGGCCCCACAACAGCGATATTTAAATGGCCACGCTGAAGGGTTAACTGTGCCAGCTATTGAGTGTTACTGATTAGTGTTTGTAGACACAGTATGATTATTTTTAGTGTCCCTCAAAAACGTTTTATTACGTTGTATTTAGTAGTTATATGGTATTTCATCATTTACTTTTTATGATGTTTTCCATATTTATTCTTTACATTATTTTCTTACATAATTATGATGAGTCTGATGCAAATTGTTATGTGAAATCACTGAAGCTGTTTTAGAATCTCATGAAAGGTAAATATAATGGGTAAAAGAGGATACAAGAGAAGATTTTGGCAGTACATATTTAGTATTCTGATGTTGCAATGAATGGTGCTGAAAGATTGAACTAGAACATTGACAGAAAATATTATTTCCCATATACAGTGTCTCAGTATTTAGTATTACAAACATCTGATCTCTAAAGAGAAACTATAAATAAATTTCAGTTTGCTGTCAGTTGTAGAAACTGCAGTCACACTGATTCCTCTGCTTCAAGCATTAGTCCAAGATGGATTTCAAAGAACACAGAACTATGAATGTATGTGATATGCATGACCAAACAGCATTTTTTTCATATGAGGTTTGTAACAGTGAGCTAATTAGCTTCTTAAAATTACTGACTACACACTCTTTGTTCAGATACACAACATGAAATTCTGAACACTGCAGAATTTAGCTCTAAATGTCACTCTTGTTAACACTTCTGTGTGTATATTCACTAATGTCACTTATAATTCAAAACATTAAACACCAGACCTTATTTTGTATCAGGAATTTCTACTCTTCCTGGTTTCAAATAGTATATTTCTTCTTCATTTAATAATCAGTTATTATCTCCACAGCTAACTCTGTTTTTATTCGTTAATTAACAGTCCTATTATTAGTACAAAAACATATCACTTTTTCATCTCCTAGAAAGTGAATGTGATCCAAAGAGAAATAAAACAAATCTGTTGCTTTTCTTATAAAACGTTTAAAAACAAGATAAGACTGTATTTCAATTATGGACTAAATTCTAGTATATCAGGCACTCGGGACACACTGGCCAGGGTCCACCACTCCTTTGTAATGTCACAAAATTGCAGCTCCTTTTTCATAAATACTTTGGAGTGTGAACTTATATCTTGAGTTTAAGATTCTAAAAATGAACTTACAAGGTTTGTGGGGGGGGGGGTCTTCTAGTGCCTCCATAAACTAGAATTTCATAATATATGCCATAATTTCCTGAACATCTGAAACAGACCCACAAAAGAGAACTGATGTTTGTATTATACACGTGGCAAGCCAGCTGAAATTGAAGATTCAATACCACACTCATCCTTCCCTCGCAGAATACGGAAATATCCATTATCACCCCAATCAGAATTCCAAGAATTGGCAACAAGCCAGTAGGGGGTACCATTTTCTACACCCCAACCCAAGATTCTGATGGCATGACCACCAAGAACACCGCCAGTCACATGCTGGTACACACCTATAAAACATCAGATTAAATTGATGACTTACAAGCAGCAATGAACTAATGCCAGAACAGTAAAGAAATGTGTGCCTTGGACATTAAAGCCACTTTTAGAATTGGTCAATGCATCAATTACAGGAGGTAGCTTCCCAGCCACATTAAAAACAGTAGTTAAACCATGTAAGATTTGAGGCTTTCACGGCGGTGACTATGAAGAAAGCAGTCTTCTGGGATTTGGCACCGTGTATATGTGGTGTTAACCGACGTTTCGGAGGAACGTATCGCCCCCATCTTCAGGTTTGAAGAAGTATAAGTAAATCTGCAAGCGACAACACCGTGAGACACGGTCAAGCAGACTGCTTTCTTCAGTAGTTAAACCAATTTATAAAAAAGGGGTAAAAGAAGATCCAAACAATTATCGTCCAATTACTCTTCTCCCAGCTCTTTCAAAGATTCTGGAAAAAGCTAATTTCTTTTCTAGACACACAACATATCTAATAAATCTCAGTTTGGATGTAGGAAAAATAAATCCACAAAAGACGCTACTGCCACAATTATCAAATTGTGTACTATCAGACTTATCAAAAGCATTTGATTGTATTGAACATAACTGTTTTATGAATTATACCAATATGGAGGTTGTGGTATACCACATAAGCCAATCAACTCCTATATTACAAACAGAACACAGCAAGTGAAAGTTACATACATAGCAAACCATCAACTGAAAGAATATTTGTCAAGTAGCCTTCCAGTTAGATATGGAGTTCCTCCAGGTTCTGTTCTTAGTCCATTACTTTTCATTTTATATGTAAATGACATATTGCACCTAACACAAGGCAGAACAATAATGTATGCCAATGCGTATGATGCAAGTCAAGATATAAATGAACACCAAAAAACAATCTCAGAAAATACAGGCTTAGTAAAGCAATATTTTGAAATAATTTATCTATAAATCCAACCAAAACACATTACATTATCTTCCAGACAAAGCAATGCAGGCAGAAAAATCCTGATAAAGAATAGGGAAATAGTTAATGTAAAAAGTACAGTGGAACCTCGCTTAATGGGCATAATTCGTTCCAGAATCTTACTCGTAATGCAAAACAATTTTTCCCATATAAATTAATGTAAAATACGATATTGTGTACCATGCTGAAAAAATACTCAAAAAATTTTATGTATAACGTTTATTCAAAGAAAATTATATATACATTGTTAAGGATTGTGAATCATCTTCATCTTCTCTTCTATGCGGAATGAACCAACCTAGAATGCGAATTCGATTTGCAGAAAAAAAAAACCATATGAGGAGCAACCTTTCAACATCGTTGAGAATACGTAACTGTTGCATAGATATTCTTGTCACTCTCTTTGAAGCATCTATCTCCTTAATCTTCTCCTTGTTCTTGGGGATAGTGCAAATCGTTGATGTAGACCGACTGTATGTGCGTGCTAAATCAGCCTCGCTCACACCCCGTTCTCACTTTTCAATGATTTTACGTTTCATTTCTACGGTTATTTTTATTCTCTTATGGCTGTCTTTTTGCGGCTTTTTCTTCGGGGACATTTTTGCAAGGGTTATTAAACTTTGCACAAGAAAAATCACAAATATCTCTGAACGCAAGTTTGGAAAAATGTGTGATCACAAGCGACACTAAGATGCTAGTGGAACGAATGCTAAACATAGACTGATGTAGCAAGTGCACAATCCAGGACTTCCCCTCTCATCACTCGTTATGTGAGTCATTTTTTTACAATTTGTTTTGTTCGTTATGCGAATTACTCATTAAGCGAGGTTCCACTATACTAATTTCCTTGGTGTTATAATTCACAGTAACCTGAACTGGAAAGTATGTGGGGTAATCCAAAAGTTTCCAAAATTTGAATTTTGGGCGCGAATGGTTATGAGTACATCGAAATACCGCTAGGTGTCTCCTCACACATCCTTCTTGAATCAGTGTGGCAAGCGGCATCGAGTTGAGTGGTAGTGTTTCCGTGAGTTTGCAGTTTTGCGATGGCTGACCTGAGAGAGCAGCGTGTCTGTATAAAGTTTTGTTTCAAACTTGGGAAAACCGCTGCAGAAACACACCAAATGTTGAAGCAAGCTTTTGGTGAAAACAGTTTAGGCGACACAAACTTACAACTGGTATAAGCGTTTTAAAAATGGCCGAACATTGACTGATGATGACAATCGTTCAGGACGGCCATCAACGGGCAAAAGACCAGAAAATGTCGCGAAAGTTTGGGATCTGATTCTGCAAGATCGTAGACTGACCATCCAAGACCTCTGTAACACCTTGGGACTAAGTTATGGTACATGTCAACGAATTTTGACAGAGGAAGTGAACATGAGGAGGACTGCGGCGAAGTTTGTGCCACAACTGCTGCAAAATGAACAGAAGCAGCATCACTTGGAAGTCTGCAGGGAACTTCAGCAACAGCTTCAAGAGGATCCAAACTTTCTTTCGAAGGTTGTCACTGGTGATGAAAGTTGGGTTTATATCTACGACCCTGAAAGCAAGCAGCAATCGTCGCAATGGAAGAGCCCTTCTTCACCTTGGCCAAAAAAAGCTCAACAAGTCAAGAGCAACATTAAGTCCATGTTGCCTGTTTTTTTTATATTGATGGGATTGTTCACAAGGAGTTAGTCCCTCCTGGTCAGACAGTCAATAAAGAGTTCTATCGTGATGTTCTAAGGCATTTGAGGGAGAACATGCGGAGAAAACGTCCAGAGAAGTGGCGCACGAACAACTGGGCACTCCACCATGACAACGCACGACCACATATGGCTTACATTGTGCAGGAATTTTTGGCTAAAAACAAGATGGCAGTTGTTCCCCACCCACCGTACTTGCCAGACTTAGCTCCATGCGACTTCTTTCTCTTCCCCAAGATGAAAATCAAGTTGAAGGGGCGAAGATTTGATACAGCTGAGGAAATTCAAGCGGAAACGTAGACGGTACTAAACGCCCTAACAAAGAAAGACTTCCAGGACGGATTTGAAAAGTGGCAGAAACGCTGGGATCGGTGTATGCACTCCCAAGGGGACTACTTTGAAGGTGATGGTGCAGAATAAGATCTAGGTAAGATGTAATAGTTTTTATTAATATATTTCGGGAACTTTTGGAGTGCACCATGTACATACTGAAAGATCATACAGAATTAGCAGTAATTTATTTTAGGCAACTAAAGATATTAATAGTATACTTGCTATACATTCAAGAAACAATCTTATATGCAAACAAAAAGTGTAACTGCACTGTGAACAAACAAGTACATATTTATACCACAAGAAATAATGACTGTTATAGGTATGAACATAATTTAGAACTTTATAACAGTAAACCATCAGTAGCACACTGTATCTTCTATAACAAATGTTGCTGGTTCCACCATCTATAACAAATTGCCTAACAAAATAAAAATAACGAGTTTAAAAAGGAACTGAAGGACTCACTTATGAAGGAAAGCTGTAATTCAACAGAAGATTATCTCAATGAAGAATTCCATAATACTGGCTACTGATAAGCAGATATATAAAATAATCTATATTTCAAATAAGTTTATACCATGATCATTAATGTATTTCAATAATAATAGACGGACATGTCCTACATAAGTGTATTTTGATCTACAGAATAAAATAAAAGTGAATATGTGAAAAGCTTGCTCAGAAATGTGATGACAGGTCACGCAATACAGCCCACCTATCAAATGGAAATGGTGGTGGTGGGGTGGAATCTTTCTCCAGGGTTATAAAGCGGCCAAAATGTGAAGCTGATATGAACTGATAAAGTCTTAACAGGTATTATACCTTCATGATTTAATACTTAGGCACAGATGCAACTTTATCTTGACTGTAATAATTACCTCAGCTTGTTCATCCTTATATTATTGGAACTATATTATCATGCGTAGTTAACTAAAGGACACTGAGATAATGCAAATCCATCTTCCTAGTATGTATAGTTCTTAAAATGCAGTAATTCTAAGAAATTTATATAAAATATCTGGAGATACTGAAAAGGTCTTGCTCAGCGGTAGGTAATAATTACCACTGAATTACAGAATGTTAAGTCAATTATAAAATTACATGATGCTAACAAGACAGGAGACTTATCACCAAACTTTGTTGGCCATGTACTGTGGTGCCATAATGACATATGGGTCACCTAGGCAAGTGTTGCAGTCTTTCAATACTAATCCCATAAACATCCAGCCCACAGTACCATGAGATTAAGTATCACCCACTCCTGATGTTAAGACTAATAATGGGAAGGTGGTGGTTGCAATCTACTTAACATTTGACTATCCAGACCTGAACTACTGAGCCTATATCCACAGCAAGAAATGTGAGTTATTCAGCCAGACTTTAAACTGGCTATCTCCCCAACACAAGACACGCTACTAATTCCCAGTATGTGCCTTGCATTCTGGAGATACTGGTTCAGGTCTCTGTCAATATGGGTACCTTTGAGGTTCTAACTGCATCTCATGCACTTCCCTTCCTTTCTCCCTCTGTGTCAGCTGGCAACTACTGAATAAGCTTCTGAGCCTGACTGCATCGATTCACTTAAGCAACTACATGCTGATGTTGAAAATGTTGGTTCACAGAATTATTGTGCCCAAAGAGGGTGAGCATATGCGTATGCCCACTCACACAGGTACATACTAACTCCATGGAGCTTAGCCTTTCTTGAAAAGTCACCAGTTGTGTATTTACTCAAGAATTTCCCAACATTTTATGAAACCTGACGGTTCATTACTGTGTTTACAAGAGCCCTCCACTTGTCCCTATCCTCCGCCAAATCAATCCAGTCTACACCATCCCTCTAAGATACATTTTAATACTATCCTCTCATCTATGTCTTCCTGGCCTTCCTAATGGTCTCTTTATTTCTGGCTCTCCCACCAAAATCCTATATGGCTTCCTCTTCCCTCCCATGTGTGCTACATGCTCTGCCCATCTAATCCTCCTTGACTAGTTCACTCTTGTTATACTTGACACAGAGTACAAGTTATAAAGCTCCTCATAGTGCAGTTTTCTCCATACCTGATTTGTAAGATATAAAATCCCCAAATACTGTGAATGCACCTTCCACAGGTCCATTAGTCATTATCTCCTGCTGAATCTTCTGGACATTATTTTCAATACTATAAGCATGTCTACCTGAAATTTGCAAATAGAAAAACTTCAAAAGACAGTCTTAACAGGGATTATATAAACTGTAATTTATTATTCAAAGCCTATGCAATTAAACTTTTAAAAATCCACATCAGATGGAATAAATTACAATTTACTTGTCATAAATATACCCATAATTCTATATTCCTTTCTTCTGGAGAGTATTCTTAAAATGACAGGACAAAATGGATGGAATTTAGTAGCTAAATGCTTGCCCACATGGACTGCTTACAGCCATTTTAATGAAAAGCATTTATAACAAATATTTTATGTTTATAATTTGTGCACTGGAACTTACCAAAGTGTTTGTCCTTTTTGTATGGCACATCATAACCTTTCTCACATTCTCTTTCACAGCGTGGAGTAGTGTGTCCCTCTTGGCATGGCTTTCGAGAACCATTTGTATGATGTTCACATGGAGCAATGGCATATGGCTGGCATCCCTGAACACAAATATAAAAAATCAGTGCAAAGATATTGCACATACTTTCTCATATGAGTGACCTTGACAATGTTACCTTGGATGGAAACTGTTGTTTCTACAGACCACTGCTGGTCACTGAATATGCAAGTCACGGTATGTCCAACCATTAAAACATTTTTTCACATTTGGGCCCCTAGTGCATGTACCATTATTTTCCTGAACATACCACTTATGGAGTTTTATTTTGGGAGAGAGTTTCAATGAATTACTGAAATTTAATCAAAATCATTAGAGCAATTTCTGAGAAAACCACAAAAATTTGCTTTTTGTGGCAACTCTGATGGGCCTCTATTTTTTAGGTAGAATGTTCATATTCAATGGGCCCTAACCTATGGTAAATAAACTCCTACCGAATATGAATAAAATCCAGCCAACCATTCAGTTGCCAGCAAGAGAGACATACGTACATCCATACAGATGCCATTACAAAAACATCTTTCTGCATCAGGGTTGCCTGAAATGTGTAAACCCATTAGAATCTCAACATCAGTTTTTTTTAACTATCACAGCACTTTCTCAAATTTGCTATTTATATGAGAAAGTAAAAACTAGCAAAACAGTAAACATCAAGTGATATATCAAAGCATAGTTCTGACAGTTACTTTGTATGGTTATGAAACACATGAATCAAGGACATTACACATCATGGAACAAAGTTATTTCCATCTAAGCTCTCTAGTATTGTTGTGATGGTAAAATCAAGGATGTTATAATAGGCTACTGTAGGGTTAGTAGAGATGGATGGGCATAATTTTGATTGCGAAAGAGGTCATTAGAAAGACCAAGTTATTTGTCTCTCTGGTCAAAATATTCCCCTCAGCCCTTCTATTCTCTGTTCTTTGCTCAGAGTGACAGATCAAACTTACACTCTAGCAATAAAATTATAGTCATGAACTTTTCTTTTAGCCTAGAGACCAGGAGTAAGATGATCCCAAAATGAACAGCAGCAAACATCAGTTGAGTTTAACCTGTTCTTAGTTTCATCAGCCTCTGTCACTGTCATTCCCACATATATGAACATTATTATACTTTAAAATGACTGAGCAGAAATTCATAATTACTATTTTTCTTGTATTCTCATTATGACACATGAACATGCCATTAATGTTTAGCCTTATTTTACTTAGCAGCTAATACACTTTAAGTGAATGCCTCGAGACATGCTCATTAGTAACATTAAGAGAGTGTAAGAGAACAGACTGTGTCACAAGATAAATTAATGGAGAGTAACAAAAAGCATACAAATAATAAATACTGTATCAAGTACAGGAGAATTTACATAATGTGGGTATCCGAGTATATCTTATACAAATAAAAATGTAAATGTTCGTTTGTTACCCCTCGAAAATCTCCGAAAGTTCTTCACCAACTGCTTCGAAATTTTGACACAACGTTGCATTTGAATTCACGCGTTTTTATATACCCACTATATAGATGTCACACCTGTGACAGGTAAAAACATGCATCTTTTGAAAACCGGAATTGGAATTTGGAATTCAGAAGAGTCACCGCTATGGAAATGCTAGAACAGACCGTTGCATAGGAAGTAACAATAGTGATACTGTATCGAATCTCCATGGTTATGACGAATACACAGAGAGTTCCCACAGAGACAACGCAATAACAATGGGTCGCTGCATAGGAATCGCGGAATCAACAAAGCAGCACATGGCTGAAGATATTTTCTGTCGAATACGCATGGAAAATTCCAATATGAACATGGATTTCACAGCAGAAATCTGCAATGAAGCGCTGATAATGATTGAAGATTTGTGCTTAGAAATTGCGAACAAAGTTCTCAATCAATTGGGAATGCCATCACCGAATTGATCTGCTGCTGCTTTGTTCAATGCAGAATTGCATCATGAACAAAATTACAACACGGGTGATCTTTTGTCGTATGTGCAATGAAATATTCCTAAGCCAGCGCTTGAGCAAAAAGGTATTTACGATCAAATAATGCAAACTGTCAATAACGGGGTTGCAGTATTCTTCTTCTTAGTTACACCAGGAGGAACTGGTAAAACGTTCCTAATTAGATTGATTCTGGCAGCAATTCAATCCCAAAATGCCATAGCCTTAGCTCTTGCATCGTCCGGCATAGCTGTGACATTGCTACCGGGTGGAAGAACTGCTCATTCCGCTTTGAAATTGCCATTGAACATGCAACATTTCCAAAGGATCAGGCATGGGAAGGATATTGCAGAAATGCAAATTTATTGTTTGGGATGAATGCACAATGGTGCAAAAAAAATCACTCAAGGCTCTTCATCAATCATTGCAAGGTTTGCGTGGAAACATCAGACCATTTGGGAATGCATTGATATTGCTTGCAGGAGATTTCAGGCAAATATTACCTGTAATTCCTTGATCAACACTAGCGGACAAAATAAATGCTTGCCTGAAATACTCTACTTTGTGGCAACACGTAAAGACGTTAAAATTAACTACAAATATGCGTGTCCAGCTGCAAAACGATCGATCAGCTGAGATATTCTCACATCAATTGCTGGAAATTGGGAACGGAAAGGTGCCGGTTGATCTGACCTCAGGACGAATTTCGCTGCCTCATAACTTCTGCAAATTAGTGACGTCAAAAGAATTGGTTGAAAAAGTATTTCGCAATATTCACACCAATTATAAGAATCATGATTGGCTGAGTGAATGAGCTATTCTTGCAGCCAAGAATAAAGACATCTACGAACTTAACAATATCATTCAGTCTAACATTCACTGCGAGGCAGTCACATACAAGTCCATCAACACTGTTGTGGAAGCAGATGAAGCGGTTAATTATCTAACAGAATTTTTTAATTCACTCGATCTGCCACAGCAACGCATGGCCGGGTACAGCTAGTTTAAATATAAAAATACACAAGTTTTTTTTTATTGCTAGTGANATGCGTGTCCAGCTGCAAAACGATCGATCAGCTGAGATATTCTCACATCAATTGCTGGAAATTGGGAACGGAAAGGTGCCGGTTGATCTGACCTCAGGACGAATTTCGCTGCCTCATAACTTCTGCAAATTAGTGACGTCAAAAGAATTGGTTGAAAAAGTATTTCGCAATATTCACACCAATTATAAGAATCATGATTGGCTGAGTGAATGAGCTATTCTTGCAGCCAAGAATAAAGACATCTACGAACTTAACAATATCATTCAGTCTAACATTCACTGCGAGGCAGTCACATACAAGTCCATCAACACTGTTGTGGAAGCAGATGAAGCGGTTAATTATCTAACAGAATTTTTTAATTCACTCGATCTGCCACAGCAACGCATGGCCGGGTACAGCTAGTTTAAATATAAAAATACACAAGTTTTTTTTTATTGCTAGTGAGTGGGACTAAGTCCCTTGTACTACGGTCACTTCTGGCCTATTGTACCAGCCCCACATGATAAGTGAGGGTGACTGTGGAGCAATTGGTGGAAAGAAGATTGGCAGGGGAAACCGAAGTACTCAGAGCCCCAGCGCCACTTTGTCCACCACAAATCCCACTTGACCAGACCCGGGATCGAACCCAGACCGCCGGGGTGGGAAGCCAGCTGCTAACCACTTCAGCTATGGCGCAGCCCAATACACAAGTTACTCAATGACATTAAGAAACAAGTAGACAATTTTATTACCTGATGTGAATCATATGATCCTCCACTGACAATCCCTTTCTTTACCCAGTAACTCCAAGCTGCACCAGGGAATCCCCCATTGCAGCCAAACCCACAAGACGAACAGCATGAAACCAGATCCTCTGCTGAAAAGTGGAAGTGGAGAGTGCCATTTGAATGAATGCAAACTCTGTCTGACATGGCTTCCACTGCACCAAATGCCTAGAAAATTTACATACAGTTTACAAAGAGTAAAGCACTGGCCAAACTTTTTCTTTTATTTTATATTGTTTTACTTATTTCCATTTGTTTCTCAGTACCAGTGCAGCTGAGAATGTTGGTTATGCCCATTTCCCTAATCTAATTTTATCTACAAAATAAGCATTAATAAATACCATCTACACTGGCATATAAGGCAATCCTAAAATTTTCAATTAAAGTTTAAGTTTTGGGATATTTGACCTGAGACTGAGGCTTGTTGTTATGAACAGTCACACACAAAAGATTTTGGACTGAATGGTAGCAAACATTACCCGAATTCAGTCTCCTCTTAATTTTATCCTGAATCAGGTTTTCATGTGTTATCATTGTTCTCAAATATGTGAACTGTGCCACATTTTCAAAACATCTGTTAGCTATCATTATGTCATGATTTTGCCCTGCATTCAGGTGACAAGACCACAACATATACTTAGTTTTCTCTGTGTTTATTTCTAGAACAACCTCCTTATTAGTGTCAATTAAAGCTTGTGTTTTTTTCTTTATGGTATCTATTATGACCCAGTAGATTCACTGATAAACCAACAGATGATGTGTCCCATTTAATTTCAGTCCCACCTGGTTTTCCTGGACCTTCATAATTGCATATTCTAAAGCAAAGTTGAAAAGCAGTGGTGATATAGCACCTCCTTGTTTTAGACAATTCTGGATAGGGAAATTATCAGACAAATGTTTACCTATATGGACTTTACTATATGTTTCGTTTAAACGCATTTTAATCAGCCAGACTAGTTTCATAGGCACCCCAAACTGTATCAGAATATTGTACAATACTTCCCTCCTAACTGAATCATGACTTTCTTGTCTATGAACAGCTGATGTACTGTCTCATTGTACTCCCATTTTTTCTCCAGTATGTGATGAATGCAAAAGACCTCGTCAGTAGTTGATGTGTTACGTGAAAACCCACACTGATGATCCCCAATAATTTCATCTATAAATGGACTGAACAAACATGTCACTGACATTTGTTTCAAATTATGTCCTATGAATTTACATAAGACTACCAATATCTGTGGGGTATGTAATTACCAAAATGTGATATCACCACATTCAAAATGCAGTAAGGCACATTGCTGACAACTATATCTACACATCTGGTGCTGAAAAGACTATGTATCTGCATTTTCTTTTATGTTCTGTATTCCATATATTCAGTCCAAACAACACCATGAAAAAGCACCCATGTTCATTAGTTAGGGGCCAGTCCCATCAAAATGCGAGTATTATGTATCAGTTTAATAAGCCCATAAAGACAGTATCATGAACTTTCTGAAACATAATTATATGTAACATTCTGTGATTTACTCCACCTACACTCTATCTCACAAGCAATTACTGGGTTTTTAATTTATATTTTAGTCTACACAGCAATAATCAACTGTTACATAATCTCTTTCACCGAGTTCATACTCAGACATTTCCAAGCCCTTCCTCGCTACATGGATGCATGCAGTAGTGTAGTTGGTTGAGGCACTATGCTACAAGCAGAAGTTCGCGGGTTCGAGTCCTGAGGTGGATTTCTTCAAATGACCTAATCTTTCTAGCTGCACTATGGCCCTGGGGTAAACTCCGTCTCTAACAGAAATGAGAACCAGGAATCTTCCTGGGAGGTAAAGGGCTGCCAGCCCATAAGGCTGACAACCTTACCACCACCTGTGAGCCCACTGTCTACAGAAAATGCGGAAGCCTCGACCTGTCACAACCCTATGGGCCTTCAAGGCCTGTTACAGGGATAGCTTTATCTTCACCATTTCCCTCAATGCATCCTATCTTGCTATAAATACTGTAAATAATATGAGAAATGAGAGATCCCCACCCAACAAGATCCACATGATCCTTGGTCACGTATCTCCTTTATTGTTGGGCAGTCTGGCCAATGTTCTCTTGCATCAAATTCCTCAGGAATTTCAGTATCAGTCAGTCCACCAGATTTTGTTGGCAGGTGAAATAAATGTGCATCACGGTGCACTCCCATGAGTTGAAGGATATATTCATGGGGAATATCCTCCATGAAATTCTGTCCAGCCTGCAAATAAAAGTAAAATATATTAATTCCACAAGCAACAATAGAGATTCCTGATATCAGAAAGGCGATATTTTCAGATCAAAATATATAGCTCAAACTACTAGACTAGACTAAAAAAAAAAAAGAAGAAAGAAAAAAACGATATTTATATTTTCTGAAGTCTTAGTCACTGAAACATATTTAACTAATGCTTCTATCATCAGACTCGCAGTTCTACTTTCAAGATGTAAATGGCAGGTTCATCTGAAATGTTAGCACCTCTCTACCAAGCAGCATAGTAACATCCCGGATGTCGGTAATCTTCATATGCTTAGCAGTTCGCCATCTGTTGCAGATATGTCATAAAAACTTATAATTATTCACTGCTATGCACGTAATCAGCCATGATGGGAAGGCAAAGTTTGTACATTACAAAATTCATTTATACACCTTCATTATGTGACTGCATGCACCAGGGGTCAGTATCCTTTTACCAGTGCTTTACACACATAACAAAATCCCTTCATATATCTGCAGCTTTCCCTGATGTTGGCATTAATTAAAGCAAATCAGAAGGAACTTTCATCCATCTGGACGACACTTCGATGATTATGTAAAACTGGAGGATAAGCTTCTAGCAGACATACACAATGGACTAACAAATGAAATTACAAATACATAAACATCTTGTGTTCCAACACAAATCTCTCAAACCTACCCAACCTAGTTACTCAACACAAATCAGGAAAGTTACATCTGCAATCTGGTCTCTTACTGTACGGGGTGTCCGCATGAAAGGTAACCAAAATAAAATCACTATATCTTGGAAACAATTTATTATACACATTTATGGGTTACACCACTACAAGGGGAAACTATCACCGTTTTTTTTCTGCATATATAACTTTCTCAATAAATTTAAATGTGGGCTCCATTGGTGGCATTACAAATATCCAGACTTCAAGCATGTTTGGTGTTACTGTAGCCACAGCGTCCCTTATGCAGGCTTTCAGGTGTTGAAGCTCGTTGATCTTAACCTGGTAGACAATGTTCTTCACATAACCCCACAAGAAAAGATCCACTGGGGTTAAATCTGGTGACCTAGGAGGCCAAGCAATTGGTCCACCTCTGCCAATTCATACCTCAGCCATCTCTCTGTCCAGGCGATTCCTAACATGGTGGCAAAAATGTGGTGGCGTATGCATTTAGGCCGGGTATGAAAAAAAAAAGATTTCAGAGTTTTCCTTTCTGATGACATAAACCAGATACATGTAAGACAATTAGTTTACAAGATATACATTTTTTTTATTTTGGATACCTTTCATCTGGATACTCTGTATTTCACCATATTGTCATCCTTCCATCCTACTGGTTTACAATGACATGATCCCAATCTTGTTCAATTGTGTGATTAGCAGTATAAGAAATGTATCTCACGAACAGAGTATTCTTGTTTCTTTGCATTATGTAATCCTCATGACAGACTACAAGAGTATTTAGCGTTGCCATCCTTGGACAAAACTACAACTTACATCCTGGATATGACCAGTGCTCTGGAGCTAAAGGATTTCCTTCAGTATCAATACTCCTCCTATTTCTGATGAATGTTAGATGCAACAGGCTAAGACCCTAATCTACAGACAAGAGTAAAAGAATGGCATCTCAAATCAGGCTAGGTTACATTATGTTCCTTCTTTTTATGTATAAGAATATTTACTTCTACTATTCTTACATTACCTGCATGTTTTTGTACAGTGAGCATGAAACATACTATATAATGCAGTATAATGCAGCGGTAAATAGTGTGACGTCAAAGGCACATTCTTGGCCTGAACACTAGAAGCAGAAATCAAATTTATTTACCAACTTCAAATCTTTTCGTTTTCCAGAAGGGCACTATGTTTACCGGTATTAGGTTATTTAATAGATTACCAGAGACCATTCAAAGTCTTAGAAAGGATAGAATAAGTTTTAAAAATAATTTATTTTCATATCTCATAAATAATTCATTTTATACAGTTCATGAATTTTTGGAGCATACAGTAAATAGTTACTTACAGTGTTTGTTTAGCTTTGTATTGTCTTTCTGCTTTGTCTGTGTTATGCTTGTGACCAGTTTCATGTCCATTGTATTTTGGACTTGTGAAATGTGAAATATGTATGTACAGTCATGTGTATTGTGAGATTCAGCAAAAACAGGAAGACATGAAACTTACTCGTGTAATATCCAAAGAAGAGTAACAAATATGAATGGGAGACTAAATAAATATATTGCTTCTTCAGTTTTGTAATACTGTGTCCCCACCATATTTATTCCTACAAAGAGATCTCGACAATTTCATTATCATTATTTGTGATGCCCCAAATTTGAGATTAGAAAGAGGAGGGTATTACCCAAAAGCTAGAGGCTTGCGAAAAGAGTTTCGCAGTTATTGCCGTAAATTGTAAACACCGGGACTGGCAAGTAGGTTAAGAATGTGAAGACTCAGCAAGTCTCGGTGTACCACAAAGCCAGTAGCTTACCTCACTCGTACACTGGATTACTCGTGAAAGACTGCTTACACAGCAAGGAGACGCAAGGGGGTCCGCCCACAACCACCCATGAGAGCCAATGAGGAGGTTATTATGAGGATGGAGGACACTGAGGGGGGAGTCACCCACCCTCTTTCGTCAAGGCTGAATCAGCGAAATAAAACCATAAATTAGGGAATTTCGGGGGACTTGGGGGACGTTCTATCAGATAATATTCGCTTGTCAGCCGGAGGCTCTCGGCGACATGTATTCCATAAGAGGGTGGACAACGGCTGTAATCTACATTTGTATTGCACGTAAGTCTCTTTGCTCATATACGCCATGCTGTTAAAAGGTGTGTGAATACAAGTGTTATTGTGAGATAATGAGGCAGTATCCAGTGAACCAAGTGAGAGTCAGGGTAGAACAGGGTAGGAATGAATGTACAGTAGCAGACGATGATAGGAGTGCAGTTCAGGGCACCTCCCCTTCACAACTAGGACGGTAGAATGGGTTTAGCGAGAAGTGTCATGTAAACAGATAAGGGCAGGCCTTTTTCTTAATGTATTTATGATTGTAAATAGACAAGTGTACATAGTGGAGAATGTACGCAGGGAGTTCTGATTCGCCCATTAGTAACCATCCTGTCCTCAACCGAGCCCGAGCTTCCCTAGCCAAGACTGCCGACGGCAGCCGAGTGCAACATAGATGTTAGCGAAAGAGAATAACCGACGAAAGTAATTATAAGTTCTCACCCCCTCCCCCTGAGGTGTAACATTATTAACTCGTATTTAGCACTACTAGACCCATTGCTGAACTTCAGCTCCTGAATATCCATAATATTACTGACTTCTGTTCGTATGTCACAGAGCTGGGAACATTATTATGCTTTGTCTGGCCATAAAAGGAAATACTTCTGGTTGACTGTTCTGGATACTAATACATAAACCTCTCCATACTACATAATATCCTAAATTTTGTTTTGTTTACTACTGTCTTACAATGCCAACTTCAGTGGATAGAGGGTGTCATGTGATCAGCGCAATGAATCTCCACGGCCATTAATTTCGGTTTTTTAGACTGGAGCCACTATTTCCTAGAAACAGCTCCTCAATTATCCTCACAAGGCTGAGTGGACCCCATTCCAGACTTCTTATAAAATCTGGTAGCGCCAGGAATTGAACCTGGACCTCTGGATCTGTAGCCAGGAACTCTGGCCACTAGACCACAGAGGCGGTCTAACTTTGCCGACAAGCAGCAGTCACTCGGTTGGTATAGTTCACTTCTTTTTGTTTTGTTGTCTTACAATAAATCATTGTAACAGTCAACCTCAAAATGGAAGGTCTGATAAACATCTATGCTCAGAGAGAACGAGTGCTCAGCCAGAAATAAAAATCTTGCTACAAACCAAGACTGTGTTGATATACTGGCTGGTCAGACCTATCACAAACCTCATATCCGTACTGATGAGTATGAACTATTAACAGAATGACTTTCAGCAGATGTGTATTTCATTTTTTATTTATTTTGTTTTTAATGATGCTGACAGCAGTTCAGAAAATATAGCATCAAACGGTAGGATGACTAAGGAGTGCTGGATTGCAACGGATTTGGAATTAAGCAGTATTTCCTATTTCAATGTACTACCCCAGCATTCATTCAGAGGGACTATGGAAGACCACATAAAACCTTGGCAAGTATAGACAGTATCCTGACTAAGATTTGAACCAACCACTTATCAATACAAGTCAGATATGTTACCATCTGAGCCAATTTCCTCAGGAGTTATGTATAAAACAAATAGAAGTAAATGATCTTGTGAAAATAGTTATCAAACAACACATAGTACACACTGGAAATGCATTAATGAAACAGGCAACAAGAATGTTGCTTAATGCAAAGAACCTGAGGCTCTGATAAAACTGCCAAGCTCAGACTCCAGGGTATCTAGTAGGATTTGAGATTCTCACAGTGATGGTTATGAAGAGTGCTATCTTCTGGAACATAATGCCGTGTAGTCTGTTGAAAGCCAAAAGACATCGCAGCTCATTCTTCGACCCTGAAGATTGAGGACACATGTTCCTCTGAAACGTCAAATGATTTTCAATGGACCACATGGTGTTATATACTAGAAGACAGAACTCTTCATTTCCAAAGTGGCTGCACACTTACCTTCCATGTTGTATGGAGGGAATTTATATAACTGATAAATTCTTTCGACAACAGTGATGGATACGAGTGTTCCGGTTGGGGAGATCCTGATATAACAACGTGCAGACAAATGGAAAATATAAGTACTATCACTGTCAGGAGAGCCGTAAATGGGCCTTTGGGCGGCATATTCTGAAAACAAATTGCAATTAAAATGGGTAAAGAACATAACCGACCCCACATCTGATCTTGTAAGTCGACACTGTGTGTTCACGTTCGACTCGAGGCTTGTAACTCTGAATTACATGACGCATCTGCAATACACATCACGTGTCACTTCTCAATTAAAAATAAGAGGAATATCTAGGACGGCAGTTATCTCAATCTATTACAAAAATTCAAATTCAAACAACACACTCACAAAAACACAACACAAACCAAACCACGTACAGAAACACAACACAACACAACTTAAACAACGTAACTTCTCTCACTTGCTTTCACCCTTACTACAAAAAGAAGTCGCAGTCACATACGTCACATGCGCACAATAACTACGATGACTACACACATATACACTTATGTGAACACATGACTCACCTCGCCACTCGCCACCGTGTTCCGATCACAGAACGTTAGCGACAAGCAATGCACAGACGCACGGGCTACAAAGCACACACAGTGCTGTCATTTATCCGCGTTAGTATCCGAAACTGTGTAATATGGTGTCAGAGATATACGTACACTGATCGATTAGGGCGATTAGCGGCATTAGGGGATTACCCCCTTGTGGAGATGGGGTCGAATACCTCCACCGTGTCCACCATAGCGCTGTGGGTCGTAGGAGGCGACGAAAAGGGAACCCAGTGGTTGGAGGTATAACTGGGCCACCCGCAATCCTAGGGGATATAAATACGGGGACCTAGCTGTCCAGCTTGGAGAACACTCGTATCTGAAACAGTAAAATGTGATCATGAATCCAACGGGACTTGGATCTGAGAATGCGCTGGTGAGGCCCAGCAGCAACTGTAAAAGACAGACCCATCTAGTCAGACTCGAGACTCGAATCTGCAACAGTAAAATGTGATCATGAGTCCGGCGGCACTAGGATCTGAGAATGCGCTGGTGAGGCCCAGTAACATTTAAAAAAGACAAACCCATCCTATCATCAACGAGGATGTTACATTAGGACTGCGACCGCAAGTGTTCAGTTGAAAAAAAAAATGCTGATCGCGAGTCTCAAGGGACTTGTCGCTAAGACAAACTAATTTGCGGTAAACCGCCGGTCGTAAAGTAACTCTGAGGCCGAGGGCACACCAAGGAAACTGGCAGCCGCAACGCAACCACAATTACCGAGAAATATCGCCGATTTCAAGCAGGCAACAGGTTTCCAGATTAGCAGGCGTACACTGTGGAAACTTACGTTTGATTAGTTGCTCGCGTCATAAGTGTTTGTCCGCTAATTTTGTGCACTTCTTTAAATCACTGAAGCATCTGTTGTCCATAATTTCTTCAGAACCAGGGAAGATGTGTTTTGCGAAAGAGCTGAAAAATATGCAGCAAATCAATCAAGTCATCATATTTGAAATGATGATGAAGATGATGATGATGATGGAAGGCAAAAAATTGTCCAGGGTACAGCGCCTGCGAAATCAGCTGGCTGATTATTTCTTAACGTTAGCAGGAGTAACTCCGCCTCAATGGAATTATCTTAATTGAATTCAACTGATAATTGTATATGATTAGGACTAATCTAACTGCTGACTTGTATCACAAAGCACGGACTATATTGTAGTAATTGTTACATTGCTTTAAGCAGGCATATTCTGTATTTTGATTCTATTATAGGTTTTGATTATAACACACACACATATTATATTATTATATTATTTATTATACTGCAATTGGGTTTTAGCCTGGTGGCAGTAGTACACAATAGGACACAACAGACAAGTAACACACATTACACTAAGTGACAACACGTTCAAACAAAACACAATACACAAAACACAACAATAAGGACATCCTACCACAATGAATACAAACCAAATATGATTAACAACTACAACAATTACAGAGAAATACAAACAACTGCAACAAATACAACAACAAATACAGAGAGAGAGAGAAAAAAAAACAACACCCAAAACACAAACAAAAGGCTTGACCCAGTGTTCAGATAACTTTATTGTCAAGATATACAGTGCCCCAGTTAGGTCATGTTCCCTGAGCATTTCTGAACCTTTCTGAGCAGACATGACCCTTCTCAGTGGAAACTTAATCTTTACCTCAGACTACATGTTGTATAGTGTCTTGGGTTTGCAGCCTAGTGGAGCTTGTTAGTACAGTGTACAGTACGGAAGCTACATAACAGGAGTATTCGTCACTGAGAGGGAGTAACCAGTCAGTTACAGTCTAGCATTTGCCGGAGTAAATGGAAGCAGGAGAAGTAAGTGTGATACTGCTGATGGCAGTAGTTGCAAAATTGTAAACTGTGTAAATGTAAGAGTGAGTGGAATAAATTCCCTAGAACCAAGACGGCGTGAAGTTATTTGTCGCGTTACATACCCAACTTACTTACTCATGGAGCTGAGCCCTTCTGGAGGAGCCACCAATTCTGCAGCTACTCAAGAATTTCCCAGCATTTTATGGAACCTGAAAGTTCATCACCGTATTCACAAGAGCCCTCCACTGGTCCCTATCCTGAGCCAGATCTATCCAATCCATCCCATCCGATCTCTCTAAGATCCATTCTAAAATTGTCCACCCACCCACGACTTGGTCTTCCCTGTGGTCTCTTTCCTTCTGGCTTTCCCACCAATATCCTATATGCATTTCTCATCTCCCCCATTCGTGCTACATGACCTGCCCACCTCATCCTCCTTGACTTGATCATTCTAATTATACTTGGAGAGGAGTACAAGTTATGAAGCTCCTCACTATGCAGTTTTCTCCAACCTCCTGTCACTTCATCCCTCTTCAGTCCCAGTATTCTCCTCAACACTCTGTTCTCAAACACCCTCAGTCTATGTTCCTCCCTTAATGTCAGAGACCAAGTTTCACACCCATACAGAACCACAGGCAAAATTATAGTTTTGTATATTCTAATTTTTAAGTTTTTGGACAACAGACTAGAAGACAAAAGGTTCTGGACTGAATGGTAGCAAGCATTACCCGAGTTCAATCGCCTCTTAATTTCCTCCTGAATCAGGTTTTTATCTGTTATCGTTGTTCCCAAATATCTGAACCGTGGCACATTTTGTTACATACCCAACATGTGACAATACTGTCTGTATATACCACACTTTTCTCGGGCCATTATCTCCGTAACCGTTCAACTTTTGACATAGGTGTTTTGGGTTATATCGGCATACTTTAACATAAGGGACACCCTCCGAAGTTTTGACCATTCCTCCTGGGACATTCTGTATTTATAGGGGGCACGCGGTAGCGCAGTTGATTGAGGGGCGTCCTGATGAGATCATTGGATTTTTTTTTTCAGTTGACCTAATCCTCCCAGCCGCACTAGGCCCTGGGGTTTACTCAGCCTCTAACAGAAATGAGTACCAGGAATTAATTAAATAATTTTCCTGGGGAGTAAAGCGTGGCCGTCACATAAGGCTCACAACCTTACCGCCATCTTTGAGCAGATTTTCTAGATAGTGTGGGACCCTCNATTATATATATTATATATACAATGTATAGACAATGCATGAGTAGACACGCCTGACAATACATTATATCCGTTACCGAGCAGCAATTTGTTTTCTGTGGATGGTCCGTGACGAGCCTATATAGGGAGCAGTGAACACTGGAGCTCGACACATCGTCATTTGCAATGTGACTTAGACTTGTTCAAGGAGATTCAAGGAGCAATAAGGGAAGAACCAAGAACGAAGACACTCCACCGAGAATAGCGGTGCATGAGCATAGCCATTGAAGAGGGAACGTGAAAGTCGTTACTGAGAGTGATTATAATGGTAATTGTAAACAAATAATTGTCCACTAAACATTCGTCTAATCCGAAATCCATCGTTTCTTGTCGCGTTACCTAGGAAACACGCGACAATGTTTCCTCTGCATGCACCTGCTAAGCTGGAAACCAGTTGCCTGCTTGAAATCGGCAATTTTTCTCTGAAATTGCGGTTGCGTTGCAGTTACCAGTTTCCTTGGTGGGCCCTCGCCCTCCTAGACGTCCTAGACTAGACCGACTAGAGACTAGACCGACTAGACCGACTAGACTATCCTATCCTGGGCGTCCGATCCTGGATAAGTAGACTGCGACCTCTGGCGACAGAATCTAAAACTATATCGGTGGTTAAATATTCAGTACAAACCACTGTGCAGTAAATTTTATATATTGATAAATTATATATTAAAGTACATTTATTTAAATGAGCGATAGAAGCATGTATACTAACAATCAATGATACTACTTTGACATATTGATGGAATTAATTTGAAAATGGGTAGCAAATGTGACCAATCACAACACAGTTGATGATCATGAGTAACCAATAAATGGACAGAATCGTGAACTTTAAATAGTCTAGAAGTTTGTGATTGGAGACGACGCCAAACGAATTGTCCAGATCTGCGGTCGTTGAGGTCAGATGAAGTTGACGTTGGTTTAGGCTGAGTTGTTTGCTGGTAGTAATAGATTAGCTGTTTGTAAGACTAAACGAACGATTTTCTATTTGTAAGTATTTACAATATAAATATTCTACTTTTCTTGGGAGTGAAGAACTCAATGCTTATGCCTGACAGATTTTAATTTTTTGTTTCCGTTTTTCCATTTAAAGGCGTCGAGAATGCCATCTCAAGAAAACTATGTGTCGGGCAGACAAAACAGATTAACGTCTTTCAAAAATAAGGGGAAAGATGCTGATGTAAGTACGAATTGGTAATAGAGGAAGTTTATGATTTATTTTGGTTTTGTTAGGTTGTCGTGTGGGTAGTGGCATATATTGTTAATTTATAAATTATTAATTCTTACATAATTGAGGTTTTAACTGTAGTCTTGAGAGTATATTGCATGTTTGTAGCAAGTTATTCTGAGTAACTGATTGGGACAAAGTTGATGTTCCAGTGTTTGTGTTCGAAATGTGGAAGCGTGAAATTGAATTGAGGAGTGAAAGAGTATGTTAGTATTTAGGTAACCATTATCCAAAATTATTTTCATCTCTGTTGTAACTGTAGGATGGCCAGGCCGGGTTACAATATTGAGCACTTCTTTTTGTGGGATCTGCTTTTAAATCTGAAGTACTTTTCAGTATGCTTATATATGGAAACAAATCAGGTGTGGAGAATAAGTTGGTATAATTTTCTTTTTGGGTCTAGTAGCTGAGAAAGAAATTTATTCATTAATGTTTAAGGTAGATATATAAGTTATAGTTTATGTTCCAGCGAGGAGCAAGTGGTAAAGGTGAACAAGCCACATCTATCCAAGGAGAAAACATTAATAATAAAACTTGTATTATAGGAGATGCGCAGGCGTCGGAAAGAAGTGAGTGTAGAACTTCGCAAAGCTCGTAAAGATGATCAATTGCTCAAAAGGCGAAATCTAAATGCTGAAGATGACTGTACCCTACGACTACAAGAAAACGCCCAATCAACAGTTGATATGACAATAGAGGCAATTATTGAAGGTACAGTTTTTAATATTTCATTTATAAATTAGAAAGTAGGGAACATGTGTGATATCTAATCATACAAACTTCAACATTTGAAGTGAATATGTGTGCAGTGAATATCATAACCATAATTTGCATTTAAGATTAATACTTCTAGCTAATTACTAGAATTCTAGAAGCAGCTGGTTTTGAACACTTTTTTCAATAATTTACTTGGCTACAGGGAGGATGGGAAGGCACAAGGTAGCATAGTTGGTTGGGGCACTATGGTACAAGCCGGAAGGTCACGGGTTCAATTCCAGATGAGGTCATTGTATTTTTGAATTGACCTAATCCTTCCAGCTACACTATGGCCATGGGGTTGACTCAGCCTCTAACAGAAATGAGTACTAGGAATCTTCCTGGGGGTAAAGGGCAGTCAGCACATAAGGCTGACAACCTCACAGCCATGTGAGAGCCATTTGTCTAGAAAATGTGGGAGCCTCGACATCTCACAACCCTATGGACCTTCATGCCCCGTAACAGGGATAACTTTACCTCACATTTACAGGGAGGATAGGATGGGATGGGCAGGGCATGCAGCTCACTTGGAGAGAGAGGAGGAATGCATGTAGGAATTTGATTGGAAAGCCAGAAGGAAAATGAAGATGTAGGTGGGAGGATAATATTAAAATGGATCTTAAAAGAGATAGGGTGAGGTGGTATGGACTGGATTTGTCTGGCTCAGCATAGGAACCATTGGAGTGTTTCTGTGAGTATGGTTATGAACCTTTGGGTTCCATAAAAGTGTTGGGGAATTCTTGAATTGCTGAGCAACTGGCAGCTTCTCAAGAAGGACTCAGCTCCATGGAGATAGATACTGGGTTACAATGTCATAACTCACACAGTCTTAAGTTTTCACCACCATGCAAACCCAAAATTTAATCCTGCACTCTTTTTGTTCTTGTCATCCACTAATGCATTTCAGTTTTAACTATACTTTGTTCCGAATAACCATGGAATAGACACAATCAAAAGCTGAACAGATGGCTTGTCTTGAAGAGGCTCACCTTGCATACATTTCTCACAATGTCCTTAATATCAGTAGTTCCGCAGTCTCACATGCAACACTAATATTCTATAAAACTTATTAAAATCTGTTCATTTTAAAAGGTCTTGTTTTCAAATGCATTTGAAAACAAGACATTCAAGATATGAGGTGCATCGGAAAGTTCCCAGACTACATGGAAAAAGAAATGCTGACTTAACTTACTCAATTTTGCCTGCCATCTTTTTCAAAATAGCCTCCTTGTTAACATATACAATGATCCCATTGTTTTTTCCATGCTTCCAAAGCATCGTAGTAATCATTTTCCTTATTGCTGTCTGGTGTCACTTGTGATTCTCTTTTGATGTCAGACACAGTTTCATTTTCAATTTGGGAAACAAAGCGAAATAACAGGGGGCTGAGTTTGGCGAGTAAGGAGGCTGGGGAACGATAATCATGTTGTTAAGACAAAGTTGTGATTTTCAGGGATGTGTGGGCAGGTGCGTTGTCGTGATGACGGAGCCAGTTTTGGTTACACCAAAGTTCTGGTCTTTCTCATTGCATATTTTCTTTGAAGCGTCTGAAAATGTCACGGTAAAAGTCATGAGTTGACTGTAGTGTTAGGAGGAACAAATTCACTGTGAACAATCCCCTTTATGTCAAAAAAAAAAACAAAAAAAAAACAATGAACATGCTCTTTGTTGAACTCTGGGCCTTGCAGTGTTGCTCTTCCACTTTGTGCGACAATTGTTGTTTTGTTTCTGGATCATAGCCATAAATCCAAATTCATCACCTGTTATGATCATAGAAATACTGTTAAAAGGGGGGTCGTTGTTAGCCTTCTCTTGTAGCTCAAGGAACACGTTAATGCACCTGCTTTTGATCATTTATCAAGAGTCGGGGTACAAGCTTTGCAGCAGTGCAGTGCACCTTCAAATTTTCTCTTAAGATCTCCTGGTAAACTCCATTGGTATCTGTGAACTCATGGAGATTGGTTAGTGATGGTTTTCATGGATGAGTTCTCAAATTTTTTCAACATTTTCTGTTGTTTTCGTGGTGCTTGGTGACCCTGAATGTTCCATCATATTCAGCTGATGCTCAGCCAGCCTTAAAATGTGAATGCTGTTGAAAAACTGCTGTGTGGCTTAAAGAATGTTCTCCAAAAGCATCATGAAGCATTTCAATGGTTTCATTGTCAGATTTTCTGAGCTTCACATGGAACTTGATGCAGGCACATTGCTTGATTTTGCCTCCCATCACAGACAAAATGAAACATGAAGCCAAAAAAGCACTCCTATAAAAACTGCATGTTCATAGCACGGTGTCACATGGCAGACTTATACAATAGGCTTCCAGAAGTGTGACCTCGGCCTCCCCTCTCATCATCTTTCATTGAGGCGGTTGCAGCAATAACAGTCCGGGAACTTTCTGGTACACCACGTAACAAAACAGGAAGGAACACAACCCACCATCTCAAACACACATGCACAATGAAGGTACTGCGTATTAACAACCTAAGCAATAATAAGATTGGACATCAGTTTCCTCATCCATAATTTTTAACATCTGATGATGACAGCGTTGGTCAGAACATGTAGTATAAAACTTTAAAGTGAATATCATTTAATAAGTTTTATAGAACATCAGTGTTGCACGTGAGACTGTGGAACTACTGATATTATGTGAAAAGTGCAACAGGATGCTGCAATACAATATTACGAGAAGTAGTCTCACAGTGTCTATTCTATAAGTACACAAAGGCATTATATGAATAAAATGCATTGACGGACATGTTCAGTAGCGAGTGTTTCCATTGAAGAATGACAGACAGCTAATTGAAAAGTGGCTTTCTAATAAAGATGAAAATCTTCCCACATGTTCTGGAATTTGTCCCATGAAGAAACATTCCTGAAGAAGGCTTTCTTTTTAAATGCATATAAGACTTTAGTGATGGACGGCCCTCATATCTGAATGTTAAACGTAGAAAAACAAATTGTGAAATTGTGTATACTTGTGAGACGTCATGGAGTAGCGTGTATAGTATATTAACAACACACTGTATTATTTCTGTGTTTTGAAGTTACATGTGTGTTATATGGACTTGTGCCTACTGATCTGTGTAGTTGGCCCCATCCTAATTAGTGTAGATTTGCTTAGACCTGTCTGTTGTGTGATTTATTTCTCATCTTAGTATGCCTTCCAGTGCTGAATTTGAAGATCTGTATTTTAGTTTTATTGGCCAGAAACCTTGGAAGTGGAACCGGAAGAAGAAGTAGATATAGACAAGAAAGGACCATATATTTTACAAAGTGAGGTGGAGAAAGCTATCAAGGACATGAGGAATGGAAAGGCTACAGAGGAGATGATGTACCTGGAGATGTGCGTAAGTTACTGGGAGAAGGTGGTTTGAAAACACTGACAAAACTAATAAACACCATATATGAAACTGGGGAGTGGTCCAAGGACTTTGCAGAAGTGACAATGATTGCCTTAAAGAAAAAGACAAAAGCTACAAAATGCAGCAACCATCACACAATAAGCCTTATGGCACATACAGCAAAGATAAAAGCAGAGATACATGAAAGAAGAATTGAAAGGAAAATAGAGGATATACTTGGGAGGATCAGTTTGAATTTAGAAGAGGAAAAGGAACCAGGGATGCAGGGAAATGGGTATCGATTGGCGTGAAAGAAGATTGATTAGTAAATTGTACACGGATCAGAAAGTTAGAGTGGGGCTGGGCAGAGGGGAGACAAGAAGTGTGGGGATTGAAAGAGGAGTTTGACAAGGATGCTGTTTATCACCAATTTTGTTCAACTTGTACAGCGAATGCCTTACCAAGGAAGCTCCGGATGGGCTTGGAGACTTCAAATTAGCAGGGCAAATTATTCAAACTGAAATATGCAGATGACCTTGTGTTAATGGCTAGGGAAGAAACCGTGCTACAGGGTATGATTGATAGACTAATCGAAATTGGAAGGTGCTATGGCATGGAAATGAATGTGGAAAAAACAAAAGTAATGAAAATTCTGAGACAACCAACCCCAGTCACAATAAAGATAGACCAAAAACAACTGGAGAATGTGAAATGTTTTAAATATTTGGGTAGCTTGTTAACAGATGATGGAAGGTGTACTAGTGAAATTAAATCTAGGATTGCCATGGTAAAAGCTGCATTTAGCAAGAAGAAGAATCTTTTTACCAGCAAATTGGACTTAAATTTGAGAAAGAAACTAGTGAAATGCTACATTTGGAGCATTGCTTTGTATGGGGCTGAAACTTGGACACTTAGGGCAGTAGATCAGAAACACCTGGAAAGCTTCGAAATGTGGTGTTGGAGAAGGATGGAGAAGATCAGTTGGACCGATTATGTGAGAAATGAAGAAGCGTTATTTAGAGTCAGTGAGCAGAGGAATATCCTACATGAAATAAGAAAACGGAAGGCTAATTGGATTGGTCATATCTTACGCGGTAACTGCCTTCTAAAATAAGTTATTGAAGGAAAGATAGAGTGGCGGATAGAAGTGACCAGAAGACAAGGAAGAAGACATAAGAAGATGCTGGATGACCTTGGGGACAGAAGAGGATATTTTCATTTGAAGGAGAAAGCTCTAGATCACATTAAATGGAGGAACTGTTTTGGAAGAGACTGTGGACCTGTCGTCTTGACAGATTACTGATGAATGAATGTACTTGTTGGTCTCAACTAATCCCCATCTGTCTTGAGAAGTGTGTGCACACTGCAGACAGCTAGGAGATATCTTGAGCCAAGGCTGGCTCAGTGGTGTTAATTTGATATTGGAAGTGACTGAAAAACTATTGCAAGTGGAAACAGATTGCTTTTGTCACTTTGCAGTTTCCTTGGTCTTGAGTACTGTAGAGGTGTTTCTTGTAATTTTGGTTACCAGTTCCCTCAGATATCCAACATTTGATTGGAGATCCTGTTAATAAAGTAGTTGGTTTTGTTTGAAATTCTGTTTAAGGAATGGATAGCGGTGATGACCACCTTCAGCTTGTCTCAACCCAAGCTGCACGGAAAACACTCAGCAAAGAAATGAACCCACCAATTGATGCCATGATTGAATCAGGAATTGTTCCCAGATGTGTGGAATTCCTGTCTCGGTTTGATAAGTATGTAAGCTTAATATTTCATTCTGTTTTTTTTTTTGTAAGCAATCCACAGTTAGGAAATTCCTTTTTACAAGAAAAATTGAAAGGGTACTTTAATTGTAAGGAAGGATGGTAGTAGCTTTGTTAGAAGTCAATGTTGTACTGTTAACTTTGTTATTGTGTTAAATTTGAAGATGTGTAAGCTATAATGATTATTAATATGTAGCTGTCTGATGATTTTGAAGCAATGCTTTGGGCACCTTATTTTTCTGTATTTTTTATGTTTAAAATACATTAATTGAAACTGTCTGAGAATCTTGAGATAAGCTTGTAAAAGTGAAGTTTCACTTAAGACAGTTGATCACCATTACTTCAAACTGAATATATCGTGCTGAATCCATATATTTCTATATATGATATAAACTCCGTCCTAAGTGCAACAATATATTGTAGGTCTTTCGTCTTGCTTTCTTCTACACTGCATGTTTTGGCCGCAAACGGCCATCATCAGGTGTATACACTTGTGTAGCTGTTACACTGCACCCAGTTTAAAATTAAAAACATACAGGTCTTCCCAATTGTTCCCTTCATCGCTGCTAACAGGATCTACTTTCCTGATATTTGTCTGATTCGTACCTCATCTTTGCCACCCACACAGGTCAATTTTGACCTTCATGAACTGGCACTTTTAAAATCTTCAGTTCCAATCTTAAAAATTCTTTTTAAAATTTTGTTTTCCAAATTTTAAATTTAAAATTTAAAATTCTCAGGGTTACTTGTTCCATGTCTATAGTGCTGCAGCGGCTACTTCTTGTTTTCAGCACTGTACAGGTGTTATTCTGTGTAGGCTCCCTGTGTGCATGCCACTGCTTATCTTTACTACTGAATATTTTAAAAGTGCCAGTTCATGAAGGTCAAAATTGACGTGTGTCGATGGCAAAGATGAGGTACGAATCAGACAAATATCAGCAAAGTAGATCCTGTTAGCAGTGACAAAGGGAACAATTGGGAAGACCTGTATGTTTTTAATTTTAAACTGGGTGCAGTGTAACAGCTATGTGAGTGTATACACCTGATGATTGCCGTTTGCGGCCGAAACATGTAGTGTAGAAGAAAGCAGGACGAAAGACCTACAATATATTGTTGCACTTAGGACGGAGTTTGTATCATACATCGTATATAGTGCAACAGGATGCTTAAATATAATACCATATATTTCTGCTTGATTTCATTAATTTGTTTGGTGTTTGGACAATAGTGTGTGTACTTAGCTTTTAATCCACTTGTTTGTTTGTTTGTTTGTTTGTTGTTTCTCTCTCTCTCTCTCTCTCTCTCTCTCTCTAGCCTGCCTGTTGTCCCTTTTATGTCCCACGTTAATGGTGGGGATGGAAATCACGATTAATCGAAAACCCGGTTAAGGCCAATTTTATTAAAAGTAGTACTGTAATACTGTACCTTCATAATACTATAGGCCTACCTGTATTTAAATTTATTCAACCTCATTTTTATGTCCTCTCATGGCCTATGTAATACTTCTTTTACATTACACAGAAGTATGAATTAGTTATTTCAATCACAGTGTTCAACAACATCCAACACTTTTTACGACTGTTCACGCTTAACACTTAAAAAATCCAACGTTGTCGTTTTCTTTTTCACGGCATTTTCCTTTTTACGGATATCCATACGAAGCCTACATAATATTAGCTTGTCACTTAATAAACTGTTCTCTTCACTCTCAAGATAGTCTAGTAAGGATTCCAAATGATTAAGAGCAGTGCCATGTGATATTTTCTTACTAGTAGCACTGTCCACCTCTTCCTCATTCTCACTTTCTTCCCGCTCTTCTGGCTGCACCCCTACTGAACTTACGATTTCGTCACTGTTTAACATTTTGAAGCCCGGTTCACACGAGTTTCTGTTCAATACTTATCACAACACGCGTCCTTTTACACCCTGACATTTTGCTAATGCACTTGAAGATTGATACAAATAGACTAACTGGGGCAGTGTATCTGTCCTTGAAACTTTCCACAAATCCTTGCATTCTTTCACCCCTACCCTAGAACATTGTGTTAGCATTACGGGACCAAAAAATGCAGAGCTCATTTCACACTAGTGCAAAAATAGTGTTACAACTCACCATATGAAACAAAAGTGAATGAATATTAAACAACATAGAAGCCTCAAAAAAGCCCCAGTAAAGCCGCAAACCGGTTTATCGGCCCCCAGATAACCGAGAGTTGGGTGTAGTTGAAATTTTGTGGTCTGTAGTGTCATGTGAAAACATCTTATCAGCTATTGACAAATGGAAAAGACATGTTCACACTGTAATCTGATAAAATGAAGGTTCCTGTTTGACATTAATTTTGATAGAAGGTTGACTGAATTTTAAATGTAAGGTCTATTTTTAACTGTCAAAATGGAAAATATAATACTGAGTATTGAATCAACCATACTGATTTAATCTTTTTATACACTGGTATGTTCTACACAACCTACATGAGTTTTATTCAGATCAGTAGACCCATTTGTTTTACCATTTTTAAATATAATTTTTATACCACTTGATAGGAACATGTTTACCTGCTGTTAGCCAGCAATAGCCTTCCCTTCTGGCTCCACCATTCCGACCCTCAGCCCTCATGTCACAGTATATATGTAAGCAAGCGTTTGTGCCCTATTGACATGGCTGGGAATGCATTTGTTTGTTTTAGCCCATCACTGCAATTTGAGGCTTCTTGGACACTTACAAACATAGCATCAGGAACATCTGAACAAACAGATACTGTTGTTAAATGTGGGGCTGTACCAAAACTAGTCCAGCTTCTAGGTTCATCGTATATGCATGTTACGGAGCAAGCCGTGTGGGCACTGGGTAACATTGCTGGTGATTGCCCAACATCTCGTGACTTGGTGTTGAAGTTCGGAGCTATGCCTGCACTTCTGGAGCTAATCAAACCTGATACTACAGTGAGTTGATGAAATATTCTAAAGTTACTTGCTTAATGCTTTTATCATTATGGTGCATACCCCTGCATTTAGGTACTATATGTCACACAAGTGGATGTCAGATTAGGTAACATCTCTGTTCTGCTGTTGCATATATTGGGCAGATAGGCTATTAGTTCAAAGTTCCCATCATGTGATACTACTGATTTTCCCCCCAAAACATCATAATGTATAGATCTAACTGTGTTTTGTGTTTCATTATATTTTACAAAGCTAAGTAGAGGCATTCGTTTTTATTTCAACCGATTTTGTTCCACTCCATCTCTTCCGGCATCATAACCTGTGAGAAACAGTGTATCGGGATGCCAGTGGTTGTAACATGAACTCGGAAGATTAGGATACACTTACTACCTTAGCAAGTCAGTAATTTAGAGATGAACCTGTTCACGAAAGGAAACTTGTGTAAAGGAAAATGCCAAGCATAATGTGCATTTGGTAAGATTTCAGGAAGACTGTACTCTGGAAGTTTTCATGTCATATTTTTATATCTAAGAAGTTAGTATGTTCCATTCATTTCCAGTCCTTCCTGATATTGGATGGTGATGAAGCATTTTATTAAAAAATATTCAAATATGAAGTGTATCAGACAAATTTTCATGTATATGAATTTTATTTATGAATGCCTATTTTTTTCATGGGTGTACCAAATCCAGTGGGAATGCTGCAAATTAACCTTGAGAGATGAATGTAAGAAAAATTTTGTATGAAGTTAATGAGTCATATAGCATTTGAGGTTCTCACAATAATCGTTATGAAGAGTTCAATCTTTTGGGATATAATGCTCTGCTTTCCACCTGCTTCATGCTGATTTCTTGCTTAGCCTATTCTTCAACTCTGAAGATGGAGGTGACATGTTCCTCCGAAACATTGGTTGACTTTCAATGGACTGCATGACATTATTTCCCAGAAGACAGAACTCTTTTTAATAAAGAGATGTTATTGACTGATTACTTTTGTATCTGCCTTTATATATATTGTCACATGACAGAGTGACTCTCAGTGTGGTTTCAGATTGGCTGTTGGATTTATTGACCACTTCAGCACACGACTTGTGATTACATTTAATTATAATGCCATCACTAATTTCAGCACATTACTGACCACTAGAGCACAGCCTGCAGTGCCTTCACTAGCAGTCGCCTGGTGCTAGCTCCAACAGTGGCTATTCCTCTGCTTCTGTGCTCATGTCCTTTCTGAATGGTGACTCTCTTCCAACTGAACTAAGCTTTAACTTTGTGCTGCTCATAACTCCTCGACACAGACCACCATAGAAACATCGTTTCCGGCAGTACCTCGGTTGTGTGTTGATTCGTTGTAGTGCAGATGTTGCTTATATTGTTTCCATGGGAATGTGTTTGATTGCAAAGCACGTTACCCAGTAAGAGCACTGGTATATTTGCTTATCTCTTAGTGGTTACCTAGTAATGGCTGTACATGCCACAATATGCTTTCAGGTTTGTTTGTTTGCTTTTAGTTGGAGTATGTTCTGATGTTTTGAGGCAGGGAATGGGAACTGCTCATTAGAAGTATCTTTGAATTGTGGAAAAATTAGTTAACATCATTTTAATGAATGAGATTTTCATGATATCATATAGCTAGTTAAATCTGAATTCTGTGCTGTCATTTAGTGTATTGACTTAAGCCTTTTTTTTTTTTTCATGCAGGTTTCATTCTTGAGAAATGTTGTGTGGACTTTGTCTAATCTGTGTCGGAACAAGAATCCACCTCCTCCTTTTGAGATTGTTCGGATGAGTCTACCTGCATTGAGTAGACTTCTTCATTATTCCGATATGGATGTGCTTGGTAAGCAGAAGTGATGTATGAAATATCTTAAGTCTTCATTTATATATATTATATATGACTGGAAAATAAAAATACTGAACTTTTGGTGAGAGTCAGGTCAGGTATTTCTTTACAAAGATCTGCAACTTGTTTGTACAGCCATATCTTTAATCAGTTAACTGTCTGTCAGCATTATGCAGCTAGCTGTGGGTGACGGCAAGGTGGTCACCTAATAATAGAGACTTTCATATCAGTGTCAGATTGTTTTACTGTACAGGGTATTTTAAATTTTATTTAAGTATCCACTACAATGGCAAGTTATGCTTTCTGGTAAAACACTTGAATTTCATTAAATTTTATTAACTGGTCTTAAACATTTTATAATGGCGTTTATTTACATTATATGACTCACAGCTGTTAATGTTGTGCATTTCTTTAATAGCCAATTGGAGCATATTCTTAATTTTTTTGTTATTACAGGAATTTTTTTTCCTTCAGTGCTTAAAAATTTACACAGGAAATTCTATGCTATCAAAAAATACTCAACAAAATAATTAAATTTTAATTTCGTTTCTTTTGTAGCTGATGCATGCTGGGCTCTGTCATACCTTACTGATGGAACCAATGACAAAATTCAAGCTGTTGTTGATGCTGGTGTTGTTCCACGTTTAGTTGAACTTCTTGGTGCTAGTAAAGTTACTGTGCTAACACCAGCCTTGCGTGCTGTTGGTAATATAGTCACTGGCAATGATGTTCAGGTTTGTTGCCACTTTCTTTTAATTGATATAACTTATTTACTTGTATGTGAATATAAGGACACATCTGTAGTCAGGAACTTTTGAGTTAACAGATGAATCTGGACCTTCCCATGTTACAAATATTTACTAAAATTCCTAAGTTCTCTTCATGGATTTTAGCCCAAATTTCAGATTTTGTTGTATTCTTTTCAATCGGTACAGAACAGTGAAAGAGCCACACCTGTCTAGGATCACTCATAGGACCTAAAATAAGAGAAATATAAATGAATGTCACTTTGTAGACTATTATTTACGACACAAAGGCAGGAAGAAACTGGTAAAATCAACGAGAATTGACAAACAAAGGAAAATGTGAAATATACTGTATGTGTTGTAGGAAGGGTTAATTTAATGATTATGTGATACACAGACATGAACGCCCTCCATTGGAAGTGTCTGAGCTAATGTTCTGCAAAGAGACAGGTGCTTTTTCCACTGAGTCTCATGGCCCTTTTAGTGCTTGCCTTGAAGACTAGGTGTGGTATCGTCATGTCATCATGATACAGGGAGTCCATCTGTGTATTTTTAAAGTACAAAATTGAGCAGTTTTTTTCTGTCTTTCTTTGGTCACTTTATGTGGAACTGGCATGCTTTAGTTGTTCTTTGACTTCCCTCAGTATCAGACATTTACTTTGGTAATATGAAGTTTTTGTGCAACTGTGCAATAGTTTCTTCTGCTTGTTTCACAACCATTAACTTGAAGTTCACATGGGTGAATTTTCCCCTTTTGGTACCTGTAACAATGTAAAGACCTGGTCACACATTTATTTTAACCAGGGTATTGTACATTTTGCTGTCACAGAAATGTACATGTTGAAGCTCTAAGGACCAGGTGCTACTGACTGTTCCTGGCTCTGCAGTGTTGATTTTATGGACTAGAGCTAATTGTAAGCATCTGTCCATGATTTTGAGATGAATGAGAGAATGCAACAAATCAGTCCAGTTTCCTCAGGGTGCATCTGGTGATGGAGAAAACCTTGACTTCAGTGCATGTTTTCTAGGTCCACAAATATAAGATGGCCCTTGTCTTTCCAGATATCCATATATGAAAGAAACCTCTTTTATTTAGGTAAACAAAATGTATATTATGTAGGGGACTGACTACATGTTCACTTTGTCTGATGTTATTTCTTAGAAGACTTGATTTTGAAGGACTTCTTTGCTAGTACACTACCTAGTCTTAAAGTGCAGACTGCATAATACTATTGGCGGCAAGGCCTGATGGTTCAAGGTATTTTGTAATATATGAACACATATTTTTATATGGTGGAGTGTAATATGACTCTGTGTTGTTCTCTGATTGAGAGATGTAACGTACCTTCTACCCAGATAAAAGTTGTGTTCATTTCTTATTTACAAACTGGAGTCTGTAACACAAAGGCTACTGTTCTAGTTTATGAGAATGCCTGTCTGTCTAAATGGTAGCACTGCAAGTATTTGCCTGTATAGGATATTATATAATTTGGTTTTACTTTATAGACGGATGCAGTTATCCAGGCTGGTGGATTGACTTATCTTAGGGAACTTCTGAATCATCCACGACTGAACATTATGAAGGAAGCTGCCTGGACCGTGTCTAATATTACTGCTGGAAATGTGGACCAGATTCAGGAGGTTGTAAATGCAGGCATACTTGAACCTCTTATACACGTGTTAGGATCGGTAAGTGTATAGTAAAGTATTCCATGATTGTGTTCAAAATAAAATAGTAAGGGAGACTCTAATGTGCTAGTATAACATCTAGAGTAGATTTGATCATATATTTTTCACACAAGTTGAAATGTGAATTTTGTAACTCTTGGGAGTACTTTTTTGAAAAATATTGTGCTTATGAGGTCTACAGAATATTCCTTATGTATAGTGGCTGGCAGGCAGGGATGGAGTGTTGCGTAGTCCTTACTGTTTGTTCAGGACAATTTAATATTCATGGCAAAATCTGACAGGTGGCAATGTTGATTTGCTCTTTTCATATAATTTATCCCTATAGTTCTGTCATTATTTGATCATTCCTTGTCCCACCTGCATGAGATATCGCAGGTTACAGTGTAGAGTGTGTAATGTAGCACTTATCAGATCATCATTTGAGCAGGATGAGATGGCAGTATCTCAACCATTTAAGGTACAGCCAGGAACATTGCAGTGGAACAGAGTTTGCAAGTAAAGCATATGAAGCTGTTCTAATGAAACCTGTTTGGGGATTCTTTGGAGGGAAGGAGTAAAGCATCCCACTAATGCAGGTGGACCCCTCGACACTGAACTCCCTTGGCTGTTGATGTAACCATCATAACCTTGACATCTTCATCTGACCTGAATCTACAACAAATTAGTACATCCTTGAGGTGGCCAGAAACGTGAATTAGTTAGAATTTGAACAGCTCTCATATAATTGTTTTCATCTGTTGTCTCCTGATGTGCCCTTCGTTACACCATTACTTAATTACCTCTAAATGTATGAATACTGCATGTTATATCTACCAATGAATGTGTAAGAGGTGGGCCTTCTTGGCCCTTGCACCGCGACCACAGTGTTCTGTTGTGCCTATATCTACCAAATATGTGATTTGAGTGAGGAACTGTCAGCAACATGGTTGGCTTACAAGACTGCAGTATCCAGTCTTTCCCTGGTAAGAAGTTTTCAGGGACCTTTTTGGACCAGTGGATTTGAACACTGAACTAAGGGAAATCTTAAATGAGGGTAATTTAACAATAAAATTGACATGGGAGCGATGAAACTGAATGTTAAATGAGGGGAAATCTTAAATCAGAGAACATCAGACATGGATTCTGTTGTATTCTTGTATTCAGTAATAACACAGTCTGGTATTTTTCATGTGTTAACAGTACAGAAATTGCCCCACACCTCTCCTGGGTTAAAGTTCAACAAGTTAGATGGTATTAATGTAGCTGAATGTGGTGTATGAGATTAGTGGTTGGCATTCACAATGCATAGTAAGCAGAAGTCAGGAAAATTTATAAGATTGTATGTGGAAAGAAAGTTTATAACTCTTTAGTTTCAGATATAATCTATGCCTACTTCATATTTTTCCTAGGGTGACTTCAGGTCTCAGAAGGAAGCTGCATGGGCAGTGACAAATTTTACATCTGGTGGTAACATTCAGCAGATGGCAGCGATTCTTCATATGGGTGTTCTCGGGCCATTTTGTGACTTGCTAGGCAGTAAGGATTGGAGGACGGCTGTTGTGGTAATGGATGGACTGAGCAATATTTTGGAGGTAACTGAATTGTATTGCATAAGAATAGGGTTAATTATGCCACAGATTCTATATGACAAGGTAGTTCATGTTTTGGGAAATTATGTCCACAAGTAATTCAGTATAGAAACTTACAGTAGTATTTTAAGGGTCCCGGTTTAAAATTTCACAAATGGTGTGTGTGATTTGATGTTCTCATAGCAGTGGCTGTACAGATTGCTGTCTTGGATGTGATGCGATCGGTATATAGGAACCAACCTTTTGGAGAAAACTGTTGCCTACATCTTCAAGATAGAAGTTGGAGGCATCACATTCCTCCAAAATATTACTCTCATCAACTAAACTGCATGTCATAACAGCCTAGAAAACTGTAACCTTCTTAATTGGTACTTCACTGTGCATTGAAATTTAAAATTTTGAATTTGTGATATTGATTTATTTAGTCCTGGCTTCGAATGTCTGTATTCTTTTGAACAGTTGACTGAATATGTTCTCATTTGCTCTCTCTGATGCCTTTCCTAGACTGCTGAAAAAATGGGGGCGCTTGACAGAGTGGCTCTCATGATAGAGGAATGTCGTGGCCTTGACAAATTGGAGCTGCTGCAAAATCATGAAAATGAGCAAGTTTATCAAAAAAGCTTAAACATCATTGATAATTACTTCTCTGAGGGGGTGAGTATGACATACATAATAGGAATGTTTTTTTAAGTTTGATATTTGCATTGAACCCTGGAGAATATGTCACAGTGTGACTTTTTTCCCTTGTTTGTTTATGTTTATTGTGAACTTTTGAAGGTAAAATTAATGTGTGAGGTAGAGGTTTTATGAAATTAATGCCCTGAGGCCTAGTTCATATTAGAGAGAGAAGTTAAATGCATACAGAATGAAATGGAAAGTGGTTTCTATTTTATCATTTGCATTAACATTTTACTTTGTTATATTTCTTCAGTATAAATTTGTATTAAAGTATGAAAGTAATGTTTGTACTGCTTTGTACAAAGGACACAGCACACATATAACATCATAACGCATATAAGCCCACACACCACCAAGAATGACGACTCCCACCCACGGGAAGAATTGACAACCAACAACGACTTACGACAATTTGAATTAAATTTTAAATAGTTTAATAGTGATTAATCCAAACATAAGAAATTTACTGTGGGGAAAAGTGATAATTCCTGTGCTGCGTATAGCCTATTGGCATACTCAATTATTCTGCATGTTTTATGTTTTTATATGATGAGTGTCATCGTAACTAAAACCTATGACAATAATACTGGCACATGTTCGGAATCCAGGAGTCACTTCCATAGTAACGCTAGAACAGACCGTTGCATAGGTAGTGACAATAGCGGTATTGTAGCCGCAACAGTTGGCCATTGCCTAGGAAGTAACAACAGCGATACTGTAATCCCAACAGTGAGCATTGCATAGAGATGAGTTTCCACTGTTATAACAAAGGCTCATTGTATAGCAACCGCCAAGGAATAAATAGCCCAGCTTCAACAAGAAGCGGTCAGTCTCGGAGCAGATGCCGAAGGATACAGAAGTCAGTCTGAAATTAACCACCGAAAGAGAGTCTGGAAATAACCACCGGAGAAGACAGTCTTTGGATAGATGCCGAAGTATACAGAAGATAGTCTGGAATTAGCCTCCATAGAACACAAGTCTTCAGAAAACCGCCGCCGAAAGCAGTCTAGGAATTCACAGAGATATAGTGGAAGCAGTAATGTGATACTGCAAGGGATCACAATTGTAAAGCGTGTGATTGTATCAGTGAAGGACAATAAAGGTTCTACTGAATTTGAGACCTACTTGGATTTATTTGTTGCGTGACGAAGCATACATCTGTGAATAACACAACTGAAAGTGAACATCAAACCAGCTTAATTAACAGTGTCTCCTGCCATATGAAAAGTGCCTCTGATGATGGTTTTAATTAAACCGAAACACGTAAGGCAAGAATAATAAAAGTGATGTGACCTCTATTGCTGCACTGGACGGAAAATTCTATTAACTTTCTAATGTTACATAAGAGAGATATTTCTAAAATACTGCAGGATAATGACCTATAGAATACATTTTAAACCAATATTGACATTTAATGCTGAAACTTTGACTCTTGTAAAGAAAAGGAAAAGCAATAACTATGATATTTTTAGAAGCAATGAAGAAGTGGGAAAGAAACTTTTTTATTTTTTGTTTTATTTTTTTAGGAATTTGGAATTAGAAGTTTGTTGACACAATTAGAAGAGAAACTACTGCAGTTTCTTGGCCAAGTAAAAATTATGGGTGGGACAAAGATATGAATTACTTTAGAAATAGAATTTGAAGGGAAGACCCCCTAGGGGTTGACCAAAAACAAAATGGTTCAATCAGGCACTGGGAGATATCAGGAGGAAAGGAAGGAGCTGGAAAGATATTAGAAAGGAAAGATTGTGGGAAAGTACAAGATATTGTTTTGTCATTGAGAGTGAGAGATAGGAATATGCCTGATTTCTTGTGTTGGTGCTTGTGTAGTGTTGAGTTCTGTGTGAAAGAGAAATTTGAATGGTTGCTATGATGCTGTTACCATCATGAAACTAAAACCCTCACCCATGAAAAGAGTTTGGATCATAATTTCAGGTTCCTTTTACTTCTCACTTTTTATTCATCTCAAACAGGATGGTGAGGACCCCAGCATAGTTCCTCGTCAGACAAATGGTCAGCTGGACTTCAACACCAACACAGTTCCTGATGGTGGATTCTCATTCTAAACATGATCTGTTGTATCGATACCACGATAAAATGGATAAAGACTTCACATTCGAACTCATCCACCAAGGCCCAGACTGTTTTGATTCTTAAAAGTATTTTTTATGTTCAGATTTCAATTTTCAATCATCCATTCTTTTTTGTATTAGATAAGTACTTTGATCAGTGCCAAAATTTTTAGATGCAGTGGTAGAATTGTATTATTCATGTTTTATCAACTGAATTGTCATGTTGTTGGGTGATAGGCTGAACTTCTAATTATCTATCCTAATGTTTTTTGTACAAGTTTTCTATGTTATAATTAGTGTAGTGTTTTTAACAAGTTTCAATTGTACAGTTATGTTAATAAACCATTTTGAGATAGCAGGTGCATTTATTACATCAAAATATTGATACCATTGGATTACATTTACACATTTAAATAGCATAGCATTTCAAATCATGTCCAACATATATTGCCTAACTTTGGTGTAAGTTTCCCTTGGTGTCTACCATTTGTCTGTGTGTAGAATTTAAATGTGAAGAGAAAGGACTGCCAGGAAGACCTAATAGCAGATTCAGGATAATATTAAAATGGATTTTGAAGGAATAGATTCATTTGGTTCAGGTCATGAACTAGTGGTGACTCCCAGTGGATACAGTAACAAAATATTTGGATGCATAATAGATGGGGAATATGTTCTTCAGTAAAGGTCTCTGGTCCATAGATATATATAATAAAGTCAGTAAATTATGTGGACAAATAGCACATGAAATGTCAGGCTGACATGGTTGAGAGCTGGACAAGATTTTATTAACTTCAGACTCCAGGAAAGCTTCAGATCTTAAGATGTCTGTAGCTCAGACTAGTGCTGAATGGTAGTGTGATTAGTGAAAAATGAATTCATTCATTTATTCACCTTCCATAAATCCTGTCAAGAATACATTCTCATGTGGATGTGGAGATCGTCCTAGTTACTTTTCAATTGGTAAGGATATAGCAGAAAGCAGACATGGCTGAAAATGAGGTACTATCTTGATATTTGCTTGGACTGGGGAACTTGACAAAACCCAAGTCATGATGGTATCCTGGCTGGGATTTTAAACGGCTCTCAAATAGAAGTCAGAAGTGCTACTGCTTGAACCATCTCAGTCTCTACCCCCTGGAGTTAACTGTATCTTTGTTTTCTTCAATTGAGAGACAAAGCAATGAACAGTGATTTCAATTATATAAGTATATTGCTTCAAAAGCTTTTATGATGTTTCCCTTTTTATTGTATTCGATCAATTCAGTGGAACGAATTATGAAACTGATCGAACATGCTAGAAAGGGTAACATTACGAATATAAAAGAAAATTACTATATTTATAAATTCAAACAATTCAAGGAACTAATAGAAGAACAAAAGTGCACAGAAGAAAATGATAACCAGAATAGTATGTTCGACATAGCGTTAAGACATGAGTACACGCCCATAAGAACAACATAGGGGACAGGGATATAAATACCCCACACAACACACCACAAATGAATGCTTCAATACACAAGAAAAGGAGAAACAACTTGACAATAACATGAAGGAACAGACAAAATTGAACCTAAATAAAAATTGGAATCAAAGAATAATTAAGTACATGCACTTTTATATAAATATATCCATAATATAATTACAGATCCTTAATGTATCATATAAATAAGGGAAACAATGCTGGCTGGACCTCAGTGGTTCAAGACTTTAAATATTAAGGACAATAATATTCTATTAACACTTTTAACTTTAAATATTTTATACAAAGTTTAAGCATATGTATTATGAGCTATGTAACAATACCTGTAGTTTCTTAGCATGCTGTTAATGCCTTCTGAAGATGGTCACAGCTGACTGAAACATGTAAAGGTATTATATAAATATATATCGAGTCACACTGGATGGTGTTGTCAAATCATTTTATAATTAACTAGTGTGATGGACCAGAATGAATAAAGTTAAAAATGCACTTCACTATTGCATTGTGGATGCCTGTCAGATCACCTGTAACTACCCTGGCATCTTTGAATGGATATGCTGATCCTGAGGGGATGTGTTGAGCTACGCACTGAATCTTGTGGAGGACATTTTGGGCACTTATAAACGTACTGTTTCAGCTATAACTCACAAATGAAATGTCTCTGGACACATGCTGATATGGATTGTTTTTCTTCTTATAGTATATAGAACTTTACCCTAAGTTCATTTACATCTTTCAATCTCTCTCTCTCTCTTACACACACACATACAGCACAGTCTTCAGTGCAGGTTCAAGGTTACTGGTTAAATCACCACTTAGTCCATATTTTTATGTAAATTTGACATGTTTTGGCCACACAGGACCATCATCAAGTGGTAAACTAATGTAGTACAATACTTATATATGATATTAACTCCATGGAGAAGAGTTCTTGAGAAGCTACCAGTCACTCAGCTATCCAAGAATTTCCCAACATTGCACGGACTTCGAAGGATCAGTACCATGTTCACTAAAGCCTGTTACTTGCTCATATTTAATTAAATTCTCCATACAGAAAAGTGTGCCAAATTAATGTTGTATATGTTGAAAAAGAAGGATTGGTATGTTATGTACAAATTGTTGGTATGGTGAGTCATTTCTAAAAATATTAAAAAATTTTTTTTCTTGCCAGGTTATCCTGAAAATGGAGGCATGACATTACTCCAATAAATGGTACCCATCTATGTACTTGACTATATGGTATCACTACCCAAAAACCAATCATATGACTTATTATCATGAAAACATGAACTCTTATACACAAAATTAAATTTGCTCAGTGACTCAGTGTTTATTCTACAATGCCAAATATGAGTATGAGCATAATTTGAGAAGGGGTTTTGAAGGTTAGGATATATGACCTCAGAGTTACTTTTACCTATTATGCTCTCTGAAGAGGGCATAAATTGTGTAATTTAGACTGTAATGGTTCTGGGTTCTGTCATCTTTGTTCTTAAGAATGAGCAGGTTGGTCTAGTGGTAAATTTCTAGTCTTGTGTTTAGCATGTGCTAATTACTGTCAGCAGAGACACCACCTATTCTCATTGAGGTTTCATTCTTCTTGGTTTTTCTAAGTCTCTCAAGCAAATGACTGGATAACATTTTCACTGGGCCACGCCTGCTTCTAAATCCTTCGAATTCATTAACATCCTGCCATTTAATGTTATATAGCATCAGCTACTGATATCATCGTTAAATAATTGAAAGGGAACTAGAGAGGTAAAGTTGTCTCTGAGCCTAATTAATGAATTACCATGCCATAAAGGCATGTGGGGTGTGGTCTACTGCCAAAAGTTTTGATCTTGACACTAGTATGAAATGTAAGGTCAGATTCACTTCCTGTCTGCTTTAGCCCCAGTTAACCATTGGATAGCAAGCCGGGTGGGCCATAAAGCTGTTCCAGAAGCGGTGGACAAGGGAAAAAATTGTTTCCCATGTCGGAAATCTAACCGCAGCCATCAAACCCAAATCCTGTCGCTATACTGACTGAGTCTGAGTCTCATTTTACAACTGACAGTCAGTCGGCCAGTCTGTCTTGGCATAAAGCACCCATCTGGGACTTACGACCAAATCTTTATTACTGTTTGACAGTTACGGTCTTGTTTTTTTTTATGTGGGCGCCCTCTTTGACGAGAGGACAGGCCTGTCTTTTGTACATGCTGCTGGCCCTTCCCAGCGCAGTCTTTCTCGGGTCCGAGCCCCCTGATACACGAGAAATTATGTTAGAGACAGTGTCACGTAACTTCGAACAAGGCCACGCATTCCCCGCATTCCCGCAACCCACCCCCTTGTCTGAAATTTTTCTTCTGCGCATTCAAGGTTACTCTTGGCTCTCTTGGCCTTGTGCGAAGTTACGTGACACTTGCTATACTATCTCAAATATGAGACTTCCTTTTTCGTCGCCTCCTATGACTCGCACGATCACGGTGGAGGTATTCGAACCCGCCTCCACACGGGTCTACTCCGCTATACCGACTGAGCTATCCCGACTTATTTAGCATGAAATACAGATTCCAGCAGGATGCCCAGAAAGCAAGCATTAATAATTTCCAAATGTAGATGGCAGACTATGTCATATGCGAACTGAAAGGCAAGAGAATACGTCCACACCGTAGGTGTAATCGGTGACATCGAATGAGAGTGAATGTAGCTTTTTTTGCTCTGTGGTCTGTGAAAAATGTGAGCTGATTGAAGTTTGTGGGTATGTTCGTCGGGTGAATCCAGTGGATAATTCGTAACAGACCAAATAGCAATGGTTAAGGAACAATACAGAGAGACAAATTTGGCGAGAAAAATGTTCGTATTTTCAAGGAATACTGTTTAAGGAATAATAACATCCAACATAACCTCATTGTTGCTAGTTATACCTGGGTGTACAAACTATTTTCAAACTGACGTGACTTGTTTCATATTATTAACTTTCCGTAGTTTGAGTGTACTGTGCTATTAATTTACAAGAACTATTTCAGATATATTGTAGAGCTTAATTAGTTGAGCACAGGGATACCTTTACCTTTGTATGTGTCTGCTAATTTTTGTGTCTTATATTTTCAGTTCTCATGTGTGTTTTGGTGTAGACAGTCCCCAACAGATTCAGCAGCAGGCACATATTCATGTTGTCGCAAAAAATCTGTATAGTCAGGATACACAGCGTACCCCTGTACCATATGGGGTGCTGGATCGTAGGATGGTACGTTTCTTATTTTGTGATATGACAGTTACATCATATGAAATATATTTGCAGGTCTGCACAGATCTGAAGTTTGCTGTCTTCTGGGATGTGATACTGTGCAATCTTTTAGATATTTATTGATGTTTCAGAGGAATGTGTTACCTGCATCTTCTGCACTGAATGTAGAGGCAGTATGTTCCTCTGAAGTACTGATAAAGATCTGCCAGAATACACAGTGGAACATCCCAGAAGAACAATGATTTTCAGTGTAATTCCTGTGAGAACTCCAAATCTCATTGCACAGATATGGTCACTTCAGATTATCAAAACTCCTGTGTTACATTAGTTTCTTCACACTATGACTAAATATGTGTTACTACAAATGTGTATGTTTTTTTTTCTGTGGCGCTACAGCCCCAATTTGGGCCTAGGCCTACCTCCATGAAACTCTCCGTTTCACTTCGGTTTACTAGATCTTACACATTCGGTAGGACTCCTTGGGTGAGTGATCAGCTCGTCGCAAGGCCTGTACCTGTAGACAAACAGAAAAACGCGCACAAACATCCATGCCCTGAGTGGGATTCGAACCCATGATCCCGGCTTCCGAGCGCGCGAAGACAGTGCATTCCTTAGACCGCTCGGCTACCGTGACCGGCAAATGTATATGTTGTATGTGTATATTTCATTACATTTTAATATTTGACAGAAAGCAGTGTCATATGAAGAAAATATTTAGTAAAATCTAAAAGTTTGTGATGATGGCACATTAATACAAATTTTATATTTCTGGACAATATCCATTGTCCTGTTTTTATTTAAAACACCATCCTGTTTCTATTTAAAAACACAACGTTTTGGAGATTAGATTCTGTCTCCATCTTCAGGTAAACCCTACTCAGTTGCCCCCAGTTGGTAGAGCTAGTCACTATCTCTGGACACCTGTACCAACACGTGACAGGGTATGCAAGGCAAGGACAGCACAAACCATCTGCAGGAGCTAAGGCAAAATATTAAAAGCTCCACATGTATGATACTTCTCTTGTACAAGGCCTCATACATAATGGAGTTTTTATATTTTAATGTTTTACCTTAGCTCTCGCAGATGGTTTGTGCTGTACTTGGCATGCATACCCTGTCTGGTGTTGGTACAGGTGCTTGGAGATAGGGACTGACTCTATCGATTGGGCCCAACTGAGTAGGTTTTACCTGCAGACCGAATCCAATCTCCAAAACATGTTTTTAAATAAAAAGAAAATGGTGTTTCAGATAAAAACAGGATGATGGATAATGTCCAGAAACATATGTGTAAGAAAACAGTTGTACAACACAATCAATCAATCAGTTTATTTGTTCCGAGAATCCATATTTGGAGATACAACCTCCAGATATAGAACAACACAACAGAAAAGGAATTTTTGACTGTGTACATCATATTTACCAAGTGAGTAAATATTTTCAAGCTGAAGTGGATCACGAAAGGGAACAACTATTTGGAAGCTTCATGTACCGAAAAGTGCAAAAATAGAATGAATTCCCTCCCTCTGAGAAAATTTCTGGAAGGACTTTAGCAGATAGTAGGATAATTTGAATCAGAATGAAATAATAGTGGTGACTGTTATGAATGTGATAAATGGGATTAATTGTATTGACTTTTAGTTAACCTGTCAGGAAATCAACCTGAGAATTTTTTTGGACAGGCCACGTGTTTATTTTTTTTTCTTGCTGGGACTGATGGATTGTGTTGTGTACACAAAGGCACCTAAGATAAGGATGTATATGATACCATGATATTTTTCTAGCTGCTACTTTGTAGATATTCTTAGGAAATTTTTGTCATGTAATTCTGAGCGAATGATATAGCTGTAGGAGTATAATTGTTGTATATTTTGCTGTTTTTAGGGCACAAACCAGAAGGATGCAGATTGTGCAACATGTGGCAAGGGTTTGAATGATTGCACTGGGCATTATGGCTACATTGATCTCGAATTACCTGTGTTTCACGTTGGTTATTTTCGTTCCGTTATATCAGTGCTGCAAACAATATGCAAGGTACATTGAAACAAATATATATATATCTTATAAGATTTAGGGAATTCAGCTTGAGTGCAGAAGCATGATATAGTTGCATTTGTGTTTCCTTGATTCTTTTGAGGGGTGGCAGCCAGATTTTTTTTTTTTGCAAATGTGTGTAAGCCATTTAAAGATAATTTTACAGATTGTCGTAGAATACTCAAGGTAAAATAATAATTTTTATATTACTATTTTGTATAGTGCTTTCTTTTTTTAATTTTGATATTTTCCAAAAGTCTTGGGGGGAAGGGGTTAGGGCAGATGGCTGGCTTGCACCCTCTGCTGGCACCTATCTATTTTTATTTTTATATCTTATCAGTAGGGTTGTGAAATTAAAGGACATACCACTGGCTGGAGATTAACACTGATGTGGGAGTCTGGAAATGTATACAAACATTTAGTGGGGAAGCCTCTTGGAGAATAGCTACTTGGTAGAATGAGAGATTATACTTCAGTGCAGATTGCGTATCATTTATAACATTTGAATTGTACTCAGAAGGTGCTAAAATAATCTGCCTCTTAAATATGAAGCAGTCAGTTTGGTAGCCATAAATATCAATTAATTTCATAAAAGGCTCTTAAGTTAAATAAATTAATAACCTTTAATGCTTGCTGAGAGTGAAAGTATTTCATTTGATAGCAATCTTCTTTGATAAATATAACAGGAGCGTTCCGTATATAATGCCTCCTATTTTTTTTTTTTTAATGAAAACTACAACAGATACAGAAATTATAATAATATGGTTAAATAGAGCACGATTTCAGCTACTTACAGTTATTTTTTTCACATAATCACCACCATTCATTTTGCACTTTTGCCAGTGATGAACAAGATCCTGTATGCTGCGCTCATAAAAGTCTGCACCAGCAGAGGCAAGCCACTTTCTTACAGCTGCAATGACAACATCGTTGTCTGGAAAATGTTGCCCACGTAGTCCATCTTTCATATGCCCAAAGAGATGGAAGTCTGAAGGTGCTAAATTGGGGCTATAAGGTGGATGTGGTAGGACAGTCCGGCCAAACTTTGCAGTGTGTGCGATGGTCGCCAAACTGGTATGGGGTCTAGCGTTATCGTGTTGCAAGCGAAAGGTTGTCTGCTTCTCTGGCCTGACACGGGAAATGTGGACTTTCAACTTAGTCAATGTCATCTTGTAGCGTTCAGAATTGACAGTCTCACCAGGCTCCAGGAAATCCAATAAAATCACACCCCACCTATGGCTGTGTCTTGAACATCTTTTATTGTGGGGAATCTGGATGTTGCTACTCCATGGACTGTCTTTTGGACTTCGGCTCATAGTGGTGACACTATGTCTCATCTCTGGTGACGATGCTGTCCAGAAACTTGTCACCTTCAGCCTCAAACTGGTGCAACAGGTCCTGACAGACTTCCATTTGATGAGTTTTGTGGTCCTGTGTAAGCATCCGCAGGACCCACCTGGAACAAACTTTGCGATAATCCAGCTTCCCCAACATTGTTTCCAATGCATTACAGCCGTTATTAAGCTGTGTGCACAGTTCCGTGATTGTTATCCGCCGATCTGTATGGATGAGCTGATTGAGGCGCTGTTCATTGTGAGGAGTGGCAGCTGAGCAGGGACGTCCAGGGTGTGGTTTGTCGTGCACTTCACTTTCGCCGCTGTTGAAACGCACTATCCACTGCCCCACTGTGCTGACATCCACTGTATCATCTCTGTACACCTTTAGCAAGTGTCAGTGGATGTCAGTGGGTGCAATTTGTTTGGCAGTGAGAAATTCAATAACACATATCTGTTTCATATGCACTTCTATGTCAGACGCCATTTTGGTAGACTGCTCTTCTGTCGCTATCTGTTGCATGACAACCAAACTAACAGTACATTGGCAGGAAGGTTCAACCTTTACTACAACACCACCAACATCCAGCTCAGACGATACAGATTAACACAAAAAAATAGGAGGCATTATATATGGAGCGCCCTTTGTATAATACATATATTCTGAAAATTGTTTTATTAACCTCCAGCTAATAAAAATCTGATATTTTTAGAAATAAATAATTTTTCAAAGTTTTGATTAAAAATTAGATATCACCATAGATACCTCAGTCTATAAACAAGCTCATATTCCTATCTGGTGTGTAAATATATACTGGTAGCCCTTTCCCCATTTGTAACATTTGCTGGGAAATTAAATTGACAGTCTTTGTCATTTCAAGGTCTGGAATGCAGGAGTTCTTTACCCCTGTGATTTGTGTGTGCTTCTCTGTTTGATGCTTAAGCACAAGAGCAGCTGTGCATTTCACCCTTAACCTTAACACATCTGCCAAGTGATTACTGTGGGCTGTTATCTCAGAATGAAAGGAAGCCTTATGAAACTAACTGTCCATTTCCATCTAGTTCTGAGATTATGAATATGTGTGTATTTTGAATCCATATGTTTTTTAATCCTTTGTCGTCTGGTGTTTGGCACTGGTATAATTTTCCTCTTTAGCTTTACCTTATTAATGTTTACAAACAACCATGTTATGCTTGTTTTAAATTAGCTTGGTGAAGGAGAGCATAATTGTGTATGAAGTACTGTTGTCTTTACAGTCATGTTCCCATGTTCTTCTCCCTGACAAAGAAAGAAAGCCATTAAGGATGAAGGTAATGAATCCTTCATTACCATACTTAGTACGAAAGGCTTTCCGAAAACAGATCTTGGACAAGGCTAAAAAGATCACAGTTTGTCCACATTGTGGAGAATTGAATGGAACAGTAAAAAAATGTGGCCTGCTCAAGATAGTGCACGAAAAGTATCGCTCCAAGAAATCTACAGATCCTGTGATTGCTGTGGCACTTGGTGAGTTTTCTTCTTCTGCTGTCTATTATTATTCTGCTTCTTCAGCTGCTGCAGCACACTGGTTTGTCAAAGCTTGTTTCTATTCTTCCATAAACATTTCTCTTTACATTCAGTTCTTTCTTTCATCTATTCATAATCACTCTACTTCACTGTTATTCTTGATGTGACTTTTGGTGTTTTATCCTGATTTCTTTTCTTTAGTTCCCAGGAAAATTAAGCTGTTCACAAACATTACCGTTTTGTTAAAAATGCAATATGTTATTGGTCTCTAATTGTTGTATTATTATAACTTTCATTAAAGTATGCACTGTATTATTACACATTACTAAGCACTGTTTCTCTTCATCTTATTGATTTGTAAATTATTGCAGCTGCTTATAATGAAGTGGTGGAATATAATCGAGAATTAGAGTCAGCTGTTTCAAATGGATTAGCTCACATATTCAATCCTTTGGAGGTTCTTCATCTGTTGGAACGAATTCCTGAGGAAGACATACCATTGTTATTAATGAATCCTTCATATGGACGGCCAAAGGATCTCATCCTCACACGTATCCTTGTACCACCACTTTGCATCCGCCCATCTGTTGTCTCTGATCTGAAATCTGGAACGTAAGTATATATCTAATTCCTTTAATTTAATGTCCTAATGCCATTGGAAAGTTCCCAGACTAGGTCAGAAAAGAAAAACTGGCTAACTTACTCAGTTTTGGCTGTCATCTCCTTCTGAATAATCTCATTTGGAACATACACAGTGATCCCATCATTTTTTCCACACTTGAAAAGCACCGAGGAAGTAATTTTCCTTAATGCTGTCAGTTACTGCTTGTGGTTCCCTTTGGATATCAGACACTGTTTCAAAATGTTGTCCCATCAGATTCATTTCCTATTTGGGAAACAAAGCAAACCACAGTGGACTAAGTCTGCCAAGTATTGAGGATGGGAATTGATGACCATGTTGTTAGTCACAAACTGTGGTTTTCAGGGACATGTGGGCAGGTATGTTGTTGTGATGATGGAGCCAGTTGTGGTTGTGCAAAAGTTCCAGGCTTTTTTGTTGCACATTTTCTCTCAGCTGTCTGAAAACATCACAGTAAAAGCCTGAGTTGACTGTAGTGTTTGGAGGAACAAATTCACTGTGATCAATCCCCTTCATGTAAAAAAAATGCAATGAGCATGCTCTTTGTTGAATTGTGGACCTAACACACCTTTTTTGCTCTTGGTGACTGTGGTCTTTTTCCACTTCGCACAATGATTGTTGCTTTGTTTCTGGCTGATAACCATATATCCAGCTTTCATCACTCATTATGGTCCTAGAGATACTCATAAAAGTTGGGTCCTTGTTAGCTTTCTCTTGTAGCTCAAGACACACGTTTGTGCGCCGCTGCTTTTGATCATTTGTTAGAGAGTTTGCGGCATTGCAGTGCATGTTCAAATAGTCTGTTAAGATCTCCTGGCAAACTCCATGACTGATCCCACTGCTGTCTGTGAGCTCATGGATTGTTTGTTGACGGTCTTTGTGGCTGAGTTCTCAGATTTTTTCAAAATTTTGTCATTTTCCTGGGTGCTTTGTCACCCTGAACATTTGTCATCTTCAACTGACACTTGACCGGCCTTGAAACATGAATGAAATTGAAAAACCACTGTCCAGCTTAAAGAATGTCCAAAAGCCTTGTGAATCATTTCAAAGGTTTTGGTAGCAGATTTACCTCAGTACTGTATATAATAACTGATGTGCTTGTATTATACTGATAAGTCCGGTGAGTTTTTTGTAACTACTCGACATCTGATTTCTAAAATGTCATTGATTTTGTTTATTGCTGAATTACACCATATTATTTTATCATGTAATAGGAAGGCAGATTATTGGAAAAAGGAGGAGGAATAGTGTTTCTTGTGTAATTAATAACTGAGACTATTTAGCATGGAATTATTTGATGATAGTGAATAATTAATTTGAAAGGACATGGAAGGAAACTTTAATGGCCTAATTTAAGGTACTGTCAAGGAATTTAATGGAGAAGCTGAATAAAATAAGAAAAACTACAGTCAGGATAGCTGCCCCAGCTCAGGTTTGAACTTGACACTTTCCAAATAGAAGCCAGAAACGTTGCTGTTTGAGTCAAGTAGTTCTGTGAAGATCGATATCATGTTGGCAAATGTGAGTGAGCAATGTAACTGTGAGTGTGTATGAAGGTATTACTTTGTATTCAGATAAATATGTTATCATCTGGTGTCACTGAATGAAGTTATTTTAAAACATTGAATTCAATTTTGATGCAGAAATGAAGATGATCTGACAATGAAACTATCTGAGATAGTATTCATTAATAATGTTATAATGAAACACCGTCACTCAGGAGCAAAAGTACAGATGATTAACGAAGACTGGGACTTCTTGCAGCTACACTGTGCGCTGTATATGAACAGCGAAACATCCGGAATTCCCCTGAACATGCAGGTATGTAATATATATATTGCACAATTCCAGATTAGTTACATTTGTTTCATTCCAAAGAATGTTTTAAAAATCTTCTTTGTATTTTTTTGCTGACTTCAGTCAATTAAACACTACATGTGACCTCTTGTTTACAGCCAAAGAAATCCAGTCGTGGGTTGGTGCAAAGGCTGAAAGGAAAGCAAGGTCGTTTCAGAGGAAATTTATCTGGTAAACGAGTTGACTTCTCAAGTCGAACAGTTATTTCACCTGATCCAAATCTAAAAATAGAAGAGGTGTGTATAATTGCAGAATGCAGAGATTGCTGAATTTAAGATAAACTGCATATTATTTCACTCTTAGCATTAATGTATTTTAAGCATCTGTTTATGATATATTGAAAGTTTGTGTCATGATAAGAGTGTCAATTTATGGGGTCTGATTTCAAAGAAAGTTTCTCTGTTAGCTGTTGGCAGTAATTCGTACCTCAGTTGCCACTTTGTATTGTAATTACTATTGTCACAAATGATTATCATGCTCTGACATTTTCATCAGGATGGATCACCATTCTTTTCCATCCTCTCATTAATGATTTTTATATCTGTGTCTGCTCTCTCTCTCTTTTCTGTGTATCTTTCCTCACTTGGTCTCCCCAGTAATGATTTATTTAATATTTTCTTTTTTATGCTCTTGAAATAGATCCATTGTCATCCATGCTTGACACATGTTCATGACACTATCCAAGATTTTACCAAGTTCTCTCTCTATGACTCTAAGCCCTTTGGACCTTGGCCACTTTTTCAGTTTCTTAATCCTATACACAGCTGGTAGGACTCCTTCAACAGGGGATCAACCAATCGCAAGGCTGATGGCTATATAAAGAGCAAAACAAACATAGAACAAATGCGCACACATATCCATGCCTTGAGTGGGATTCGAACCCACAATCCCAGTATTCAAGCAGGTGAAGACAGTTGATGCCCTAGACTGTGCGGCCACTATGATCTGCCAGTTTTTCTTATAGCTAGTATTAATGGATTTCTGGATGTCATCTCTACCTTCTGGTACTCCAAACAGAACAGAGTGTTTTGTAAACCAGTCATGTTTCCCAAATGTATTCTGTCCATATTATTAGACAACGGAGAAGTCCAGAAAGTGAGTAATTCTAAATTTAATATACTATTGCCCAAATCCACTAGAATGTTCTTGTACTGTTTCTACATACAGATGCATTGTTTTCAGTTATTACCTCTTATTGTTCATTTGGTGCCTCTCTGTACAAACTCAGTCAAAAACTCCATGACCTTTAGTCCACAAGCGAACTATACCGACCGAGTGACCGCTGCTTGTTGACGAAGTTAATGCCAACCTTTGCGGATAGAGGGTGTTGCATGGTCAGTGCAACGAATTCCCACGGCCGTTAATCTCGGTTTTCTAGACCAGAGCCCCTACTTTTCCATTCAAGTAGCTCCTCAATTATCCTCACAAGGCTGAGTGGACCCCATTCCAGACTCGCTGCTTCTCGGAAAATCTGGTAGCGCCAGAAATCGAACCCAGGGTCTCTGGATCTGTAGCCAGGAACTCTGACCACTAGACCACAGAGGCGGTCCAAAACTCAGTCTTATGTCATAAATGATAATATGCCGTAACTTTGGTGAGTTTCACCAAGTGTCTCCAAAACTGAAGTCTGATAAACTGTCACTGAGGTGAATTGATCATTTATCCCTCTTCAGGTTGGTGTTCCTATCCATGTAGCAAAAATACTGACATTTCCTGAGAGAGTGAACAAAGCCAACATGAAGCTGATGAAAGAATTGATTCTGAATGGTCCAGATAAACATCCAGGAGCTAACTTTGTGGAGCAAAGTGGTCAGGCATTTAAGAAGGCTCTGCGATTTGTAAACAGAAACAAAGTTGCCCAAGAACTGAAGGTGAGAACTAAGCAAGATAATTGCAGTAAACCATATTAGTCCAAATATGAGACTAGGTTTTTTTTGTTAATATACTGCTTCATAAGAAAGAGCGGTTGCCTTATTTTCAGGTCCATAAGAATAATATGAAGAATTTATTATTTCTTAATAGTGTAGTTTTTACTTCTTTTGTTAAAAAACTTTTTTATTTCATTATTTGAAAAATATTTGTGCTTATATGTTAATTTAATATAAGTTCACTAGAATTTGAGTGCAGCAATAAAACAGTGGTTTTTGAATCACTTGCTGAACATATGTATGTTGTAGACAAACCTATATTTTTTTTAAGTTGGTTATGTAGCAGAGTCTCAGTATGGAGACTATACACGGTCAGTGATGGGATGGTTAATCAATGGGGAACTGCTGGTTGAATGAGAATTGGCAAGGGAAAGTGATGTACTTGGAGAAAACATTCGCAGTATTACAAATCCCATATGATATTTATATAATTCATCTGCTGTTATAACTTTATTGTATCATATATAGCTGTTGCTATGCAACAGTCATGAGAAGGAAGATGCATTGCTCAGTAACAGCCAGTAAACACATGAACACTACCTGGGCTGTTGCTAGGCAGCTGTAAATGTGTTCCTGTGGCAATGGATACGCATGAAACAGTCATGGTATTGTCGGACCGTAATGATGGACATGATGTTTTCTACATGGTTCATGCCAAAATGTTATAAGCAGCGTCAGTCGAGTTCCAGAGTCAGTTGTCAGCAGCTCAGTTGAGTAAAGTTATATGAAGTAACTGGTTGGTGAGGGAGTGAGTTCAGTTGTCATTTGGAAGTTAGCCTGTGAAGAGAAGACTAGGAGGTTGGTGTGAAATGGCTGCCAGGCTGGGAACCAATTAGTTGAGTTGGCAATTGACAAGAGTTCTGCACTGGCAGCTGTGACAAGAGGACCTGAGTACAGGAAGCTGAAGACTTTACTGTGTTAAATAAGTTGCCAGGAAACGGCTGTTGGAGGCTATAATAGACTGAAGACACTAGCCTGTGTCAGTGATCTGCGAAGTATAGTTCTGAGTGGTGTATACGAGTGGTCAATAAATCCATTCACCAATCCATACCCCTTCTGTAGTCACGCCTCAAAATCGTGACAATATAAATAACATAATTATTATCAATTGCAGCATGGAGATCTTGTAGAGAGACATCTACGTGATGGTGATATTGTCCTATTCAACCGGCAGCCAAGTTTACATAAACTCAGCATTATGGCACACCAAGCAAAGGTGCTGGAACACAGAACTTTCAGGTACTATCTTTCTGCTCAAGCTAACTTCTCTGTGACCTTCATTATCTCTGCTTGCTGGTGATGTAGGGAATTTATTTCCTAAATTGAAACAGCTTGATCGATATTCTAATACTTGGTATGGTTATTAGCACTTGGCCTTGACTTTGTAGAAAGCTTGATTTCTGCCACACACATTGTTGACTTGGTCACATCTGTCCAGGCTTCCTTATATTGTATTGTCCAGATTCATGTGTCAGCTGATCTGGCGCCCTTAGTGTTTCAAGGTTTATTAGTAGCTTGAAGCAAGATGTTTATAGTTCCATATAACCCAAACAACAAAGCCAGCCCTTTCTGCCCCCCACACTAGTAGAACATAAAAACTCAATCAAAGCCACTATTTATTCAGTTCTGCTCCTTACTTTTATTTTTAACTCAGTCAGTCTGAAACATGGCTTTGGGAAGGAGTTTGGCGGTCATATTTTGTCTGAGTTGTATGCAGATACTTTTTCTGATGTATCACATGATCAGATGTTGCCACATCTGGTGGAGTAAACAGTCACCATGTGTGACAGTGATAGTGTCAGTGTAAATGAGGATGAGAGCAGTGAACCAGATAACAGTGATTATTTCAATGATGGGGAAATTGACTTGTGGTGTAAAAGGGATTAGAAACCAAGCGATTTTGTCATATTTACAGGACTGAATGTAATTATTGATAACACAGAGTCTGTTGTTGAAGTAGTGAGTGTACTTATAGGTGCCAATCTCATACAGCTATTCATTGATCAGTCAGACCTGTACCACACTCAGAATGCACAGAAATGGAAGGTATTGTCTAAATCGGTGAACTGATCTGACATTACACCCAAAGAAATCAAAAAGCTTTTAGGGCTAATAAGTTTTGGGGGGGGGGCAGTAGGATAATTGGTTGAGGCACTATGCTACAAGCTGGAAGGCTGCAGGTTCAGTTCCTGCTGAGGTCAGTCAGTTTTGCAATTGACCTATCTTCCAGCCATGTTATAGCCCTAGGGTCAACTGAGCCTCTAACAGAAATAAGTACCAGGATCTACCTGGGTGTAAAGGACAACCTCACCATGGAGAAGCTTTAATTTTAAATTCAGATATTAATGTCCTGAGAGTTATATGCATTATATCTCACATAACATTTGTTTTTATTCCTTATTTTCAGATTCAATGAATGTGTATGTACGCCATACAATGCAGATTTTGATGGTGATGAGATGAATCTGCATCTGCCGCAGACTGAGGAGGCTCGTGCAGAAGCTCTTGTACTTATGGGGGTACATTTCTAATTTAACCTGAGCACATTTTATGTTGAATTTGTACTTAGATTAGTTTAATTTGAAACAGAAACTTTTTTGTAATAAATCATGAAGATTCAGAATTCATCAGGGTGTATTTAATGATCTTGTAAAGCAGAAAGAATTAAATGGAAAGGAAGCTGTCATATTATGAAGTACACACAGATGTCAGTATTATTAATCTGCTGGTATAAATAAAGGGTGTACACACCCCACATGATAGCTTCTGAGAGTTCAGTGAGAGGAGCCATATCTTAATGGCAGCACTAAGAAGCCATTAGGCATACCTACCTTTGTGTATTGTCCTCTGGTGTTTGCACACTACTGGAAGCATTTGTACGGTTTATAGAAATATTTTCAGAAGTCATTGTGTGTGTGTGACCTCCTGCAACATAGTCTTTAAGTCACTTTAATTTGTGCTGTATCCTTGAAGTGACAGCTGTTCATTTGGTATTTCATCTGACAGAGGAGATAAACATTGCTCAGAGCAGGGTCAGGAAGATATAGTGGTTGATGAAGCCTCATAGTATCATGTTTGGTGAGTTACTGTTGCATATGCCATTTCATAGCTGGCTTCTCATTTCAGAGGGCTGGGTTCAATCGCATTATTATTCATGTGGGTCTATTGGACAGAGTGGCACAAGGGGAAGTTTCTCTGAGCATTTGGTTTTTCCCAGCCAATTATCATTCTGCCGGTGTTCCATATTCGTCTGTCATCAAAGGCTGGGACAATAGGCCTATTTGAGGGCCATAATATGAAGGGACTTTGTCTCATTCTACTTCAGCTATTTCTGTGTCAGCAGTAACTGGTGGGCTTTTGTGAATTCCACTCATAGATGATAAGTACATCTGTTCATCTGACCTTGTTGATTGAAGCACATTCAGGAACAAACTTGCTGTTTATAATGCCTTGCCATTCAAAAATTATACTCATCATTACCTTCCCTGCTGATTGATGCTGCTGGAAGTTCGCCACTTCACATGAAAAATTGGTGTTTAAGGATCATGCAGAAAACACCAGGTTTTATCACCAGTTAAGATATTCTGGAAGAATTTCCAGATCCGTGATCTGCTGTTTTGGTGAGCTCATCATTGATTTTCATAAAATTGCTACATTGAATCTGTGTGCACATTCTTGACATATAAGCTGCATTTTCAGATATTTGATGAAGACAATGTAAGTGGGTCCTTTGTCTCCATGGCATGGCATGTCCTCAGGTTGTGGATGGAGGAGACGGACTCCAGATATGGAGGGTACCTGCAAACATATTGAATAAACAGCCACTGACAGCTTGGGGATTGGGCGTGGGGCTAACATCTCACTCTAAAAAATAATTTTGTTACAAGATGTTACAAAGGGCTTTGGTAGCTATAAATGAGATTCCTGAAATGTTTGCAGTTATCATCTGTCTCACAGTGAGCATACTGCATAGGCATCTGAACCTCTCTCACATTGGTCTCAATTTGCAGTGTTGATGATTGATTGTCATAATGCTGATGAAGTTCTAATTACTTTATTCTATTATAAGTGGAAATATCAGGTATAAAATTTGAGACCTTTAGGTTATGAATCAAGCACACTAGCCACTAGAGCACGGGCTGCTAGCCCAGTATTTTAAAGGTCTTGGATTAAAATAAAGAAATAATATAAATCGGTGAGTATGACAACCAGAAGGTAGGAATAGAGCAAACTCTGGGAACGTCAGGAATATCAAATATACCTCCGACAAATGGCAGTGTCCACATAGTACTTGAATAATGAGTCACCCATTGTCACGGACCTTCAGAGAAACAGGTCACATTGCATTGCAGTAATCAGTACTACTTAATTTTGTCATTACATCCTGCATTATGAAGCAGTTTTGTTCCAGCACTAATTCTGTTTTGTGTTTTACAGAATAAATCAAATCTTGTAACTCCTAGAAATGGAGAACTACTAATTGCTGCGACACAGGACTTCATTACAGGAGCCTACTTACTCACACAAAAGGATCATTTCCTGGATAAAGGACAGGCATGCCAGTTGGCTGCTTGTCTCTTGGCAGGGGATGATATTGCTATGAATATAGACCTACCCCCTCCAGCTATAAGGAAGGTATAACTTGAAACTCAATGGTCTGAGGTCTTCAGGAACCCATTTTAGTAATGAAAGTTTGGTATAATGGAAACCATTAAAATTGTTGTGATGTAATTTTTATGACGGTGGACACTTGGGTTCTCCTACTGGTGAACATTAAAATTGTGGTCTTGTGGGATGTAATGTCGTGTATTTCATTCTTGGGTTCAAGTCCCAATGAGGTAATTGGATTTCTTTAAATTGACCTAATCCTTCCAGCCGCACTGTGGCCCTGGAGTTCACTCAGCCTCTAACAGAAATGAGTACCAGGATATAATTAAATAATTTTTCTGGGGAGTAAAGCACAACCAGCACGTAAGGCTGACAACCTTGCCGCCATCTTTGAACCGATTGTCTAGATAATGTGGAACCTTCGACGTCTCACAACCCTATAGGCCTTCACAGCCTGGTACAGGGAACTTTCTACTCTTTTATTTAACAATACTGTCAGTATCTCAGTCTGTAAAGTACTGAATTTTAGAATGATTAGTAAATGATAACATATTTAGATCATAAGTATTCAGTCTATGATGCAACATCATCAACTTTTTGTAAATGGCACTAAAATATATATAGTAAAGTAATAGTGTTTGTTAAATATTTTAAATGTTGTTAACTATGTTCATTCATTTTATGTTGGTACATGTTTTGGCCACACATGGGCCAACAGTGGGCAACACTTATTACCGGGGAAACCAGTGTACTGTACACTTTGTCTTCTGTGCCCTTAGGCACATCGTTGTTTTTGTTATTAATTTCTTTCATGGGATATTTCCATTGTATCTTTTGGCAACTATTTCAGACTTTATTTACGTCTTTTACTTTTGTTGTGTAATCTTTAGTACCGTCTTCCCTTTTAAATGATAAGTTGGAAAAGATGTGGAAGAGAGTAGTTGTAGTTTAATATGAGGTATTAATCCATGCATTTACTTAGTGAGACTTAGGAAATGATGATGAATATCGGAATAGTTAGTTTCCCATCCGGGATTCAGACCAGGCATCTCCTGAATATAAGTCAGAAGTGTTACTGCTTGAGCTAAATTGTTTGGTGTGATGGCATATAGTTTGCTAGGCAGGTGCCATGTTTCCAGAGGAACCTCATGCCTCTGTCTTCAGGGTAGAAAAATGAGCTAAGCACAGAAAAAGTTGTGCATGATATGCAGAAGGTAAGACTGACCAGAGCCATGAGGAAACCAGTGGAGAGTGGTGGCCTATAAAAGGACTGCCTTGTCAGTGAGGAAAAGTAGAAAAAGTGCAAGGCAGAAGATGTGGAAAGAGATCACAAATTAATGATTAAAGGAAAAATAATTGATGTAGATAATTTACAGTGTGGAAATTTGTCTCAGTAGGGGAGAAAGTTTATTCCAAATCACGGAGAGGGAATGATTTGAGTTGCTTACCATAAATGTAAGAGAATATTTTTTAAACCTGTAATAGTGAAATATTGAAATTCCCATATAAGTTTTCTTTTGGGAACAGTAGATTTGAACACTGATGTGAGGAAAATTTGAAATAGGGATAATTTAACAAGGAGATTATTGGCTTTGGACCACCGAAATTGAACAGTAAGTAAGGAACCTTAAATACAGGTCCACAATATGTGTATTAAGATCAATTTTCTATATATGTTACTAACATTTTTACTCTTATTGTTTCTAGCCAGCCACTCTATGGACTGGAAAACAGATTTTCAGTTTGATTATTCGCCCAAATAAGAAATGTCCTGTCAAGGCTAACTTACGCACAAAGGGCCGTGCCTATACCAGTAATGAAGAATTATGCATCAATGACTCATGTAAGCAGAACTATAATTGATAAATTAACAGTCACATTTAATATAAGGGAAGACTATGTAATGTTGAAGTTAAGAATTGGCAGTTTGTTGTGTTAACCATTTAGGGAGGTCTGCTGGCTATAATGGACATTCCATTATAGGAGTGGTGTTTCAGTTGGACATGACAGGCATTAATCTCAGTTAGACCACTGGTATTAAAATATATAATACTGAATGTGTTTAACTGCTGTACAGTTACAATTTTGACATTTATTTCTTACATAAGCATACAATTCTGTGTAAAGAATTTATTTTTGATGGTCACACATTTCAGGACTCAGATTGAAGAAAATCACAATTTTTTTTAGCCCACTTCCATTATTTTGAGAAAGTTAAAGTAGGCTTATGAGATCACATTCTGTCTGTGTGTGTGCCCCCCCTTATTAACTTTTGAATGTCTGAACCAATCTTTATGAAAACTGGCATGTATCTACTTAACTCCATCTTGCTGATGTAAATCATGAGTCTCTCACATCAGTAATACCAACACTGCAGCCTCTCATTACTGAGGCAGAACATTAATATTGCTTGAATGCCTGTATCAAACTTTATGAAACTTCGTATGCATATTATGCCACATGAACCATTCCAACTCCATAAGTCCCTTTGATCAGTAGTACCAACATTACAGCCTCTAAAATTTTTGTGGTAATAACTATAATATTACTTATATTCCTGAACTGATTATCATGGAACATGGTATGTACATATATCATGCCAGATGAGCCCATTTCAATGGTGCACTAAATAAATTGCTTCCACCAGTAATACCAACATACCTTTGAAATTGCTGAGGCAAAACCTTAATATTTATTCAACACCTTTACCAGTCATCATGAAACTTGCTATTTACGTGGTTCTATCAAAAAGTTCCCGAAATTTGAATTTTGCGCGTGAATGGTTATGAGTACATCGAAATACCGCTAGGTGTCTCCCCACACACCCTTCTTGAATCAATGTGACAAGCAGTATCCTGTCGAGTGGTTGGGTTTATTGTTGGTGAATGTATTTCCATTGTTGTTTTTCCGTGAGTTTGCGGTTTTGCGATGGCTGATCCGAGAGAGCAGGGTGTCTGTATAAAGTTTTGTTTTAAACTTTGGAAAACCGCTGCAGAAACGCACCAAATGTTGAAGCAAGCTTTTGGTGACAACAGTTTAGGCCAGACATAAACTTATGTTAAGATTACTGCATTATGGGTTGTTATGTCGTGTATTCTGGTAGATATTTACCAGCATTTAAGAGGACCTTACTGCCTGCATCATCCTGAAAGTGGCACAGGATTTCCCACCAAGATGTAAGTAAATATGAACCAGACTATGTGTCACATAGAAGGCATTACCCTTTAGAGTCATATTTAGCTCCTTGTAAAAGTTTTTATATATAAAGGTAAGTAACAGATAAATAATAAATATAAAAGTCTGCAGAAGCACAATTTCTTCATTATTTATGGTCTTTAAAACACACAGTTGCTTTAACTTTCTTCGCATAAATGCTGCTAATCTGGAAATATGTTTCTGAATTTAGGAAACCCAGATGTTCCACTTGTACAAAAGCAATTTATATTAAAAATTAGCAGATCTGTCAGTTCTTATATGTCTATGGAAAGAAATATAGCAGTGTTACATATTCACTGTTGGATTCTGTAAAGATGTGTTCACACTTTCTTCTGCAGATGTTGTTATTCGCAACTCTGAATTACTGGCTGGTTCAATGGATAAATCCACACTGGGTTCTGGTTCAAAGAACAACATATTTTATATATTGCTGAGTGACTGGGGTGAGGATTATGCAGCCAAGGCCATGTGGAGACTTGCCAGACTTGCTTCATACTTCCTTATGAACAGAGGTTTCTCCATAGGTATAGGGGATGTGACACCAGGGCAAGGCCTGCTTAGGGCCAAACTTGAGCTTCTGCATGCGGGGTAAGTGTGTAACAAGCAAGGTATAGAGTGACCCACAAGTCTCTATGTGTAATGGCATTTTATGTATTTTGAGACTGCTGTCTTCTGTGATGCCTTGTAAATTATTACCAACATTTTAGAGAAAATTGCAGCCTCCATCCACAAGGTAAATGAGTGACGTTCTACCGGACTACATGGTATCTCATTGCAGAAGGCATTGTATTGTAAGAACTTCAAATCTCAGTTTATTTTTATTTTATTAATGATACTGTTTTAACTGCTGAGATTATATAGTACTGACTGAGATGGGAAGATGCTCATGAATAAAGAATAGGTGAGGATTTTGAAGAAGGTAGTCATAGCCTGTTTGAATATGTTATCATGATATTTCTGGAGTGGCTGAGGGAAACCGTGTTAACCTCAGTATAGCTAGAAAATTGTCTAAGATCTGAATTAGGTACCCCCTGAATGTAAGTCTGTTTTTTAGTTATCTAATTATGCAGTTTCAGCTTCAGTGGTTATACAGTATCAAATGAGAAGAGAAGTTTATTATGGATGGTGAGTAGGTAAGGATTTGGAAGGAGACAGATGTGGCTTATTTCAAGGAATTATCCCAGCATTTTGCCACTGGAAAGTACCTGAAGCTGATGATCCAGCTGAGATCTGAATCTGGTACTTCCTGAATGCAGGTCTTGTGTGTAGACTGCTATATGAACTTGTATGGCCCCCACACTGCGACCTTCAATGATCTATTATGCTTCCCTTTGGAATAGCCCTTTATTAATCCTACACATTTAATAAAGTGTAGGACCCTGCTTATTGGGACATCATAAAAGTCGCTTGGTTCCATAAAAAATGACCCAAGTGATGAAATCTTAAATAAGCTATGGCCTCACAATCACACGGGATGTGTGCAGCTGATTCGTTTTCCTGTAGGCACCTTTCACAAGTTGGGTTATCTGTCAGTCCCAACATGAAAAGGTATCCTTTCAGGTGGCAGTGTCCAGTAAGTAATCCTACCACCCATCTTAATTGAGCTATATGAACTTACTTGATTCCAGAGCGGCCTCCCTAGTCTAGGGGTAACGTTCCCACCTCATGACTCAAGGTATGCGGGTTCAAACCCGGCGGAGGTTGTGGAACTTTTAAGGGCAGAAAAATTGAGGGAACAAGTCCTCCGGGATGGACTTTAAGCTGTGGGTCCCGTGTCGTAGATTTACGGCACGTAAAAGATCTTCATGTCTCTAGGAGACCTTTGAGCAAAATTAGGCAAAGTTTCCTGCCCAACTAGTTTCCAATGCCTCCGTTAGATGGGGAAGCATTGGGTACCATTGCCAGAAGAGGGCTGACCTTGCGTGCAGAATGGGGCTGATAGCGAGCGCCAGTACTGGTAGGGTATGGCGACAGTAGAAATTAAAGGGGGACGTACAAAAGACTACTAGTCGCGGTGCATGGGGAAACCCACCCCCTCAAAAAAAAAATAATAATGATAATAATAATAAATACTTGATTCCAGTCTGTCGTGATAACGTTTATGTGTAGATCGAATATTCATGTGCTTCCCAGAACGTGTAACCAGTCATTTCTGTATGAAATGAACCTGTGGCTACCATGGCTCTGGTGTCTGGATTTTAATCTGGAATATTTATATTGTACGTAGCGTGATGCTAGGCATAGTGGGGCCTGATTGACCCATGCATGTACCTCCACGGTAGTGCAACATGTGGGTGACAAAGTTTAAAAAAAACTATGCAGTTTCTTTGTTAGTTTTGTAATTGATTAAGACTTGCAGACCATTGTGTATAAACTGGAAATGCATACAATTAGAATAATGATATACTGGAATTCATATTTAATATTGTCCTTTAAGGTTAATTGTCATTTAATCCAATCAATAGTCTCAGCATTAAATTTCTTCCATTTTGAGATTTTCTTCCAGGCATGTGAGAGATGAACACTGCATAGAAATTTTTAGTTGGAAAACAGTGAAGGGAAGGAAAGGGAAGAGAAGAGTACACTTCCTCAGCTGTATATAAAGAAGGATACAGAGAATATTGTGAATAGTAGTTGCTAAATCTGTGTTTTAATTAAGTATGAAATTAATACTGTGAAATATTTCAGATATTCTAAATGTGATGACTATATCCAATCTCTAGAAGAAGGTCGATTACAGTGTCAGCCAGGTTGCACAGAGGAAGAAACGCTTGAAGCAGTCATCTTGAAGGAACTGTCTGTTATTCGAGACCATGCTGGTAAAGCTTGTCTTAAAGAACTTCATCCAAGCAACAGTCCTCTTGTAATGGCTCTTAGTGGTTCCAAAGGTATGTAGATTTTGATAAAACAGCCTACCAGTGGTTATCATCCACCCTCACTCCTCACCTACCTCAGCAAATAACTCCAGTTCCTGTCCTTCCTGTACAACCATCATCACTTTCATTTAATTAGATTTGTTACATGTTACGGTATCTTCTGCTTCTTTTGATATAGGCTCAAGTGTTTTCTGTTTTCATAAGTCATCTTTTGAATTGTCTTCCCAGCAAGGTAAATGAAACACAAGAACAAAAAACTGATCTAACAAATAAAATGTTGTGTTCAGAAAGTTTCTAAAAATTGTCTGTAAATTAGCAGTGCATCTGTCATGTTAGGTGTTGTTTGAATGACGGTGCAACCTGATCATTAGTTATGCAAACAGTTTTGTTCCAAGTAGATTGGGGGTTCTGTTTAATTTTTATGACTACTTTTGTAATCTAGTGTGTTGTTGTTTTGTCACATTTAGCATGGAGTCTGTAAAGGAGCAAAGAATTTGTGTTAAATTCTGTTTCAAAGTAAGGAAAAGATCTGCAGAAACCTATAGCCTGTTGCATGAAGCTTACAGAGATGATACCTTGAGTCACACAATGACCAACAAAAGGTTCAGATGTTTTATGGAAGAACTTCGACAGATGATGAGCAATGTGGATGACCTTCTGCTTCAAGATCGAATCTCTGATTGCCCAGGTGAAAAACGTTAGCCATGGGAATCATCGACTGACTGTCTGGGAAGTTTGTGGAAGAGGTTGGAATATCCATTGGTTCATGCCAAAAGTTTTAATGGAAGATTTAGGAATGTTTCATGTCTCAGCAAAATTTATGCCAAGACTCTTGACTAGCAATCAGAAACTGCAACAATTTTCCATATGTGAAAATCTCCTCCAAATATCATTACTGGTGGTGAGACCTGGGTTTAAAATTATGACATTGAAACTGAAAAACAGTATTCATACTGGAAGAGTCATGCTTTGCCTCACCCCAAGAAAGCATGACAGGTGTGCTGACGAGTGAAAGCATCGCTGCTTGTTTTTTTCAATCATCAAGACATTGTGCATTACGTATTTGTTCCTGGAAGTCACACAGTTAATCAGAACTTTTATTTGACTGTTCTGAGATGTCTGCTGGATGTTGTACATAGAAAGTAACTTGAAATGTTGACTATGGGAAGCTGGCTTCTCCATCACAATAATGCATCTGCTCACACAGCCTTGTCAGTTAGACAATTTTTGGCAAAAATTTCAATTCTTACCCTTCTAAAACCTGCCTATACACGTAACCTCTCCCCTCCTGACTTTTTTCTGTTCCCTAAACTCAAAATTACCCTTGAAGGAAGAAGATTTCAGACAGTGGAAGACATCACTTATGCAAATAATGACTTGAAGGTGATACCACAAACATCCTTCAAACAGTGCTTCCAAAAGTGGAAAAGGTGGTGGCAGAGGTGCATTGCTGTGCAAGGGGACTATTCTGAAGGGGATAATATTCAACAAGCTCTAAGCAGAAAGATATTATTTATAGACAAATTTTGGGAACTTTTTGAACACACTCTGTATACTTTCAGTTAATCTGGAGAACAAGTTTTGAGGATCTTTCTGTGCCCATTCTTTTAAGAATGTTTTAACCTTTTATCTCTCTCTTTATCTCTTCAGTTTACTGAATAAGCACGCAAATTCTTCTGTAGATCTGCAGTATTAATGTTTTCATGTCTTGTACATTGCTCAACACTTCTTAAGGCTATCAAGTTTACCCCTGAATTTTTTCACTTCCTTATAATTTCGTGGGATCTTCTATTAATTTACAAAATTAAAATTTTAACTATTTTTCTTATTTGTGTTAATGTTCTGTTTATTGCTGCATGTGTTCTTGGTATCAGCATATTATATTATTTGCATCATACACATCTTTTTAGAGAAAGTTATATTCCCATAGTTAAAATATGACACTTATTTTCAAAATGAATTTAACATAAGTACTTTACAGAATAGGAGCTTCAGAAGGTTTGCTTTAGACTTGAAATTTCAAATGGCTGTGAATTTTTCATTCCATGTCTGGTACCTGCAACTTGCTATTGAGTTTCGTTTCTTTTAACTGAACACACTGTGTTATTCATTTTCATGTTTTTGTTTGTTTAGGATCCTTCATTAATATCTCTCAGATGATTGCCTGTGTGGGTCAGCAAGCCATTAGTGGGCACAGGGTTCCTAATGGTTTTGAAGATCGAGCACTTCCCCATTTTGAGCGCCATTGTGAGTATGATGAATCTGAAATGTTATAAACTGAAGCCCTGCTAACTTTCTGTCACAACTGAGCCATCAGCAGTTTTGCAGCAGCAGAATTGCATATCAGAGTGCTCTATTAATATCATAAATGAAGCAGCTTTATGGCTACAGTCTTCTATGTATTCCTCCTTCACTTTAATGTTCTTAGGTGTATAATGGTGGCAGGGATTATGCCTTTGTGATGACGTAGCTGCTGTCCCTGTAACAGGCTGTTGAGGGTCATAGGGTTTTGAGACATTGAGGCTTCCACATATCATAGACAATCAGCTAACAGATGGTGGTGAGGTTGTCAGCCTTATGCGCTGGCCGACCTTTGACCCCAGGAAGATTCCTGCTACTCATTTCTGTTAGAGGCTGAGTTGATCCCAGGGCCACAGTAGGGTGGGAAGGATTAGGTTAATTGAAAAAGATCCAGTGACCTTTTTGGGGATCAAACCCATGACCTTCCAGCTTGCAGCTTGGGGGCTCTTTCTCCGGGGGTAAAGCAGCTGGGGGTGAAGCCGATAACTCACCTCCAGCTGGTACCAAGGTCAAGAAAATGTGGATCTATACATCCACTCCCCCATATGCTTTCATGGCATAGTGCTACATTAGTTAAGCACAGGGACAACATTTCCTTTTGCTAGGTCAATGGAAGAGTCCGAATAAATGGCCTTGAATCTTGTGTTATGCCACTGTCAAATAACTTTAAGCATATTTTAGGGAGTGATATATGCAAAGTTTTCTTGTTTAACTTACAGCCAAGATACCTGCAGCAAAAGGTTTTGTTGAAAACAGTTTTTATTCTGGACTCACACCTACTGAATTTTTCTTCCATACTATGGGAGGAAGAGAAGGTTTGGTTGATACAGCAGTCAAGACAGCAGAGACTGGCTACATGCAGCGTAGACTAGTAAAGGTCAGTTTGAGCACAATATTAGAAACCCAGACATTATTGCCTTTGGGTCTCATTCTGATCCAATTTAATCCACTTAAACTTGTTTTCTTAACATCCATTTAACTCCATGCTATCATAGTCCTTCATGCTGTCTACATCCACTGAGTTTCCCTGACATAATTTTGAAAAAATTCTTGTTTCTTCTGTCTGAGCTGTGTGTCCAGTTCATCATAACTTTCATTAACCATGCTAGCAATACTGTGAGAAGAGTATAAGTCATAAAGCTATCGTTTATGTAATTTTCTATATTCACCTTTTATTTAATCTGTTTTAGGTTTGAGTATTTTTCATACTTCTTTGTTCTTAGATTGTTGTAATAAGTTTTCCTATCACATTAAGACAGTGTCTTCATGTCACATGGAAAAATAATAAAATGTATATTACAGATATTTTTTAAGCTTTGAAAAGTAGATGAGATGGTAAATGTTCATAAACGAAGCATTTTGAGTTACTTACATTATTTGTGTTCATGTTATTTATATTATGTTTAGATGCCAGTGTGTTATCTTGTTATTATGTTGCAGTCTCTAGAAGATTTATGTCTGCATTATGACATGACAGTTCGTAATTCTATTGGAGACATTGTTCAAATCTGCTATGGAGCTGATGGACTAGATCCTACGTACATGGAAGGTAAAGAATAGTATATGAGATTTGAGAGTCTCACAGCAGTGTGTATTGAGATCATTGTTTTCTGGAATATATAGTTTGGTACACAGATGTTTCTGAGGAACCTGCTGCCACCATCTTCATTATACTATTTAATTAAATTCCCCATTGTCACTAATAGTAATATTGGACATGAGAACTTCCAGTAGCAACACTAATGTAGAAACCTGAAATTTTGTGTGGCCATAGATCTGGGTGAAAGATGTGCATTTTTGTTTTGTGTAAAGTGGATGGTAACTGGAGTGCAGACCAGCACAACAGTACAGGCAATCAAGTGTACACATTGAGCAGCATAATTTTAGGCTTTACTTGAAATGAAAATTCTGTTTCTATCATGACATAGTCACCTATCCACAGTATGCAGCAGTTTAAATATAAGTGTGAATGTCAGGCATTCATGTTGTTATCTAATTTTGTAATTTCAGGTCAGCAGCGACACAGCAGTTGCTGTGACTAGATGATTCCACATTTTTATCAGTGTTTCTTTGATCCTTGTGATAAGAATTGTGACACAGTTTACATCACAGTGTTTCAGAATTTCATACTATTAATTTTCATGACTTTTTTTAAGAAATGCTTAATTGGGAGTAATGTGGAATTTCTCATTGCCAGGGGCAGCATTTAGGCTAGTGCCAGCCCAGATCGCAACCACAAGAAATCTCTTTGTCAGAAGTTTTATCTTGCTATGACTTAATGTTCCATATATGCAGTATATGAAATTAATAAACTCATGTACCATAATTATCTTTCTAAACAAACAGATGACATTAAAGTCTCATCCTGACAAAGAAGGGTGGTGTTAGCCAGTGTGGTCTGGATCACCAAATACCTGATATCATTGTTCATGCTAAGATCACATCAATTAATATCAGCAAATTACTACAGCAAAGATGCAGTTTACAATTATGCATAACATGTTCTTTGGTCAGTAAATATTTGTCTATAAGATTTTTTTAACATTGATATGTGGGGCAGGATGGTACATACGTTTGTTGGACCTGGTAATTGTAGCACATGTTTAGTGCATTGTACTAACAAGAAATTGTATCACACATTGCATACATTTATTGGTGGAAAGTGCAGTCATGTAAAACATTTTTTTTAGTGTCCTAGTTTGTTTTATAGGTGTTTAAAGCATGTTACATGTTTAGTAATTGTAACACTAAACTAAAATGAACTAAAGGCACTATACTTCTGTAATTACAGAAACAACTATAAAATCACAGATGCCACCAGGATTTTGTACAAAGAGGCAGGCAGAAAATTTGCATACAGACTTATGGTTATGGACAAGTTAAAAAAATTAAAACTGAATTAGTTAAGGAAGTTGTTAAGCCTTTCTTATATTCATGACACAAGAATGTTTTTTAAAGCGACGCTTTAACTTTTGTTATTAGTATTTGGTAAATGTACTTCTTTTTACAATTTTGATTTTTTTTTTCAAAATTTAAGAAAGGGGGGGGGCAAATAACTTGGTTTGCGCCCTTCCTACTATCACTCACAATAGTAATCCTTAGTGATAGTTGGTTTTCTAACCTACCCTTACAGGTAAAGACTGTCCAGTTGATTTTCAACGAGTGTTAGATCATGTGCGTGCAAAATGTCCATCTCGTGAAGAAGAACCACTTGATGGACCAAGTATCAAGAAGGCAGCTGAAGAGATTCTGAAGACTGATGACTTTGATACCTGTAGCACTGAATTCAAAAATGAACTAAGGTACTTTATAGATGTAAAATGATTGTTGAAAATTATGAATAGTTTGAGTGAGAATCACTTGAGAGATTTCCATGAAACTTGGTGTACACATTGTATTTTTAAAGATTATCCGCTGTGTATACCGTATTTACGCATGTATAGGCCGCACATTTTTTGCCAAAAATTCAAGAGGAAAACTGGGGTGCGGCTTATATTCGAAATATTCGAAATCACACTTCATTTAAAAAAAATATATTCATAATTAGTAATACAGGGTGTTCAAAGATCGAGGAAACAGGGGCAGCAGCGTAGAGCGGATGGAACGTTTCTCCGCGACTACTGTGCCCCTCCCCGCTAGCGAGAGTGCAGTCGTGTCACTGATACCCTTACATCAGTTTCTGTACATGCACACATTTCTAAGAATACTGTAAAAAGATAACACAAACTTACCGTGCTTTATAACAGGTGCTGAAAGTGACCCCCTTCTGCTTGCAAACATGCTTCACATCACATGAATAAATTATGCGACACTTTCTGAAGTTGGTCCACGGTAATTGAACCATATTACTGTTCATCACTTGACTCGTTACTGTCGATGTCGCTCTCGCTCGAAGTTTCGCTGTCAGGTGATGTCAGCCATACAGCATCATCTTCAGTCCCGTCCATTGCGTTGGAAATGGATGTGACTTTAAAACTTTTGGAAACCATTTCTTCTGGTATGGTGTTCCATGCAGCCACAATCCACTCACACATTTGACTTAATGAAGGTTTCTTCAATCGTCCAGTCGGCGTCATCTCCGTGGAACCGCATCTCCAGTCCCGGTAAAAGCGCCGCAAATGAGACTTGAAAGGACGGTTTATTGACACGTCAAGTGGTTGTAACATGCCAGTCATCCCCCCTGGTATCACAACCATATCACTTTTCTCCTGCCTCATCTTCACTTTCACATTTTCAGTTAAATGGCTTCGAAAACTGTCAACCACTAACATTGACCGCTGACGTAAAAGTGCGCCTGGGCGCCGAAACCACACTGATTTCAACCAATCCAGATAGAGCTCTTCTGTCATCCATCCTTTTTCTTGAACTCTCACCAAAATTCCCGGTGGAAGCTTTTCTTTCGGCAATGTTTTGCGTTTGAAGATTACAAATGGTGGTAGTTTGTTTCCATCAGCAGTGATACCAAGCATTACGGTACACCGCTGCTTTTCTGCTCCTGCAGTCCGCACATGCACTGTTTTTTCGCCTGCTTTGTTCACTGTACTTTCACCCGGCATTTCAAAGAACACAGGAGTTTCATCAACATTTCCAATAGCTCCCATGGTGTAGTTGTGCGTCTTTCTTAATTTCAGGACATGTTTTTGAAATGCAAGCAGTTTCTCCTGGTATGTGTCGGGAAGGCGCTGCGCTATTGACGTCCGTCGCCGAATTACAAGATCATGTCGGGCCATAAAGCGCCTTGCCCATCCATAACTTCCCTTAAATTCATTACGAGGAATTTTCATTCTGTCCGCTATTTTGAGGCCTTCAAATTGAATCATTTCCACAGACACTGAAAATCCATCCGCCCGTGTATTACGCACGTATCGCAAAAGTTTATTTTCAAGTTCTAGAAATTTAGCTTTCTTTCCGCAGAAAGATTGTCGATTTTGTGACGTTTTTTCAAGGGCATCTTTCGTTAGTATCCATCTTCGCACATTTTTTCATCAACGTCAAATTTTCTCCCTGCTGCTCGATTTCCATGTTCTTGTGCGTAACACACCACTTGAAGTTTAAATTTAGACGTATAACCTGCTCTTACTCGACCCATGTTTCACTCAGAACTAACCAGGCAAGTCAAGTAAAGGCGAAAAGGTTATAACTCTCCCCCGCAATGCCTTTGTTCCGAGCGGTACCGTTATTTTCGCTAGTTGCGAACTTAGGAATGTTCAACGTTGCCAAATTTCAGAATAATTTCTACTCCTGAAATAATATTCCAAGAAAATTATTTTTTCTATAATTTCTGTCTGAAAATTGTGCTGCGGCCTATACACGCACGCGACCTATACATGCGTAAATACGGTATATTAGTTCCATAATGTCATTAATAGTAGTATGGTTCCCTTGAAACTTCTGAAATGTGAGACCCTGAAGTATGTGTAATATATCTTTAAAAATTCTGCAGCTTTTGTTAAGGATATTTTTTTGTAGAACACAGGGCACTATTGTGGCCTTGTGAAATCTTTGTTTATCTGGATGTAAACATTATGCACAATATACTTTCAGTACCTTCATGGAGAGTTTTGCTCGGCGCGTTGCCCGGCTGCGTCATCGCTATGGTGTAGATGATACACCAATTTTTCCTGCTGTTGTCTTGCAGTTGGAAAGACTTACAGTTAGTCAGTTAGTTGAATTTTTCCATACGTGTCGTGATAAATACATGCGGTCCAAGATAGAACCAGGTAATTAAAATATGTAATATTAACATGTATTCATGGGGTTGGTACAGATGGAGAAATAGTTAATGGAATGAATGTTCAAATAGTGATATTTATTCTTGACAAAATTAACTTTACTGAAAATGTTTGGGAAGGTGCAAAATCCATTTCTTCTAGCCAAAATTTGGACCTCATAAACTATAGTTCCATCTGCTGGCCATCATTGTTATTATTACCATACTGTTAAGTATAAATACAGAATGTCCCAGAATAATGATATGAAATTGTTTCCTCTCATCCTTTATTTGTAGCATGTTAATAGCAGGAAACTACAATAACAAGTAAAAATGCTACAGAAATGTCATCAAGCTATTTTTATTGGAAATATCCACCATTAGCGCTCAGTTTTCTACCATACCAAGCAACAGAAGAGCAAAAAGTTTCAGTGTGGTAGCATTATTCCTAAATGTCCTGAAGTATTCCAGCCTTTGGGATAAGTCTCTTTTAGGTTCATTTTTTCATACCTTTCCAGTTGTACACAGGTCAGCGTGGTGAAAAAATTATAAATGAAGGCTTTGGATAGAAAATAATATATATCATGATTATATTAATGTGTCTTGTAACTGTACAACTGACCACCTCTGTGGTCTAGTTGTCAGAATTCCTGGCTACAGATCCAGAGGTGCTGGATTTGATTCCTGGCGCTACCAGATTTTATAAGAAGTAGTGGGTCTGGAGCGGGTTCCACTCAGCCTCGTGAGGATAACTGAAGAACTGTTTCAAGGAAAGAAGAGCTTTGGTCTAGAAAACCGAAATTAACAGCAATGGGGATCTGTTGCGCTGACCACGAGACACCCTCTATCCATTAAAGTTGGCACTAACTTCGCCGACACGCGGCGGTCACTTGTTGTGTATAATTTGCTTGTGGACTACTGGCCACAGAGTTTGTTTTTGTTTTATAACTGTACAACATTATACTGTGGCATATAGAACCATTGTTAGGCAATGAATGCAAGGCAAACAAATACTTAAGGAGCCATTGCTACAAAACAGCCAGTAAACAAGTAAACAACACATGACAGGGTGTTTTCTTTGAGTCTGTTCTGAGGCTATTTCACTCAACCAACCGAGTGAGGAGTGAGTCAAGTTGAGTACAGTGGAGTGACAAGAGTTGGTTGGTGAGCAGTCAGTTAGAGGACTGCTTCAGTTTATTCACTGTGAGCAGCTGGTAGCTGAGGTATAGGAACAGTTCAGGAGCCCATAGGAAGGGGAACATCTGGCATTGGATCCATCACCGGGCAATGACTGGTGAAAACACAGCAGACTGCTGTAGTGAACTGCAGAGTGTGTGAGTTAGTGATAGCGCTATAGTTGCTTGTAGTAAGCAAGTGTAATTAAGTGTTCAGTAAATCCAATTACCAATCCAAACCTCATCTATAGTCACTCCATCACATGACAATATGTTACACTTTACAATTCACATGTTAACATGTTAGATATGTTTAAAAACAAAATGAAATTGAGATTATCCAGAATTCTGTTTGAAGCCAGAGAAAGAATTGTGGAGGCCTTCCTTTCCTTTTGAATGTGTATAATTAATTTCATTTGATATCTAGAAGTAATTTATTTATTCTGTTCTTTTGGTAGGAACTGCAGTAGGTGCTCTTGCTGCACAGAGTATTGGAGAACCTGGCACACAGATGACCCTCAAGACTTTTCATTTTGCAGGAGTTGCATCTATGAATATTACTCAGGGAGTACCTAGGTAAAAGTGATTTTTATGGAAAGTTGCTGTGACCAGCATTCTCATAACACATTACTTTAATTGTTTTAGCATAGTTTCCTAATTTTGAAAAAAAAATTAAAAGAGCCTTATGAGAACACCTGTTTCTGTGTAAACCCCCCCCCCCAAATATTTTTGTTTCCTTTGCAGTCCATATCATATCAGAGGAGAGTAGATGATTAGTTCTGTCTAGAGCTTCTTGTTTCTCTTTAGAGCATTCTTCTTATCATTGTCCTGATAATTTCTACATAATGTTCATAATTCTCTGGATGTAACATGGTAAAGGATTAAGCACCATGCTATGAAAATGTACAGGAGACCAAAGATTGTGGCCCCACACATTCTTAACCTAGGTACTAGAAAGAGATGAGTGGTCAGCTGTTAACTCTGGCTGCTTTGATCCCTGAGCCCCATTGTGTAGGAGCTTGAGTAGGCCCTACAGCTGTTCTGGATCTGGTGATGAAGAGAAAAATCAGTACAACTTCCTGAAATTGAACTTTTGTGATCCATCTCATAGCCATTCACTAGAGATGTTACCATTCCTCTGTTACTGAGAGATCCTGGGCTTATATCATGGTGTGAATCCCACCATGACTTTCAGGGACTGAGAGAACACAAGAACAAAACTCAGTTGCAGAAGCTAATGAATGATGAATTATATAAAATGGGTTCCATAAGTACTGTGACTTCAGTGATGTCCTTCATTTTGCCTAAATTGCTCTGAGCATTTATTTTTTTATGTGATTTACCCTGATTCTGAATGTAATTGTAATTATTAGTACCAATTATAAAAGGTTAATTAATTCCAACCAGTGTGACTGATGAAGTTTTTTTTTTCTTTTTAATGTTTTATCCTTAACATGTTTCGGTCCTATAGACTGAACTGCATGCCTTGAGCATCAACAGGAAGACACTAAAGAATCCTGTTCTCCAAAGGACAGAACCACAAGGCAGTAGATGCTTGGCTTCCTTCAAAGGGAAGGAATAAAAAGGGCACAAACCAATTTGGTTTAAAAATTTTAACAAAATATTTCTCAACATACTAAATGCAATTTATAAATATTTTAACATATTAGTACAAGCCACTGTAGTTGTTAAAAACATTAGATTTTGTACTAGTATTATGATAACATTGTATGTATATATTAATATTCAGAAAATATATTGTAATAGTGGTTTCTAATTGTATTGATATCCTTCTGAAGATGGTCTATAAGACAGAAACATGTTAAGGATAAAATATTAAAAAGGAAAAAACTCATCACACTGGGTGGAATTAATTAATCTTTTATAATATTGTTAGTGTGACGGACCACGATGAAACAAATCAAATACTAGTACCTATGTATAGTTATTTTTTATAAAGTAGATTTTATCTTACTTTCATTGAATTTTGTTGTGGTGTCAGTTTTTAGTACATTCACAGCAGGTGACAGTTTCTTTCTTCAGTGGTTCCAACATTTATCACATGATGCACAGGAACTTCTTCCTGCACCATTCTAGATGTTAGAGCTTGTATCTTATTTATCTTTTTGTGATATCAGCAACTGTGATGTTAGTTATCATAGCAATAAAAAAGTAAATTTAAATATTCATCATGCAAGGTGACCCAAATGGTAACATTTTGGACTTGAATTTTGTATTGACTGAGTTTTTTCATGGTTTTCTTGAGATTCAGATGGGTGCCAGGACAGAACCTTGAAATAGGACATGGCTGTTTCCATTTCTTTCCCAGTCCTTCATTCATTATTCATCCTACAATCTTAGTCTATAGTTTGAGCTGCTGACAGCATCATTATGTTAACCATAAATAAATAAATGTCAGTGTTATTTATTTATGGTTTGTCACTGCCAGCAATTCAGACTCTATGGCATTCATTTGTAGTATGATAGTGAATAATGAATTGGGAAGGATGTGGAAGAAAGCAATCATGGCCTAGGTTGAGGTACTATCCCAGTATTTGCCTGAAGGAACTTAAGAAACTGTGAAAAAATGGAGTCATTGTTGCTGGTGTCTTAACCAACATTTGAGTTGAACACCTACTGAATAAAAGCCAACTGTGTTACTGTGTTACTGCTTGTGCTAGCTTGCTTGAATCTTGTGTCTAGAGCTAAGAACACAGCACACAGAAACTTGGTGACTTTTTTCTTTTTGTAGTTCATTAAATTTTGTTTAATATTTTCCATCAGGATCAAGGAAATAATTAATGCGAGCAAAATAATTAGCACTCCAATTATTACTGCTCATCTTGAGAATGATACAGATGCTGAGTTTGCTAGAAGAGTCAAAGGTCGTATAGAGAAGACAGTGCTTGGAGAGGTAAGGAAAATTCTGGAAGAATTTGGCTGTGATAGCATTTGCCTAACTATATGCTTTCTTAACAGTGTTTGCCTCAAAACATTTCTCTGCCCTCCAGTGTGGCATATGCAGTACAGTGGAACTCACATGTAATGTTCCTCAGTTTAACATATTCCCTTATTTATTACTCAGTTTCAGTGATCTCAGATTTATAATTTCAGTGTTAACTTTTCTCTTTAATATTTTCCTCAATTTAGTATGCAAATCACTGCACATCAAAGAAACTTTATAGGACGGATTCCATCGTACTTCACGTTTCCCTCCTCTTTTTCCACTAGAGAATCTTCCATAATTAGGATTTCATAACATTAGTTCACTGTGTTGTAGTATAACTGAAACATTTACTTTCTGTTCTGTATTATGTAAAATCCTATATTATCTAATTGCTATATACTTAGATTCAAATCCATACCTGAGTGTTTTATTTACAAACTGTTTATTTTTCTTCCCTCAATGTAAGAGACCATGTTGTAACTGTACGCATCCTTCACGGAAAGTCTTATTTGTTTGTAAGTAACGGTTAAGTTTAGCTGTAGAAATGAGATGCCCCGGAGGGATCATGGTCCTCTGAATTGGCCTTTTGTTGCGAGGGACAGAAGGGAGGTTGGTGAGTCCATTGCATTCAAGGGGGGGTAGGTATACCTTCTTTCGTCCGTGCCTGTGGGGGTGGAGGACCTGTGGATCGAGAACGTTCTAGATGGTGTGCAGACCGGAAGGGGTCCATGTATTTGGTCATGAAAACCTCCCAGTGGAAAGTTCGAGATGGCTAAGAACGTGGTTTCTGGAAGCAGCAGCGGGGGTAAGGAGTTAGTCAGTGAGTGGAAGCCGGGGAGTTTGGGAGTAGAAGCCAGGGAGTGAGGGTGTTCATGTGGAACCTGTGCTAGGGGGTTAACCGATCGAGCCCGCATCCAAAAAAACGATGTAAGCGAGCCAACACCCGTGTACCCCTGGGATATAAGACTCATTCTGCTGAATTTAGTCGAGGCATACACAGCGTGGAAGTGAAGCGTGTGGGGGCGGGTATAATGTTTTACATCAAAAATCAAGTGACAAAATTATTGCTCTGTGTATCTTAATATTTAGTGCTTTAGAGAGCTGACATGATATAACAAATATTTAACTGAATAATAACAGACACTTCCAAAATTTATTCTGTTCCTGATTCTGACATTTCTGCTTTCTCATTGTTGATTCCACATACTTAAATATTAAACATTTTTCAGAAGATTTATTACATACAGATTCCATAATAGTTCTCAACCCTACAGGTGTCAGAGTACATTGAGGAACTCTATCTCCCAGATGATTGTTTCCTCCTCATTAAATTGGATACTGATCGTATTCGTTTGTTGAAGTTGGAAGTTGATGCAGAATCTATTCGTTTCAGGTAAGGTGGTTCAATGTGACATTCTTTGGTCATTGTTTATTTATGTAAGAAAATTCTATTTGAAAAGTTGCTTTGTATCTGTGATGGTATCTAGAAAAGTAAGGGTCCCTATTTTGTGTTTAAATAAAATAACAACAGACAGACTAACTTGTGAGGCTGAAATACTTTGAGATATTAGCTTTACTTTTCCACATAGTCACCAAGTATGTCTAGTCACTTATAGTGATATATCAGTTTATCAAGCCCTTTATAGAAAAAAATTGTCCTTGGCACATAACCATTCTTGATTTCATTTTGAGCATCTTCATTGGAAGAGAAGCACTGACCTCTGAGGTGCTCTTTCATCTTTGGGAAGAGATGGGAGTTTGACGGTGCTAAATCAGGACTATATGGTGGATGTGGAAGAATTTCCTAGCTCCAGGAATTCAAAAGATTCATGGTTGTGGAAGAACTGTAAGGTCGAGCATTGTCATGCAAAAGAACTTGTTTGGTCAACAATTTTGGTCTCTTGCACCAAATAGCCTCCTTAAGTCTCTTTTGAGCATCCTGACAAGCAGCTGCATTTACTGTTGAACCAGAAGGTGTGAAATCAACCAAAAGAACTCGATGAACATCCCAGAAAACAGTAGCTATCACTTTCTCTGGGACCCTCCCTGGTGCTTCATCATCATTATGAGGAGCATGGTGAAGCATTCTCAGGCATAACTGTTACAGGAGATGAGACTTGGATCTTCCACTACACCCCAGAAAACAAGGCTGAATCAGTGACCTGGAAGCATTCTCACTCTCCACTCAAAACGAAGTTCAAGACAGTGCAGTCTCCAGGGAAAGTGATTACTGTTTTCTGGGATAATCACAGATTTATTTTTCTATGGAGGACTTGACAAATTGATATATCATTATGATAAATGTCTAAACAAACTTGGTGACTGTGGAGGAGTAAAGCTAATATGAGAGACTATATCTCAGCCTCATGAGTTAGTCTGAGTTGTTATTTTATTTAAATAAAATATAAGGGGCCCTTACTTCTTGAATTACTCTTGTATTTCGTCCTGTAAATGATTCAGTCAAGTGACATATGAACTAATTTGCAAGTCTATAAAACTTAAGTATAAAGTCCATTTCACCTGAGGTCCAAGAATTCATATTTCAGTAATATAATTTGGCTTGTACAGAATTCATGAAGGTAGGAGCAGAATGCAACAGAAATGAGAAGTGCCGTCTAATGATGAACATTTGAAACATTACAACTTTTGTCCTACAGTACACAAAGATTAATTTGTTTTATTTATGTATGTATGGCTTATTTAACTACTACCTCTAAGGTCCAGTGGTTAGAGTTCCTGGCTTCAGATCCAGAAGTCTTGAGTTCAGTTCCTGGCACTACCAGATTTTCTGAGAAGTAGTGGGTCTGGAATGGGGTCCACTCAGCCTTGTGAGGATAACTGAGGAGCTATTTCAAGGAAATTGCAGCTCTGGTCTAGAAAACTGAAATTAACGGCCTTGGGGATCTGTTGTGCTGACCACGTAGCACCCTCTATCCACTAAAGTTGGCACTAACTTCGCCGACAAGTGGCGCTCACTTGGTCAGTATAGTTTGCTTGTGGACTACAGGCCACGGAATTTGTTTTGTTTTGTTTGTTTATGTCCTATTTGACAACACTTTTAAAACCGTAGACAGCATAGCATTGAATTATACGCTAATTATGAATAATGAATTGGATGTGGATTGAAGTAATCATGGCTTAGTTTGAGTCAGTGTCCTAGTATCTCTGTGAAGGGATTTTGGAAAACCATAATAAACCTTTTGCAGGTTAGCCAATACTGTGGGCCAAGATTTGAAACTGGGACCTTCCAAACACAAAGCAAGAGTGCAATCTGATTGACATTGTGTTCTGTACAAAGATTAGATCATTCAGTAGCAACATTGTATTTTTTTTTCATATTGTAATAATAATAATAATAATAGTGCTTAGAGAAAGACTTGCATGAAGCATTGATTTATATTATGGTGCAAATTATATTTATGACTCCAGAAATGTCCTTTGTCATATAATGAAATGCCTAGTGTACACATGGTACATGTAGTGTGTGGATGTCTTCCCTTTTCTCTATTCCATGTACCATATTTAGCTCTGTTGTGGAAGATGGATTTTGCTGTTCACATTTTTTATTCTGCAGCATCTGTACATCACGCCTAAAGTTGAAACCACAACAAGTCACGGTGGTTAGTGACTCAATCATAACTGTGAAACCAGGGAAGTCAAAGTCTACTCTCAATTATCAACTGCAAACTCTCAAAGAAACTGTGCCTAAAGTTGTCATCAAGGTGATGTATGGTTCTTCACTGCTCTTTTCTTTCTGTCTTTGCTTTATGCTCCTTAACACTGAGATTATATGTATTAAGAATTAATAGTTTAAATTTAAAACTTCTAATGTAACTGTTAGTCATGCTGCCAGAGCCAACTGCAAAGATGTGAAGTTAAGAGAATGTTATTGCTTATCCTGTTTTGTCTGCTATGAATCTGATTCTGTAATTAATTGTGAAGAGAAATTCTACCCTTTTTATATCATTATTGTTTACTGTGTGTAAGTTACAGATATTTCCCTGACAGAGAATGCATTGCAGTGCTCTAATTCCAACACCAAATGCCTCAGCAATGCACTTTGCAACTTGGAAACTTTGTACAATACTCCACTGTTGTCTGTTTCTCTCCTGAAGTAATTAACAAGTTAAAGCTCATTGATTCTATATGTAGTGACTACTTTATCATACAAAAACTCTGCATTGTGTGCACATAATGTATTTATGAGTTTCATATGGTTCTCACAATAAACAGCAGTTATTTCCCTAAACAGCTTTAATTTTGTAGTGCTCATTGTGGAGACATACTTTGTTACCTTTGAGCTATTAACTTGATTTTTTAATGTTACAAGTTGTTTAAACTGTGAAATAAAGTGTTCGTTGAAGGTAGTGAACATGTAATGATGGTATTTAGTTTATCTTCCACCATGTTACAGTCTATGCTACTGCATAACCATCACCCATCTTCTACTGCCTCCACTTATGGGTATAATACATTAATGTGTGAGAACATTCATGCCATACTAAAGTAGTAATCTGTGTGGATGTAGTGGTACAAGGTTTTCCTAAATGAGATCAAATTTTTGAACAGTCACCATGCTATGCAGCCAAGTTCCACATCAGTTACAAAGTAATGGGATATGAAGAACAGAGAACCCACATATATCTGTGGGACATCTGATGCAGACCTTCCTTTGAGTGTGGAATGGTTGAACAGGGCCCATTTTCTAGTCTGTCTCAGTCACCTGGTTTTGACCACAGCGGAATTGTTACTATGGGACTATGTCACGGTTTAATGTGTTGGCCCACCCTCTGCCAGAAAGCCATGATGAACTGCAAGAATGGATTTTGCAGATGTTGCCATGGTTATATTGTGTGAAGATTCCATTCGGAATGCTTTTAAAACTGGAACGTGTACGGGACAAAATGTCTAATACAATGTGCATTGTTTCATATTCATAGCTGTATTCATTTCTGAGGTATGGTGGTTCGAAAGTAGAACTAATGTAGAAAGGATCTGTATTTCACCCTTTGTACCAAGCAGGTCAGTACAAACACATGACTTGTTTGTCAGAAAGCCAGTGCCTCAGTTGGGGCACTAACTGTTTTGCCAGTATTTTCATGTTTTACTTCAGACCTATCAGGTGAATGTTAGAATAATACCACGAAGGATATCATGATTGCCTCATCCCTCATGGTAACTGTAACGATGATATGTTTTTCTTTAGGGACTGCCTTCTGTAAACCGTGCTGTGATACATAATGATGATTCAGGTGGCCAGACTCGGTATAAATTGTTTGTGGAAGGAGATAACCTGCGAGAAGTTATGGCAACACCTGGAGTCAAAGGAACCTCTACTACCTCAAACAACACCTATGAGGTTTTTACAACCTTGGGCATTGAAGCAGCCAGGTAAAATAAGGAATGTAGAGGTATATTAGAAAGTTAGTTACAGAAAGTGTCAGCTCTTTGTAATAATGTACCATCATATATTCTGTTTTAAACTCCTAGTTTCAGAATGAAGTGTGAGATGAAAATTTACAAAGAATCAGGAGACATACATAATGACAAAGGCATATCACTTCTGTAATTCTGTTTTTGGGTTGTTGCATCATGTGTATGTGAGTGTCATTTCAAAGGTAAACACAGACTCAGTCTTCAGGGACTAACGTCAACAGTTAACCAACACAAAAGCAAGACATAAATGATAACATACTGTTTCAGCACTAGATTTTGATACATTGTAACATAATTCTTGAACAAACTTTCTCTTCAATCATAAAATACTCAGTAGTTTTGAACTCCTTCCACTTTTTTAGCTATGATGTGCAACTATGTGTACCTCTGATTACTTTGTCATGTCTGTCCATATAACACATGCATTTTTGGATGAACAGATTGTTACAAAATTTGGCATTATAAGTACGTACTATTTCTCAGTCTGATGTAATATTAGACCACAGTTGATATAATGGATTACCACCTTACATGAAGGTCAAAAGAAAGAAGCAGGGCACAGAAGAGGAGCCGGTAAAATAGAAGAACCGGCCTCCCCAGAGAGAGTGAATGTGCCATGGGAGAAAGCGATGGATGAATGGGATCTTCTGGCAAGTTAAGAGGGAACTGCTCGAGACGAGCTTTGTTTTAAGAGGGGAGCCGATGTAATGGACGAAGAATAGTCGCTGCAAGAGGAGTAGCCGAAACAACAGGAGACACTGCAAGCACAGCTGCGGGAAGGAAAAGGAACGGGGGTGCATCGTTAGGCTATTCGGGACGAACAACCTTAAGGAGGGAGAAGTGTGACATGTTGCGCAATGGAGAACCCCTCCTAACTGTAACGTGTCTCGTTACTGAAGACGCCGTAGAGATTGTTAATTGGTTTATTCAACAACCTACAAGTAATGGCTACAATTATTTATAACACAGTTGCGGGGTTTCATACTTTATGACCCTATTCACAATAATCTGTTTACACTGTTGCGGGGTTTCACGATTTATAACCCTATTCGCAAATCAATTCACTCTGTCTTCAGTAGTCTCCACGTTCACAGTACGGGAGCTATACAAGTCTCTGTATCACACACTCCCAATATAACTGTACTACAGCACACACAAAGTCTCGAAAGCACACAATAAGTCTTCCACTCGCTGACTTCTTAGTTATCGCACACTGTCACATAAAATCTTGTAACCACGCGTTCGGGTCTTCTTGTCGCGACTGCTGCTATATTTCAACTCCGCTCGCAGGCAGTGCAGCTCTCTTATATAGTGGCTGTGTTTGCCTGTTACTTAGCAACGCTGTTGGAAGTTGGTTACGGGTACGTAGCAATTGCGGCGTTGCGCGTTACGTCACCGCGGAGGGGGGAGCGCTGCCTCATCCGCCACGTCACTGTGGCGTGAGTTGCCACGTTGCTGCTGGGTAGGGAGGGGTTCTCCATTGCGCAACATGTCACACTGCTCCCTCCTTAAGGCTGTTCATCCCGAAGAGTCTAATGGTGCACCCCGTTCCTTTTCTTTGGAGGCTGTTCTTGTAGCATCTTCTTTTTGTCCCGCTACTGTTTCTCTTCTCCCCGTTGCTCTGCTTTCAAACCGCTACAATATTTTAGTTGCATTAAGGATGTACTATATGGAAAATGTTTTAACAGAAACTATAAACATTAATAAGGGGAATGTTATATGTTGTGAATATAATGTATGACATGCTGTTTCAGAGACAGTACCAATCAAATAGCATAACAAAGCCAGAGACAGTAATATGTGGAAGAATTTAATTACTACAAGCCGTGATAAATACAAACTTCATAAAAATCAGTAAATTAAATGTTATTTATGTATTATATGCTTTGCAGAGTGCACATTTTTGTCAAGTTATGTCATTTTTAAATAGCTTCGTGTTTGTTAACAGAAAGTGCAAGTATACTCATAGGTGAATTTGAATGAAATATTAACCAACTTTTGGATCTGAAAGGAATTACCACAGACTCAGAACCTTAAATCATAATCTAAGCATTTGAGCACATTTAATCAAGGATTGTTTGATTCTAATATTTAATGACAATGATTCTAAGAAGTTTATAATCTACACCAAAATGAATTTTCTACATGAAATAGTTTCTGAATTAGAGTAATTTAAATAACATGTTTCCCCCCCCCCCCCAAATGAGTATGACATTCAACTTTAACCTCTCTATGTATAAAATTATTGTCTAGTATCTGGTGTTATTTATTTTTCATATTTAATACAGTTTTAAACAGTTAAAAAATATTGCCTCTTCAGATTTTTTGATGTGTATGAAAAACAGATATAAAGATGATCTAAAACATCACCTCTTGTGGGATACAGTATACAGTTTTTCTAGAGAATTCAGAAATGCAGTTTCAGTCCCATAGAGCCCCTAACTATGGGGTTAATCCTTTTTCAATCCATTTGCTTGTAATTGTTAGGAATTGGTTGAATGAAGTGTCAGTTCACGTAATCATAGTTCTGAATGAAGTTATTACAGGTGTCAATGTAAGGAAATTTTTATCATTTCAGAGCAACTATCATGACAGAAATTAAACTTGTTATGGAAAACCATGGGATGAGCATTGATAGGCGTCATCCTATGTTAGTCGCAGATCTGATGACTAGCCGAGGTGAAGTCTTGGGTATCACTCGCCATGGTCTTTCAAAGATGAAGGAGTCAGTCCTCAATTTGGCTTCGGTAATCTTTCCACATATTAGCTTAAGTAACAGGAAAATGCTTTGGTTAATTAAGCATTTTCTGCATCAAAAACAGATTAGCATCAGCTGTAGTGCGCAGTTCTCCATATTTGCAGGAGGCTAGTTGTTGGAGTTATTGATCTGCGCACTCATTCCTTCAGACATTCCTTGACCTGTTCGTCAAGCTTCACTGTGCCAACAATTTCTTCAAGCAAAATCCTCGCATGGTTACTTCCACCATTGTTTTAACCCCTCAACAGCTAAATCTGCAAATTTATTGCTTACATGGTTAAGCTAGGTTGTTACCATGAAATTAAGTCTTTCAGCCTAATTTACTAAGAAGCATAGCTAATTACTGGCACATACCGTCCAAGTTATGTTGCTGGTTATCATTTTACTTTCAGTTTGAGAAGACTGCTGATCATTTGTTTGATGCAGCATACCATGGCCAGAAAGATGCTATTACAGGAGTGAGCGAATCCATAATCATGGGAATTCCCATGGCCATTGGTACCGGCATCTTCAAATTGCTCCACAAATATCCTTTATATATCAGAAAACCTATTAAAATAGAGCTTGATAGATGTTTGATAAAATTCTCCTTTTTTTATATACTGTGTTATATAATTTATGAATCTGGCACTACATAACATATGCAGTTGAAACAGCATCATTGGATAACATGAAATAACCTGAGAATGGGTCGTAAATATTAATCTGTATTTTAATCCTAATCTCAATCTCATATTTCAGTTGAACCCTCCTGAAAAAATGTCAGTTCAAAATCCGTATTGAATTCTAGATTCATTCTGCCATGTATCATGCCAGAATTACCTTTTGGGAGGAAAGATTTAGTTCTCCACTTTAGTTAAAATTTTCTCTAGCACTGCTAAAGGCTAGACTGGAGAATTGGCATTTGATTCCAGGGAGGCACATAGATTTGATTATTGTCCATCACATCTAGATTGGCTCAGGGCCCAGCCAGCCTTCTGTCCAAGGACTCTTTTTTTTTTTTTCTAGAGGTAAAATCGGCAGTGCATGAAGGTGACCACTCACTTCCATCTAGTGTTGTGGTTAAGAACGGGTTAAACTATACCTTCACCTGTAACTCCACCACTATGTCTTCACATTGTGGTGAATAATTGCAAGAAAAACTTAATCATTACTTTTACTTCTAAAAATCTAAGAGCTTACAGGCAAAAGATTAAGTAGATCCAGGATCGAAAGAAAAAAGGTATGTAGGTTACTAATTATTAATGCGGCAAAGTATAGTTTGTATCGGTAAATCAGTGAAGATATATATTATTATGGATACAGAATATTGTGATTTGATCTAGTCATCAGTTTTTGAGTAAAACCCGGATGTTGATGTTTTAGTAATTTATGTCATGTACATTATCTTTATCACTGTTTTGTTTAACATTTAGCTTGTATGTTTGTTATTTTGTGTTGTGTATTCATTAAATTAATGTTAAGTTACTAAATTTTAAAGTGTGGTAAGAGTTACTGGACCGCCTCTGTGGTCTAGGGTCAGATTTCCTGGCTACAGATACAGAGGTTCCGGGTTCGATTCCCGACGCTGCCAGATTTTCTGACAAGTAGTGAGTCTGGAGCCTCATGGGGATAATTGAAGAGCTATTTCAAGGAAATAGCTCCTCTGGTCTAGAAAACCGAAATTAACGGCCATGGGGATCTTTTGCGCTGACCTTGTGACACCCTCTGTCCGCAAAAGTTGGCAAGCGGCAGTCACTTGGTCGTTATAGTTCTCTTGCAGACTACAGGCCACAGAGTTTGTTTGTTTGTAAGAGTTAATGAGGATTTAAATCAGTTGTGTTAGGTTTCTATAAGAATCAAGTTTACTCAATATGTTTTCCTTAACAGTCTTTACAGCTGACAGTGATCCTAATCCACCCAAGAGAAAGCTGATCTTTGATGATCCTGACTATCACAAACTTCCTTCATAGTAAATAGTGTATGATTAGTTAGGGCAGATACTACTGTATTGTGTGAAAAATGCAAATAAAATGTTCGTTTTCAATGTGTTTTGTATAATTTTTAAAAATAAATGTTCTGTAGTTTGCACCCAGATTTTTTTATATAGTGCCAAGTCAGTTTTAATGTTAAATTGTCTCCATTTAAGATTTTTGAGTTTAGTGTTAAAATCCACTGCCCTCCAAGGAGATCATAAATGGAGGATTCATTGTAGTATCTGGTTTGACACTGAAAAATGTTATTTCTTCTGAGGATAAAATATTTTGAAAGGAATATTTTGTCATGAAATTAAAATTTATATCAGTATCATAGTTATAATTCTGCTGTGGTGTTACAGCAATTCACATTATTAGTAAGAGAGTCTGTAAGGCAATTGATCTGATACTGTGGTGTGTACTGAAGCAGCGGTTTCAGTCAGCTGGAATGTTATGAGACTCAGTGAGGATACTGTGAATGAACGTAAATAAATTTTATAGAAGAAGGTTCAGATTTTCAGTCGTAGCACTTTTAGATCATATCTTATGTAAATACATGGTGACATGCTCGGTTATGAAAGTAATGCAAATAATGAAGGGGAGAGGGATTCAGAACAAAGAGGAGAATGTTTGGATGTCATAGAGATGGGAAACCCATAAATAGAGAATATCACACATTAAACTTCACAATTTGTAAACTTCACCCATTCCTTACAGACAGTAAATCAAGAAGCATCAAATTTATGGAGTTAACAATGAATCCTACTGTTTCTTATATTGAAACTCTCACTAAAAGGGACTGCTTAAGCCACTTAGCTATAGTTTAGAGGATAACATTTCTTCCTGCCTCTCAGCTGATCAACAAGTAATTTGCATTAAAGTGAGCACTGTTGATGGAAATTAATCTAAATAAGTTGATTGCATTAAAATGAAGTTACATTTTTCAAATTTGCATATAATGAGTACCTGTATCTAATTTTTGAGAAGAGCAACTTCCAAAGAGGCATATATGAACAGAAATTGAATAGGACAACAAATTATAAATATTAATGGGAAATACAAAACCAAGCTCTTTCAAAATCCTAAAATTTAATTGGTACAGAAGTCGCAATTTTAGCAGGGGTTTTCTGGACCCACACTACACTAGATTTAGTTTGACAGATATGTAGCTGGTGGCTGAGTTCACCCTTAACCTCTAACCACTCAAGTTTTTATTTATAATTTGAAGAGCCTCCCAGCTTGCCCAGCCCAGCCAATCAAAATCTGAAGTGGGATGGCTTTCACCAGAATTTATGTGAACCAGGACAGATGCCTATCTTCAGAGATTCTGCCTGGAACATTGAAAATTTCACTCACCAGGGACACACGCACTTGGCATATCTCAGACCACTCATTTGCTTCTTTTCTCAAACAGTTAGGTCTTAGTAAACAGGGCCGAACCCAAGTGATACCCATAAGTTGATTACTACTGTACATCTGTAACACTATTAGTGCCGTTACCAATAACTCCTTTGAGAACAGTCGATTGGTATCATTTGCATATGGATGGTGTGCAACTAAGTAGCGCTCCTGGTCACCAAAGTTGCGACCAGTCAGCATGACCTGATAGGAGTCAGGTTTCTCCCCCTGAGCTAGGTAACTACAAGATGGACTGTAGGAGTTCACCAGTGTTTCGGAGAAAGGCACTGCCTCTATTTTCAGGGTCAAAGGGGAAACCATGTGAGCAACCAGCAAGATATAGTCAGGTGGACTGAAGAGTATGCCAAGCAGCCAGCTGCATGAATGAATGAATGTATAAGGGGTGGGCTTTCTTGGCCCTTGCACCACAACCACAGTGATCTGTTGTGCCTCTCCTTCTGATTATCCCCTCAACAATCGTGCGCTTCAAATGAAGTGTAGGATTTTGTACATGGAGTCATCGAAATAGTCACTTGGTTCCATAAAATATTGACCCAAGTGACGCAATCTTAAATATGCTAAGGCCTCACATTCACACAGGATATGTGTGGCTCTTTCACTTTCTTCTTGATACCTCTCACAATTTGGACTGTTACTTAGTCCCAGTTTGAAAAGGTGTCCTTTGAGGTGACAGTGTCCTGTAAGTAGTCCTACCACCCATCGTAGCTGGCTCCTGTTTAACTTCAACAGTTCCTTCGCTCTTTTAGTAGAGGGTCCTTGTATGAGTCCCTTTGCTTGCCTGAGTCCAGTGAAGGATCCCTAGTATTCAGCCAGCTGCATACATGTTGCCATTTGTTTCCTTGGTGTACTCTTTGCCCCTGAAGATAGATGCATTATGTTCCTTCCAAATATCGGCGTCACTTCAAGATGGTACCACTTTTCATAGTCACTGCTGTGACAACTTCAAATCCGAAAATGTAGCAGCATTTTCTGACGATAGAGCGCATATGGGTTGGTTTGCTCTTAAATAATAAGAAAGCTCTCCATCTGCTTAAGTAAGCACCTGTCCCTGAAGTTAAAGTGGGGAAATGGAGATGCAGCTTTTTTCTTTTATTGCTAGTTGGCTGGGACTAAATCCCCTGTACTGCGGCCACTTCTGGCCTATTGTACCAGCCCCAGATGATAGGTGAGGGTGATTGTGGAGCAGTTGGCGGAACGAAGATTGGCAGGGGAAAACGAAGTACTTGGAGAAAACCCGCCCCAGCACTACTTTGTCCACCACAAATCCCACTTGACCAGACCCGGGATCGAACCCGGGCCGCCGCGGTGGGAAGCCAACGAATAACCGCTTGAGCTATGGCGCGGTCGAGATGCAGCTTGATACATTCTTAATAACTTTGGCACTAAATGGAGTTGTATGTTCACGCCCCGACCACTTTACCCTTGGAGAAAGAAGCTCCAGTACATAATGGATAGGAAGCAAGGGAGCCCCAGCGACAGTCTGGACACTGGAGAAGAGGGAAATCTCTTTCCCCTGCCGAGATTCGAACCCCAGTTCTACTATCCTGTCCATAAGCTAGTCATAAATACTGAGATACCACAGCAGAGGGCATACCGGTTGATGGAACTTCCATAATCGCTAACGATTATTCAGCTACTAGAGCCATTAACGTTGCAGCGAGAGGTCAGAGTCACATTTCAATCTGATGACAGCCTCAGTACTCGGAACTCCGTTGCACTGTCATTCTGACATGTTCGCAGGAAGGGGGTGATGTGAACAGAAGAGAAGGAGCCTGTGCATATAGCAAGGGACATTTGTTTGACCGCCTTCCTAGAGCAGCATTATCAGTAGAATCTGATCATGACGGAATTAGCTGGTCTACCAGATGTCGCCCCGGTATAATGCACACGTCTAATTAGGAACTATAATAAATACACTGAAACGTTAGTACTGATTTTTAATTGAACATTTTGAAAAATAATTTCCGTTCATTTTTGGAAACTAGAGATTAATACTGGGACCACGCGGTAGCGTAGTTGGTTGAGGCATTATGCTGCCAGCCGAAAGTTCGCGGGTTGGATTCCTGATGGGGTCATTGGTTTTTTTAATTGACCATATCTTTCCAGCCGCACTGTGGTCCTGTGGTCGACTCAGCCTCTAACAGAAATGAGTATCAGGATCTTCCGGTGGAGTAGAGGGTGGCCGGCGCTTAAGGCCGACCTCACCGCCATCTGTGAGCCGATTGTCTAGAAAATGTAAGAGACTCGACGTCTCGACCCTATGGGCCTCCACGGCCTATTATAGGGATAGCCTTACTTTTGTGATACCCTCAAAGGTATAACAGATGGACATACAGAGAGAAAGGTATTTTTATAAATTCTGTTGAATGCAGAACACCTGAGTATACAGGCTTATTAAAAAAATGCAATATTTTATTAAAGGAAAGTAATACAAAACTCCAGCCAAGTCACAAGTATTCTACTCACAATCATCTTTTGTTTCCTGTCTTACAAGTGTTCAATGTGGGCACCACCTGCAGCAGGGGCAACATCAACGCGATAAGAGAATTCCTCCCAGGCGCGTATCAGCATATCACGATGCACTGAGTTAATCGCTGTTGTAATTCGATGTTTAAGGTCATTGAGGTTAGTGGGTAGCGGCGGAACATAAACGTGATCTTTTACATGTCCCCACAAGAAGAAATCACACACGGTGAGGTCTGGGGATCTCGCAGGCCAAGCACGAAGAGCAAGGTCTTTGGCCCCCTTCCGACCAATCCATCGCTGGGACAGTTTTTCATTTAAAAAAGTTCGGACCATCAGGTGCCAATGGGGCGGTACTCCATCTTCTTGAAAAATGAAGTCATGCGAATCTGCTTGCAGTGAAGTGAAGAGCCAGTTTTGGAGCATATCGAGATAGGTTTGTCCTGTAACGGTGTTTCCTTCAAAGAAAAAGGGACCATAAACCTTGTCCTGAGACACGGCACAGAAGACGTTCACCTTAGGGGAATCTCTTTCGTGCTCAACTGTTTCATGTGGGTGCTCTGTTCCCCAAATACGCACATTGTGACGATTGACTGTGCCGCTCAAGTGAAAAGTCGCTTCATCACTTAAAATTAAACGTGAAATGAAGGTTTCGTCTTCCATCATCTCCAGCATCGAATCGCAAAATTCCATCCGCTTCCTTTTGTAGTCATTGGTAAGTGCCTGAACGAGCTGCAGTCTGTATGGTTTTAAATGTAGACGTACTGTTAGCACACGCCAGACAGTTTATTGAGGGATCGCAAGCTCACGGCTAGCTCGATTTGTTGACTTCCGCGGGCTCCTCTCAAACGCAGCACGGATTCTCGCCGCTTGTTCCTCCGAGATTCGTGGTCGTCCTGGACTTTGTCCTTTGCACAGACACCCACTCTCTTGAAACTGTCGAAACCACCGTCGAATGTTCTTAGAACAGGGCGGATTAATGCCGAATCGCCTTCGAAAAGCACGCTGCACCGTGACAACCGAATTTGTTTTCGCGAACTCAAGAACGCAGAGCGCCTTTTGCTGAGGACTCGCCATTCCGAGGGTAAACGAACAACTGAACGTTGCCGGAAGAACGACGCGACTTCAGCGCCCCTGTGGCAGCCATTCACAACTTAGATAACTCCTCTTTCAAATGGTCACTGACTCATTCC